CCCCCCCCCCTAGTACGTCGTGATGATCATGTCAACGACTTGGGATTGGGTGAGCAAGCTTGACAAAACACACCGCTTCCTTGCTTGTCGGTTTGCTTGCCGCTTGAGGGTATGAAGGGGTGGGTGATCGTGTGATGAGATGCTTCAGTCCCTTCGTCGTTATTTCCCTTTCTCTCTCGGTGACTCATCGCTTCAGGACCTAGAGTTGATTTGACCCTCACGATAGGATGGTCTCTGCTTTGGAGGTTTCTCGTTCGTGCTGCGACTCCCGTTCCATGGCAGTCAAGCTTGGAATGGACTGGCTGTGGTGGTGACGCTTCCTGGACTGTTTGCCTAACCACGCTGGCGAGGTAGCCGGGTGTGGAAACGACTTGACCTATGGCCACGCTGTGAGTTTGGATGCCAACCGTAGTACCAGGGAAATATGAGTTACAACACCTCGGGCCTTGGCATAGTCATCATGGCATGGCTGTATCACTTCATCAGTCTCCTCGACCGAGGCTAATAAAGGTAAAGAAATGTATGTTGTACGCAGGAGCATGGTAGTTAGTGCCTAGGGAAGAGCTTAGTTCAATCACACTTCCAGTTAGGCGAGCCAAACGAAAACAAGAAGCAGAATACATTAATGAAGGTTGCCTCTACAATTAATTACTTCGGGTGTGGTATAATCGGTGAAACCAATGATACTAATATAGCGATGTGTGTAAAATTATCGCTTAGCTTCGACTCTAACATGTCACCATAGACAATATATTTATTTCCCATAGACGTCCCACGCAGCATTGTATTTCAGTATATCACTTTCTGTTTTTCTGGAACTCTCTTCATCAACCACCACTTAAACTAAAGACAGTGCAAAGCGAATGGTGTAGAGATCAGATTAACCATAGTTTGGGAATATGATGATGTGTGAATAGAATCATTGTTCCTTCAAGATGGACATTTAATTAACCTCTCCGACTGCCAGGTTCAAATTAAAAATTGTACAACACAGGAGAGAAAAGCCGCAGGCGAGTTGGAGTGTAAAATATTGACTTCAGGATATACTGGGAAATCCGTTGGTGTTTCTGATCTTACACAACAATAAATGTGTGACACTCGACTTAATGCTGCTTGCTGAAGTGGCTAAATGGCTAGCTGGATGGACCAAGCAACGCCCTTGGCCCGCATTCCTACTGCAGTCAACGCGAGTTCTACTTCTTCTGCCTCTTCGTACTCTTATCACTCGTCGCGCTCAGGACACTAGCGCTTCGCTTCTGCGCACCTTTGCCACTGCTTTCTGGTCGTGCATTCCCTGCCTTCTCCCTGTCTTTCTCTTTCTCCTTTTCTGACCCAGGCTGCGCCCTTGCCGGCGCCGTATCCTCATCAACCTCTTCTTCCTTGATATCATCTGCTTCCTTATCCCCGGCTTCGGCGGCTGTCGGGTCCCCATCTTTGTCGCCATCGGCTTTTTCGCCGGTGTTGTTGGCTTCTTCTGGATCACCTTTCTCCTTCTCCTTCTCTGTCTCACCCGCCGCCTCCTCTGTAATTTCCTTTCCCCCTTCTTTCTTCCCCTCATCCCCTCCGCCGCCACCCCCCTTACTACCCTCTCCCAGCACCCCCTTCGCCTTTTCTCTCTCCGCTTTCTTGGCCTCCTCTAGCTTGATTTCACCCTCCAGCTTATCGTTCAGCTTGCGCATGTCAACAAGCGCGGTGACCGAGCTCCAGAGCACCTCAAACTGCGACGTGACATTCGCCGTCGGCATGACCAGGCGTGGTGGTACGTCAAGCTCAGCGAGGGCATTGGTCATGCGCAGCTGTTGCTGGCCAGACTTGTGGCTGTAAAGCTTGTTGATACGTTCGTAGCGGAACGTGGGCCCGCTGCCGAGGCGGTCGTGGTACGACACGCCGTAAATCTGCTCTTCTTGACTGGACAGCTTGCGGCGCTCTGGCTGGGCCGCGGCCGCACCGCCCTTCTTTTTGTTGCCGATTGCGCCAGGTGCTGTAGCCGAGGTTGGTGTCGGCTCGGCGGAGGCACGCGCGGTGGTCGCTGAGGTAGCGGTCGCTGCAGCCGCACCACCGCGGACATCCGAATCGCGTCGGCTAGACGAGGCGGTGGCCGCGATACTCTCGCGCCGGGCGTGACCACCGGGGCCTTCGGATGCTGCGCTGTTCGGAACCGCACCACCGGGGCTGACGCCATCGCTCCCTGCTGGGCCCAGAATGCTCTTGCGTTTCTTCGATTTATCAGTGGACATGAGATTCTGGAGGAGAGCCTGGAGGCCGGCGGAACTCTTGAAGGAATTGATGTCCGAGTCGGTGGCGGGGTAGTCGAGGCGGTTGTAGAGTTCACGGCGCTCTTCGTTGAAGCGCTCCGTCCGCGCGAGAATCCGCTTGATCTCAAGAAGGAGAGACTCTTCCTCACGGGCTTCGTCCTTGGAGCGTGCCATGGTGTTCAGAGCGAACTCCTTGCGCTTCCTTTCCTGCTCCGGGTTGAAGTTTTGCATCATTTCGTGCAGTTCAAACTCCGGCCGCGTCATATACGGCACCGGCTTTTGAACCGCCATCATTTTCGCTGCCACTTCGTAGTATCTCGCCTTCAAGTCCTCCATTGTCCGCGGTTTCGGCGCGGGCACAACAGCTGTGCCGGCGCCGTCGGCGTCCTCTCCCTGTGGCGGTTTCGGTACGAAGTCGTATCGGTCCCAAATGATGGCCCAGCGCAAGTCGAAGTCGGTAGCCAGCTCCAACAAGTAGTCCGTTTCCTCCTTCGTCCATTCGACACTCTGCAGATTCGTTCGGTACTGATCCTCATTGTATTGCGGCACTGAAACCCGGACGTTGAACTTCGCAAATTCAGAATCTTTCGTTTTCGGTCCCTCCCCATCCTTGTCTACCCCTTCCTCAACTGGACGCGTTTCCCCATCCTGTATAGGCTCCGGCCCGGTGCCATGCTCTACCGCCGGTTTCCTCCAATGCCGAAGGATAAGGTTCCCGTCGTCTGCACGAGCCGAGTTTGTAAACGGCTGTAATTCCCACCGCGCCGCGGGTTTGCGACTGGCGAGGCGCCGTTTTTTGAAGACTGATACTTGAGGAACAATGGCGATAGGGTTATCACCACCAAGGTTTTGGACTTCGCGTGCGAGGCCTTTGAGGTTTGGTCGTGGCGCGGCAGTGCGCTGTTTTTTTGACGGGCGCGGGCCGCCGGCGTGATCGGGGGTGAGGTTGAGAACGTCGCGAACGTCGTGGGAGGTCATGATGGCGGGGTGTGCGTGTGTCGTGCAGTCGCGTCGCGGCAGCGCTGCAAGTGGAGTGGCCCCCGGCAGTAGAACGTAAATCGGACGGGACGGGTTGATCAACCGATTTCAATTGAGGAAAAAGGGTACCCTAGATCCCATATATGAGAAAGATAGACATCCCTTGATCTCGTAATAAACGAGCGATGGGGGGGCAGTGTAGGCGATGCGATTCGGATTGACCGAAGCACCTCATGAGGGTCGTTTTGATGAATTTTGGCAGCAATCACCGCCCAAAAAACTCCCACTGGCCGAGGACGAGATCACTGAAAGTTTATCGCACCGCCCCACTCTTTTGCGATAAACACACGTGATCCGACCAATGGCGAGCCCCAGTTTTCCTTGAACGTGGCAGCTTTCAGAAGCTTGGCTCGACCAAGGGGTTCTCGCGCCTGGAGTGAGCGTCCGTCCCCTGTTCAGCAGCCAGAAGAACGACCCTCGGAAGTTTTGTCGACTGCACCACCACCACCACCACCACCACCACCACCACCACCACAACGTTGCCAATTTCCGACATCTCCGCGCCGCCGATTAGCCTCGATCGTGGACCGACCGACCGAACGGCAAGATGAGGAGCCTTCTCGCTCTCCTTTCCCTGGCCGCCATGGCCCAGGCGCTCTACTTCTTCGTCGACGTGACTTCCCCCAAGTGCTTCTTCGAGGAGCTCCCCAAGGACACCCTGGTGGTGGGCCACTACACAGCCGAGGAGTGGAACGACCAGCGGCGAGTCTGGGAGAAGCATGACGGCATCAGCATTTACATTTCTGTCGATGTACGGCCACCCCTAATCCGTCCTGACCCATTCTTTACCCTCACGTAAAGGAGTAAAGTCCTCCTCTACACTACACCGCAACCCAGCAGTCGACAACACGCAGTCCCCAACTAACACCCTTTCTCCATTTAGGAAGTCTTCGAGAGCGAGCACCGCGTCGTCTCCCAGCGGGGCGGTTCCTCGGGCAAGTTTACTTTCACAGCGGCCGATGCGGGCGACCACAAGATCTGCTTCACGCCGTCCTCCAACAGTGGCCGGTCCAACTGGCTCTCAGTAGCATCGCCGAACGGCGGCATCCGCCTGACCCTAGACATTGCCATTGGCGAGACCAGCGCCATCGAAGGTGGCGACAAGGACAAGATTCAGGACTTGGCCACCCGCGTCAAGGACCTTAATGCCCGTCTGAACGATATCCGCAGGGAGCAGGTGTTCCAGAGGGTGCGTACTTTACCTCTACTCCCGAATACACACTTTATTTCTCTTCCGTCGCACATGCCATAGACGGTATAACATACTAATGCATGCTTGTTATCCACAGGAACGCGAAGCCGAGTTCCGCGACCAGTCTGAGAGCACAAACTCCCGCGTCATCCGCTGGATCCTGATCCAGCTGACTGTGTTGGGCGTGACCTGTGCCTGGCAATTATCGCACCTCCGGTCGTTCTTCATCAAACAGAAGCTTACATAGACGACCCGGGGGATGAGCAGGTCGTGGGTGGATAGAGGAAAGGAAGGGAAAAAAACGTGGCGGACGGGTAGGAAGGGAGTCGAGAACAAGGCAAATCAGGATCTTGACGGGTCAGTTGTCATATCACGATTGGGCATGGGTTGTCGGCGGAGTTTTGCGTTTTACCGTTGCCCTTCCTGCTGCAGCTGGAAAGGGTGTTATAGCTCGCCGATCTCCCGATGTCTTGCTCTGTCTCTTATCATGCCTGTCTTTTTCCTTCCTTTTTTCCTGTTTGTTGGGAAAGCGACAAAAAGACGGGCAAGGGTCTTCTCGAGGTTTGGGAATGGGGAGCGGGAGTTTTTGTTTCCGAATGAGAATCAATATGTTACGATAAGGAAGGTATATATGCGGTCATGGCTACTATAATGATACAACACATCTTCCTCCCCCGATGCGTTTGAATATGAGAAGGGGTTTGACCCTTGTTGTCCTTGTTAGAGAAGTCCGTTCGTTATGCATATGTATGAGTTAGTCTGTTAGGTGAACCTGGCTCATGTCTCTTCCATTCGCATTTCGTCCCCCTGGGAACAAGCGGACAGAAGAGAACACCCACAGGCAGTGCGGTTGGCGGTGCCGTTGTGCTCTGTCTCGATGTTCTCATCAAATAATATAGGTGGGAATGATGACACAAGTAATGTTTTTGAAACTGTTTTTCGCTATTTTAACCCAGAGGAAAAGGAAAGAAAACCAAGTATGCCTGCTGATACCAACAAAGTAAAGCCCATACTCCTAATCCATGGCCGCTGGTCGAGTTTACTGCCCCAACCGTGGCCCCTTCGGCCGTAACGACAGCTGATAAGAGGCAAGTCGTGATGTAGGTCAGGACGCAGTGTGTGAACCAAGTATGGTTAACCTCGAGCATCCAGCCAGCTTCGCCCGCCACACCACACTGGACCACACAACTGTGATATCCCATCTTCGCCCAAAATCTTTCCGCCCCTATCTACTGTTTTGTTATCGTTGGTTCTGTTCTCAAAGACGGATGCTGATTATTAGAGTAGTTATCTTTGTACGGGAGGGGAGACATAGTTTGGTGAAAAGGAGCAAAAGAAAAACACAAGTTCCCAAGAGCGCCATGATGTTCTTGTTTCCCCTGTTGCAATGCCCGCCTATCCACCCATCTCCATCAATCCCAACCCCCACCCTCCCCTCAACCCTAGCAGCAGTAATACCCGACACTGTTGCTGATGTTCTAGCCGCTTGTGTTCGTAAGAGCTGTGGAAGGGGCGAGTTGGCCAAGGCCGAGGATGAGGAGAGGGTTTTTGCGGATCCAAAGAGAAAAAAGTACAGAAGACAAAGAAAATGACAGGAAACAAACAACAGTGAAAGGAAAAAAAAACAGATTATCGTGATCGTAATGATGTCTGTCCAAAGGCGCCGAAAAGTGACGGAAACCGCTATGGAAAGAAGGTATCCTCTATGTCCCATGCAAAAACGAAAAACGCAGGCGCATGTTGCAGGCAAATCATGTCAGACTCGTCACCTGAAAAGCCTTCTATATAGAAACATGCCACTCGCTGTCGTCCCGCGCCCACCCCAATTTTTTGGGACAAGCAAGCAGACACATATATGTCTCCAGGCTCAAAGGCTTTGGTTCTGCTCCGTTACCCATCTCCGCCAGGAGAGCCTGCGCGCCTCCCCAGCGGGACGCCGGGTAATTGAACAAAGAAAAGTAGGCATCGCTCGAGGCTAGCAGCTACAGCAGAGCGTCTTCATCAACTTCTGGAAGCCAGTGGGTTGCTGTTGTTGTTGGTGGTTGTTCTGAGGCTGGGATGAGGTGTTGTTCAGCTGGGGTGACTGCGTCATCGGCCTCTGAGGCAGGTTTTGGGTGCTGTTCTGGAACTGCGCCTGAGTCGAGCCGGTCGGAGTCGGCGCCGCTTGCATGTAACCCCCAGCCCCCGAGCGCGGACTTGCCAATCCGGGCCCGTTTTGCCGCCCTGGGTTCGGTGATTGCCCCATGACCTGGCGAGGCAGAGGGGGTTGCGTGGCGTTTAAGCGAGCTGCGGTCAGTCCCGGGGCTTGCGGGTCGCTTTGGTGACGAGTGGTGGCCCCCCGCGAGTTGCCGTGGAGTTCCATGGCAGATGCCCCGGGCCTGGAGTTTGGGTCATGCAAATTTTGGCGGTTCCAGTCGCTTCCCTTCTTGTCCTGCTTCCTCATCCAGTCGTACTCGCCATCTTCCACTTGCCCCGCCTGCTGCAAGGCCTCGGTAAAGAGACCACGGAGATAGTTATAGTCCGGTTCGTCTTCGAAGCCGAGGCCGCGGACGTAGCTGAGATACTTCTCAAATTGCTCCGGGAAATTCGCGCAAAGGTCCTTGATCGCTGTCGTCTGTTTCTTCTCGCCAATCTTCTCGTACTTCTGCTTGTTGGTAGCAGCCTTAAGACCCTGCCAAGGCAGGCCGCCGCGAAGGAAATACATGAAGACGTGGCCCAAGGCTTCGAGATCATCGCGTCTTGATTGCTCCCTCCCGAGATGAGTGTTAATACTCATGTACCGGGCGGTACCGGAGAGAGATTTGCGTTCCCGGTAGGGAATGTGCTGTTTTGTCTTCGGATCACGGTATTGCTTCGCCATGCCGAAGTCAACAACATGGATAACATTGGCGGTCTTGGTACCGGGGCGGCCGATCAAGAAGTTGTCGGGTTTGATATCTCGGTAGATCAAGTTCTTTTCGTGGATGGTTTGGACACGCGACAGCTAGGTGGATGGTTAGATATTGTTGCCTGAAAAGACGCTGTTTCATTGTGCCAGCACATACCATCTGCTTCGCGACCATGCAAACAGTCTTGAGACTGAACCTCCTATTGCAGTGGTCGAACAAATCTTCAAGAGATGGTCCAAGGAGGTCGATCACGAGGATGTTGTGAAGGCCTTCTTGGCCGAAGTAGTAAACATTGGGAATGCCAGCTAAGAAGGTGATTAGATACCATCTGGTCAGACTCCCATCGGGTCGAAGACTTACGGCATCCAACGAGGATCTTGTACGTCCGGTACTCATCTCGCAGCTGCGGAGCATCGCTCTTCCTTGGTTCCTAGTTGTCACCTGTTAGATTTACTAATCTGGACGCAAACTTCTCATTTGTATTAAACTTACAAACTTGATCGCCACTTGCTGAGTGTTGAGCAGGTTCGTGCCCTCGAAGATGACACCGAACGATCCCTCTCCAATCTTCTTCCCGACCCGGTAATGCACCCCCACAACGTTCGACGATGACGAAGCCATGGTCGAAGCTTGACGTTAATCGCGCGGCGTAATGTGATGTGTGTACTATCGGTGTCTAATGTCGAGCTAGATCGTTAGTTTCGGAAAGTTTAGGAGAGGGAGCTGTAGCCGAAGGGCTCGCGGGTATGGCCACATCCAGCCCGGATGATCATGAAGGCTGAAAGACCGGGCGCAAGTGTGATATTGCAAGCTGGAGGTTTGAAGCGACAGGGAGTATAATCATCGCAAAGTGGCCCAACGAAGAGGTCCCGGGCGCGATCACTCCGTTGATGCGGGAAAAACACGAGGTCATATGGAGGGCACGAGCCAACTCACAAACTTTGGACGGGCCTGACCCGTGTATCTAACAGGCGGTGGGCGGAGCTCGGCGGTCGCTCGGGCGTTGCGTCCCTGACATACGCTTTGTGGGCGGGTTGACAATAGCTACAGGTAAAGAAATTTGCTACGGGCCTCGCTATAGGAGTAAAAGGCTGGCGAGCACGGCGGGTGAAGCAAAGGGATATGTATTTCGGCTGCTCGGTGATGGCCTGGCGTGGCGGAGTTGGCGTTCGACCGCGACGTGCAGTCCGAGCACTCGAGTGGTTCTGAGGAAATTGAGGCGGCCGGTTCAAGGGTCCGCACTCCCGGAATCTTCGCTCAGTCGCCCCGACAAAAAAAACTTGTCGCCTGCGGCCTCGACGAAGGCGCACAGAGATTGGGGGTGGGTTGACGATGTGTCGTGTGGTGTTGGTTTGGTGGATTGGGGGGGATTTGGGAGAAGGAAGAAAAGACGAGGAAGGGAGCAGCCAGAAGGGGAAGGCAGGGCAGCGGAGTCGTGGTACAGGGGCAGTGGACAAGAACAGCCAATCCTGTCGCGGCAGCGCGCCAGTGGCTCGCAGCAAAGTGGAGTGGGCTGGCCCCTGCGCAGCCTCCCGCGGTCTGCCAATTCACTCTTTTCCAGGGCCTTGCCACAACACCACAATTGGCGGCGGATGCACAGGTCAGGAGGCGGTGCACGCCAGCGCCGCGCGGGAGGAGTCGAGGAATCGGAATCAATCGAGCGGCCCGGCAGGACACGAGAAATCGAGATGGAAAGGGGCCAAGGACAAAGAACAAAGCGGCAGGCGGTCAGAGATTGACTTATTCTCATCTGCCATTCTTGTGCATCACAAACATCGAACCAGCCCAGCGAAATCCAGGGTCGTGGATTGCCGGAAACGGGGGTGATTTCGGGCCTGGTTCATTTGAGAAAAGCCAAATTCTCGGGTGAAGCCCTGTCCCGAATCCGCCCCGGGCTCTCAGCACGACCCTGGGGGGAAAATCAGGAACTGCCCGATGGGACAGCTGTTCTGCGCCACCACATTTCGACAAAAACTTTGCAATCTGGGTTGGTCAAGGGCTGAGGGACCCGAACAATTGTTTTTCGCTGAGCCGAGCCGGGTACCTTAGAATTGACCGCCCGACGCCAGCCCGCTGATCCGCCAGCCGTTGAGAACGATCGAGAGCAGAAAAAAATGGCTAGAATCGTGTGGAGAAAAGCACCCGCCCCCAGCCTCTCGTCCCCACGCATGCGGTCCAAAAACGGCATGGCTCTTGAGGAATAAGACGGGGCCAAGTTGACGCGGTGAGAGTTGAGCGTTGTGCAGGGAGACAAAAAAGGCGAGCGGTCATGACTTCTCTCAACACTTGTTGGGGGCGAAAAAAAAAAAAAAAGAGAAAGAAAACAAGGCCAAAAATGGAAAAGGGCTTTACCAGGCCGTTTCATTCAGTGGTTCGGTCTGGAAAGCGCCTCATAGAAGACGCGACGAACTGCCATTTCGGCAACAGTGGAGCTCAACTGTTCCTCATCAACCACCCACGGCCAAGTCCGGGGCGCCGGCCGCTTGACTTACCATCTCCCCATCTCTCAAGCGGCGAGGCCGCGAAACACCTGAGACGGGGAGCGTCACGATCACGATCCATTAGCTGCACCCGACAGGCGCCGAGAGGGGAGCAGTTGAAATTCTCGCCTGTCTCATGGTGTCTGGTTCCTGGCAAAAGGAATTTAGGTTTGGTTGCCACCGTACATCTAACGTTAGAGTAGTAGCAGGCCGATTGGGGCGGGCGCGTGGCGGTCCGCTGAAAGCTCCTTCCCATTCTTGCAGCCGCACTCCAGCAGCCGCCAAATCACAAGCCGTTTCTTTCTTTTTCTTGGCCCCCAGCCAGCTGAGACGAGAGCTTCCAGAGCCAGCCTCGGTCATGAACAAGGTCTCTTGGCACAATTTTCCTTTCTTTTATTTTCATTTGATATTTCTAAAAATCCCGCTCTCTTACTCTACCCTCAGTTGAACGAAAACGGCCGAGCCCAACCGGGTGCTTCTTTGCGGGTGTCACCTGCGAACCCGCGTCTGCAGGGATGCAGGGCTGTTTTGGTCTCTCCTGCCCATAACTCGGTACACTTGATTCGGAGAAAATGATTCGGCTGCCCGGGCCTGACCTTTGCAGAATCGGAGACCGGCTCACTGCAAGTGACACACCCGAGCGAGGCGATTCAATGGAGCCAGCTCAAAGCTGCATCCAAGTTGCAACGTCTTCGATGTAACCCAACCAACCATACCCATGCCAGCCCCAGTGACCTTGAGACCCGAGATCCTAGAAGAGAAGGGGAAAATCTCCGGCAGCATTCCATCCATCGTCGTCAAGGCATGTCTGTTGACGGCGCGAAACAAACAATTGACTTCATCCCTCCCTCATTTCACGGGCACGGGCACGGGCACAGGCAATCTCGCCAGCCCAGCCGAACCCACGTGCCAACAAATGAACCAAGGGGGCGTTGAGCTCGCCAGTCAACGCACGACATCTTCAGGTACATTTGATAATATACGTAGCTCTCACGCCCTATGACACCACATAGAACCACACACCCACAATACTCCGCAGAAAATAATTCATTCGCCGAGCCACCTACTCACATCTTCGCCACATGATTCGCTTTGCCTCACGTGAACGGTTCGAAACCACTCGGCCATATCCAGTGGCCAGTCAACAGTCTCCTTCCACCTTGGGCAGTAGAGGTGTGAGGGACGGCGCCAGGGCCAAGTTTATGCTGTGTTACTAGCACACGCCCTTGACTTCCCTTTCCGTTTCCCGGCCCGTTCACAGGACAGTACTGTGTCACACTTGAAGAATGGAAAGAAAAAGCATTTACTCAAACTCGCCGCGTTCGCTCACCGAGAACGATGAGACACAAAACTGACTGGTTAGTTGTCACGTTGTATATGATCACTACGATGACAGGAACTGCCCACAAGCACAGCACAACAAACAATTACACCAAAACAGGAAGTTCCGTATGCAAATGATGATATAATACCTTAATTATACAGCGTTTTTTCTGTGTTTCGTATAAATTTGGATAAAAAGCCCAGGATACGCCTTTCATACCGAACCCCCTCCGAAACCCAAAAGTTCTTTACAGTCAATCCTCTCCGATCTACAATATCGTAAACAATAGAAAAGAAATACAGAATGAGCGTCCAGTTTTGCACCGTCCGAAAAGGAAAATGAAACATGGTGGGAAAAAAGGAAGTCAGGTCGAGACGGGGTGGTGTGTGTGTGTGTGACAACCCCACCAATTTGTCTTGCCTATTACCGTCCTCTCCGTACCCTTCTCATTCCCCCGCGATTATGGGGAGGGATAGACACTCCTCAAAGAAAGAGAAAAATCAAAATAAACCCCAACCAGCCAGCGCGTGGGCCATGTCATGAAGAACCATCACACCACGTGCCTCCACTCCACCTCATAATGCTTAGGAAGGAAAACCGCTGTGTTTAGGTCAAAGCGCAAACAAACCGCCCGGCATCCTCCTTTCTCCAATGATCAGTGTGCCCCTCGCCGGGGAACCTGTCCCGTTCTCCTGGACCTGCGCACTATTCGCCTCTGCATTCCCGAACCCATACATGCTGTACCCATCCACACCTTCACTGGGCTGTGCAACATCCTTCAAGCGCTCCCGCGCCTGCTCATCCTCGGCTTGCTGCTCGGCCGTCAGCCTAGCGTAAGTAACGGCGACCGTCTTCTCGGCACACTCGCGTGTTGTGCGGTACCAGGCGTCGAGCTGGGCCTTGTCGATGGCCGTGCGCAGCTGCTTGTCCTCCCAGCGCATGGCGTCAAGGAGCTTGGCGCTGAAGCTGTCGTCCATGTTGTCGAAGCGGCGGTCTAGCGTCTCGGTGAAGACGCCAGCGGTGTCGGAAGGTTTGAGGAAAGGATGGAATCGCGGGTTTTGGTGTTCTGTGATGATGTTAGTGAACTTGTGTCTAATAGGGGGTGGATATGGAGAAGACGGAAAGAGTTGGAGAAAACATACGCGCATCAACAACCGCAAATAGGGTGTGGTAAGTGGCCGTCTCGCCGACCGTGGCCAGCTGGTCCAAGTCGTCCTTGTCATTCGTCTCATTGACGCGTTTCCAATCATCGCGCGTGAAACACCTCCGCCAAATCAACCGCTCGGCATCGGCCCGCTCGCTACCCTTCAGGCCGTACTGAGCAACCTGGAGCGCAAGGTAGAACTGGTCGCCAATGATGTCGCCGTGATTATCGGGCAGCGCGATCAGAGTGAGGAGGTCAATAAGCGTCAGCGGCTGCAGCGCTTCGTGGCGAAGCAGGCGCGACATAGCGTCGTTGAAGAGCTGGTGAAGTGCCTTTTGCCTCTTAGGGATCAGCACGGAATGCTCCTTAAGCGCAAGCTCGATCTCGGCCGCTTCGTCGACACCCTCCTGGATGGCCGGTAGAATTTGGTCGTAGAGCGAGTCTTGGATCTTGATGAGCTCCAAGGCATGGTCGATCTTCTCGAGGTTGGCGCCGTTCTTCCCTTCGCTCTCCGAGCCCGTGGTGCTGACTCCGTCGCCATTGACCACTTCGTCCGCAAGAAGGGCGAGCTTGCCCAGGCTGAGCTCAATCTTCTTGCTCCAGACCTGCTGCTCGCGGGTCAGGCCTAGGCCAAGCAGGGTCTCGGCCGCGTGGTCGATATCCTTCTCCCGCTCAACGTCATTGATCCATGAGATTTTGGCCAACTCCGGTTTGGTGCGGAGGAACTTGGTCGCGTAGCCATGTTTGTCGTGTTTGAAATCCAACACGGACTGGACGCCGCTGTATTCGAGTAGAACCTGGTACGCGCGGAACGCGAAATCCTCCTCATACTCGTCGAATAACTCACCCATACTTTGCTTCTTGGACTCCACAAGGTTATGGCTTTCTACCGCTTTGGCCTCGGGGGTGTTCGGATTCGAAACTACAGCCTCCAACGCAATAATCTGCGACACCACGACCTCGGCGAGCGAGTCAAACGCCTTGTATTCCTTGGCGAGTTCAATAGCCTCGTCCCACAAGTCGAGATCCTTAAGTTTTAGAATCTTGTTGTAGACATCCTCCTGATAAACGTGCTGATAGGCTCGGCCACGTTCCTGGGCTTGGGCGTCATCGCTCAATGAGGCCCAGGAAGAGAATTCATTCAGAGACGTAAGGTACTGGCTGGTTAACGAGGGCAAGAGACGGCGAGTTCCCTCGAGCAAGCGGGTATCTACCGGTGTGTCCTGGGGGGATTTATTAGAACACTGCTCCAGCCACTGATAGCAGAACTCGACCAGTCGCTTGAGATTGTTGACAATAAAGAAGGTGGCAGTCCAGGGTTCGGGTATAGCATTCCCGCCCGCGATTTCACTCGGGTTGATGCCGTAATGCGCCGCGTGGTCCGCTCGAAATCGGCGAGCCTCAAACAAGGCACCGGTGTTCATCGTGACGGCTTCCCAGACCAGGCGGTTGATGCCGATTTCGTCTGACAAGTTTTCAGTGTAGTGGTACTTGATGATCTGATAGGCCCAGGCGACAAAAATATCCAGCCTCCACACATCATTGATAAACCAGTGGCGCACGGGATCGACCTGGCCAACGGCCGGGTTCAGCTCAGTTTTTTGCTGTTCGTTGATGTAGACTGCGGTTTCAGAGATAAGCGTCCGCTTTTCCCCCATAGGGCGGTCGGCAGCAAACTGCTCGTGTTGTTTCCAAATCCAAGTCGCAACAGCCATCTTCTCGGAATTATAGAGAAGCATCCATCGAGTCCGTGGGTCCAAGTCGATGTTGAGTGAGTTGAGATAGGTAATCAGGTGTTCCAGAAAGGCAACTCTGGTCTTCATGTTGTTCTCGAGTGAGGCCGGTAGGTTGGCCACGAAGTGAGTTTTGGAACTCACAATCTCGTTGCTGAGCTCGATCGCCGCGTTGCCAATCTCTTCGTTGGAGAAGGGAAGGGCTCGGCGCCCCTTGAATACCAACGGGGTGCTCTCCTTGGTACCGAAAAACACAGCCTGTTCTAGCTTGCTCTTGGCCGTGACTTGAGGCGGCGCATCGCTCGCGAACCGATCGATGTCGGATAGAGCAACCCGGAGAGTCCCAACTCCTTGGAGCAGAAGCACAATGGAGGGGTTCTTGGTCCTATGGCGGTGCGGTCTTGGGTCGTCTTGCGTGTGCCTCACCTCGTTGGGTTCCTCGACCCCAGAGCCGACAACTTGAAGCGTCTCTTCGTCCTGAAAGTCTACCACGTCTTCGAAGGTGTGTGGTAAGATATGAGTGTCTTCCTGTAGCTGCGCATCCGGAGAGTCGGGTGGCGCAACCATCGACGCGATCACCACAGCCCTGGAAAAAACTAGGAACGCAACTAGTCCAGGTCGCGGAAGGTAGACCCGGGGCTTCTCAACAGCGCTCGAGCGGGTAGGGTTGGTATACGAGGACACCAGCCGTACATTCCCCACGCGAGGCCCCTCCGGACCCAAGACCACCTCAACTAGCGAGTATCGAGCTTGATGACCCCTAGAAAGTGATACGAGGAGCAGCGCATGTTGCAATGAGTCCTCCTCATGAGTCAGCGCTTCACTGAGGCGGCTAGCGCTCACATAGCGCTGTTCTAACCCACGTGGTACAAGAGTAAAGTCGTGCACCTCAAGCGACTCTTGCGAGAAGTTGGTAGTGAGTAGCGGGTCAGCCTTGTAGATTGCTTCCACTAGGCGGTCTCGGATATCAAAGTCCGCAAGAAGCTCGTGGTGACCACCGCGGTGGATCAACCACGAGTGGAGGCGCCCCTTGGTCGTGGCCGCTACTACCACACGCTCTCCGACCTTAGATCCCTGGCTAGTCCGCGCAGCCGCAATCTCGCCACGGAAGGCAGCGGAGCTCAGGGCATGGCGAATGGTGCCAAAGAAACCTAGAGCGTTGCCACCAAGAGCACCGCGGAGAAACTGGACGGTGATTGCGGGCCGCCCATGGGAATCCCTCACGCTCATATACGCCATTCGCCCGGTGCTGAAAACAAGGACGAAGCCGGCTGACCCGGCGTTGACGATTTGCGTGACATACTCGCCCGAGTACATTCCGGAAATCGAATCCTCAACACCAGTCCGTTGTTGGCGAATAAAGTCAAGCGTGGCTGCGCTCGAGATAGACTCCCAGTAGGCAATCTTGCCGCTCATGGGCATGACGATAACCAAGCCTGGCTCCTCGGATGAGGCGGCGGCGGTGACTAGAGATGCTACAGGAAGAGGGTCGGAGGCGTGTTTCGATGGGTATGGGAGGGTAAAGGTGAAGGTCTCGGGGGAAGATGTCGTCGATGTATAGGGCCAGACGAAGGCATGTGTGTGCGTCAGGCTCAATCCATAGCCTGTTGACGAGTAAATCGCGCCATGCTGCCGGTCTAAGTTAAGAACGAGTTAGCATTGTTTGCTTGCGGCTTGTATCTCCTGTAAAGCGGTATAGGGGCCTGGGTCTTACTCTGTGCATCGGCGCGTAGTCGGTCTGGAAGGGCTGGCAGCTTGCTAACTGTGAACGCATTGTTTGTTGTCTGACAGGATTTACATTTTGTTAGTTCACGGATGCGCTCCACATCGTACGAGTGGAAAGGAAGAGCTGGAAGAGGGAGAAAATATAAAAAACAGACGGACCAAAACAACGCTCCCATCTCCCTTGGCGAGTCGCTCACCCGGCTTGGGCTTCTTTGAGCGGACGCTAAGTTCCTTTCGCGTCGTTGTGGTGATGTTCTCCATGCCATCGCGCTTTGCCGTGTGAAGGTCGATCTTGTCAGGCTTGACCTCGTACATTTCCGGCTGCGGGTCGGGATCCACGAAACTCGTCTCGGGCGGCGGCACCCTTTGTCGCTTTGCTTTCGGTTGCTGTGTCGAGGGCTCGGACGTGCGTTGCCTGCGGCGACTGCTTCGTGTGCCTTTGGCTGGCCCGCCTTCTTGGACCGCCGAGGAAAACATTTTCGCGACCGGTTTGATGGATGCGCGGGTGGTGGGCGTTGAGGTTCGGCGCGAACTTGACGATGTTTGTGCACAAGCTCGGGGAAAGAAGCGAGGATCGTGGACCAAGGGCCTCAACAAATCATCGCTGGCCAAAACAGGACGGATGATGATGGAAAAACAGAAAAGAAGTGTATGAGTCGGGTCGCCAGCCGATGCTGTGAGGGCCCAAGTGTGACTGCGCTAAAAGCGAAAACAAGCGACCCAGCGAAAGGTTGAGAAGGGAATGGATCTCGACAAGGCGGGCAGAAAGCAGGAGTGACGAAGCCTTCATCGATTGGCCCTGTGTTGACTTTGGGCAAAAATTCCCGGGCTACCACTGGCTGAAGCTTGGACGTCGTGGAGCCAGCCCAGCAGCGCTGAACTTGCGCCGTTGCCAGCTCCTTCCTGCGCGTTCACATCAGATTGAGCGGTTCCACATTAAAGCGGGGCACGCGCACCCCCAAGTTTGACGCACGAACAACGCGGGCCAAATGCGACGCCCTGCAAACTGTTCCTGGCCCGTTTTTTTGGCCTCGATGGCCAATCAAGCCAATAGCGCAACCACTGTGTGCCGACTTATTAGAGATCTTGGCTCGGCCCGGGGCTTCTCTTTTTCAGAGTTGCCTCCTTACAGCTCACTGATAGTTGCGGGATGAACAGTGTCCTTTTATTTTGAAGAGGGAAATCTCATTTATTTATTAACTTTTCGTGACTGGCTTGGGCCACTTCCATCCCGGCATTGAGATCAATACTTGTTTTCTTAAGTATCTGGTGAAATCATCAACGTCGTCACCCGAGGTAAAGTTCACAGGTTACGGTTAATGGTGTTTTAGTTTCTAACTGAGGCCGTACATTTCAGCCGACCATAAGATACCTGTTTTGGATTATATTTTTCTTTATATTTTCATTTTCCACTCATCTTTCTCGCCATTCGCCACATTTTTGTTTTGCATCGTTTGTCTGCTTTCCCCTTTTCGCCCCGGGGCTCTAGCCGGCCATGAAGCGGGCCGCCACATCGGTGACCATTACCGACCCCTTCGTCAAGTACACCTCTCTCATCGCCACCGGCGTCTACAGCCCCGACACCGCCCAGTACCGCCTTGCCCACCACCTACAACAGGTGTACACCAGACTCAAAGACTACACCCCGTCACACGAGTACCGGACCCGCCTCCGCCAACTCGCGGCAGCCGTCGATGCGACTCGGAGAACTGATGTCGATGGCCGGGAGCTCGCAGCACCCACGCACCCGCTTCGACGGAACCCGCTATTTGCGAGATTTTTCTCGAGGGATGGTGGCGGAGACGGTGGGACGGGGGGTGGTAGTCTGGCGCTGGCGAGGGTCTTGACCAGCTATCAGGCTGCGCTGCATGTGGACTCGCCTAAGGGGCTGTTCCTGTCCGGGGAAGTTGGCACGGGCAAGTCGATGCTTCTGGACCTGCTGGCAGATGGTTTGCCGACGCGGCGGAAGAGGAGGTGGCATTTCAATACCTTCATGCTCCATACGTTTTCCAAGCTAGAGGAGTTCCGGAAAGCGAGGCCGCTGGTGTCGGCGGATAACCCAGAGTACTCGCTGCTGTGGATGGCCAAGGAGCTCGTGGAGGCGTCGCCTGTTTTATTTCTGGACGAATTCCAGCTGCCGGACAGAGCTGCGAGCAAGATCATGAGTAATTTGTTTGTGGCTTTCTTCCAGCTTGGTGGCGTGCTCGTGGCCTCCTCGAATCGGATGCCTGAGGAGTTGGAAAAGGCTACGGGGGGTTATTATTCACCACCAGCGACGGGGGGGTTGGTTGAACGGGTCTTGGGTCTTAGGAAGGGGCGGTTTGGGGGTGAGCTGTTTGGTCAGACGAGCGACTTTGCGGCGTTCTTGGAGGTGCTTAAAGCGCGGTGCGACTTTTGGCACATGGAGGGGACCCAGGATTGGAGAAGGAGGGAAAACCGCGAGGGTTGTGCTACGCGGACAATGCATCCTGCTGAACAAGTTCCTGGGGCACTACTTTCGTGGGAGTCAACGGGCGAGTCCAAGGAACCGGCTGTGTCAGTCGAAACGAAGACGCATCTACCGGCCATGTATTTCTCACCGTCTGACGGCGAGGAGGCTTGGGCGGCCGGACTACAACAGACGGTTACGGCAAACAAAACAGGCCAGAAAGCGGAAGATATCAAATGGGAACCCGCTACGTTGGTGGTGTACGGGAGGAAACTGGTCGTCCCCCGACAACGGGACGGAGTATCGAGCTGGGACTTTTCCGAGCTCGTCAGTTCCTTGGGACCAGCCGACTACGTCACATTAGCGTCCAACTACCACACATTCATTGTCGACCGCGTCCCGGTCCTGACGATGTCCATGAAAAACGAAGCGCGTCGGTTCATCACGTTACTGGATGCGCTCTACGAGTCCCGTTGCAAGCTGGTCATCCGAGCCGCAGCCGGACCTGACCATCTCTTCTTCCCCGAGACACAACAACCACCGACAAGTGCGGCAGCCGAGCACAACGGCCGAGAAGACAACGCCAGTACCGGCATCAACGCCAGCACCAACGATGACGCCACCTACTCAGAAACAATCGCCGAAGTTTACCAAGACCAAATGGCACCCTTCCGGCCCAACATCTCAACCTACGCCGAGTCCTCACCCAACGCCAAATACGACCCAGACCAAGACTCCGATTTTGGCAAGGAACAGGACCCCCGCATCGACTTCCGCAAAACGGGGGCCTTCACCGGCGAAGACGAGCGGTTCGCCTACAAGCGCGCGACAAGTCGGCTGTGGGAGATGTGTAGCGCGCAGTGGCACGCGCGGACGAACGAAGCAGGCGAAGGCGAAGGCGTATCGTGGTGGCAGCCGCTCCCAAAGGAGGCGCGACACTGGGAGGGGAGCGAGGTGTCTCGACCACCGCCGTCGGCTTTGGCGGAGCTGTCGTCGTCGTCGTCGTCGTCCAAGGAGGGGAAGCGGGTGTCGAGTGAGATCACGATGGGCGCAGCGGTGGAGTTGGAGGAGCCTGTTGGGTTGGAGCGGTTCCGGATTGCGAGGATGAGGAAGGGGGACCAGTAATCAACCTTCTTCTTCTCTTTATGTTTATTTTCTTCAGGGCTCTCGCATGTTTGCAGGAACCGTTTGCAGTGGGGGAAAGCCAAGCTGCTAGCTTCGTTTGTGCCGTCCCGGGAGCGGTACCCCAGAAGCCTGGACCCAGCGCGCTAGCGCAGGAGTGAAGACGTGCATGTCGTCATGTCTAGTATTGGTGAGAGCGGCGTGTGTGTGTCGTTGTTGCCGTTCCTGCTGTTGTTGTTGTCGTTATTGACTTTGTTGATGCTTCAAAACTTCGCGGTGGCCATAGAAACCCGAGAAGACACCGGTAACACACCACACACCCTTGATAACTTCCAGAACAAGGCGTCGGAATCATTAGCGCCAGGGCACCCTTTAAGGCACCTGTGGGTCCACAGTGTAACCCCCCGCGCTGTGAATTCCCGAATTTGGAGGATGCGATCGGAGAAAAAAGAGAAGCGTCAAGCGAGCCACGTTTTTGCCTTTTCTCCTGATTTCCTTCCCTCATTTCTCACCCACTCACAAAATCCGGCTTGTGTGATGCCAAAACAAGGCATACTTGATCGAATTTCATTGCTGTCTGTCCCAGTTTCATTACCATCCACACCACCCGAATAATAACCAAGAAGAAAAAAACACAGCGAAACTGCCGGATTCCCAGGTCCGGCCCTCCTCAACACCCCCGGCCGGAGTGGGCCAATGACCGTTCCCGGCTTCCCTCACAATTCCAAGAACGGTAACTCTCCACTAGCCGGAGCAAGTCTCCCCGCAGCGGCCAAGCCCCGAGAGCTCCCGGCAGGTCACTCCCCGGAACGCCGTCATCCCCCGCCCTTTTCGGAATATGGGGATGAGAGTGACTTGGCTTGGTATGGCCGCGCTCCGAACTACATCGTAACCGAGCCCGGGGATGGTTAGTAGAGGACGGAGAAATAATATTTGAGACTTTGGGGGGCACGCCGTCGTTTGTTGTGCGTAACAAGTGTCTAGCCTAGCCAGATCGAGAAAGCCCCCTTACCGAGGCTCTGTCATCGCTGGTGGTCTCCTTTGCTCTCTTGCGGTGCTTGAATCTGTGTAAGGGTGAGCAGCGTGTCGATCGTAGGGCCGAGAAAGAGTCCAGACATACCCCCAGAAGCACCCCAGACTTCCAGCAACCCCAGATCGGCCCCTCCAAGATCTTGGTACATACCTCTCACCAGCGTTACCACTCTCCCCTTACCCCAACCACTCTCCTAACTGTTCATTCGTGGTTTCCGGATGCCACCGTGATATCGTTGCCGACAACAAACTAGCCTACCTAGTAGATCATTTCGTGCCCCTTCACTTCTTCCCTTCAACACCATCTACCTACAGTAGAGCTCCTCATACCTCGTGTTAACCACACCTTACAACCTACACCTCCCACGCGTAACAGACACTAAACCGGATCAAATACAATCCCTAAAAAACCAACCAGCTAGACAGCAACCGGGCCGACACTCTCACGCCCCCGGCGCGGGGTGAACCGCGTTACCGAACCACCTCACCCCTCATCATCTCTCCATCCACCACTCAAAACGAAAGCATGGGCGAAAAGACCAAACTCCAAATGCTGATGCGCTCCCGCACAGGCCACGGCTATCGCCGTCGCCAGCTACGGCAGATCACACTCTTGGTCGGGGCTGTCCTAGCGTTATATTGTTTTATTTTTGTCTGGTCTACACCAACCTCATTATCACCATCATCATCGTCGTCGTCGCCATGGTCACGATCTTCCTCCAGATCAACATATCCAACATCCCGTTCGTCCTCGTCTTCAGCCTCCAAACACTCATCACGGACACCGCCAGCCGAGATTTTGAATAATCTGTCGCTGAACGAGGAGCAGTGCGAAGCATATTTCCCGGGGTTGACCAAGGAGCTTGACGATGTGGTGGCCGAGGGTCCGTTTGTGGTGAAGCAGCTGGGTGATTTTGGGCCCTTGCAGGGGCGGATTCGGAATGGACAGGTGGGTTTTTTTTTCTCATGCGGTTGGAGGGTACCCATCCCGAGTGTATTAAATTTAATTGAACCTCTGGTGCTAATCTTTGGATAACTAGATCTCTATCCTCCATGCGCAGCGCAAGGCTGATCTTTCGCGGGAGATGCTTAACGTAAGTCAACATCACCGGCTCAAACCGTTTAGTTCCCTCGGTTCCTGATCTCTGGACCTCTCAAGGTATACTAACATCCTTCTAGTCACGAACAGCCTCCTTACACCAACTCAACCGCGCCCTGCTCACTTCCCCTTCCCCGCTCCCAGACACCATCTTCACCCTCAACTTCCAAGACCAGCCCTTCGGCACCGCCTGGGCCTACTCACGCCACGCCGACCCAACCTTCCGCTCATCCGACCCCAACGCCCGCAGCTTCCTAATGCCTCACTTCTCCTTCTGGGCCTGGGACCTGCCCTTCATCGGCTCCATGTCGCGCGCAGCAGCCGCCATCACCGCGTTAGAGGATGAGTACACCGGTACCGGTACCGCAGGGGGCCGGGGCTGGAAGGACAAGATCGGCAAAGCCGTCTGGCGCGGCACGACCTGGTTCAACAGCGTGCATAGCCCGCGACTGCGGCAGAACCTGGTACTTGCCGCGCGGGGGAAACCGTGGGCGGACGTCGAAGCGCTGGACTGGCATCAGGGCAATAGTAAGAGCGCGAACAACGCGAGCAACGCGCTGCCGATCGAGGGGTTTTGCCGGTACAAATATGTCATCCACACCGAAGGGATCGCTTACAGTGGGCGGTTCCAGTTCCTGCAGATGTGCGCCAGCGTCGTGTTGACACCGCCGATCCAGTGGATGCAGCATGTTACGCATCTCGCTCGGCCGCTGTTTACGAGCGATCTGAGGCTCAAGGAGAAGAGCGGCGGGAAGCAGTGGACGCCGACGGATAAGATCAAGCGGGCCTGGCCGGTTGGATACTCGCCCGAGGAGGCGAATATTGTGTTTGTTGCGCCTGACTGGTCGGATCTGGAGGAGACCGTGGCCTGGTTGGAGGAGAACCCGGAGATTGCCGAGGGGATTGCGAGACGACAACGGGAAATGTTTGTGGGGGGTGGTTATTTCAGTCCCGCGGCCGAGACGTGTTACTGGCGGGCTATGGTGCGCGGATGGGCCAAGATGGGTAAGACGGAGGGTCAAGGGTGGGAGGAGGTTGAAGGTGTGACGTTTGAGACGTTTAGTCTGACGAATACCGTGTGATGGGTGCGTATTTGTCGTGTCTTTTGTTTTCGAAAATAGCGATTAGGGTCTTGGCGTTCGGCGGTATGTGGATGGTTCGAGAGGCTTGCGGCGTGTCTTGGTGTTGAGAACGGGACTGTATATATTGAACAGCGCTTGTGTATACCGTTTTGTTGTCTCCGCTTGTCCGTCCCCTGTTCCAGAGAGGCCTCTTAACGTCTAACACCCCAAACGCCAAATTCATGATGTCCCGTCACTTCTTTCGAGAGGCCCCTCACAAATTCGCAACCCCCGGCCCCCAGTTCTCCCCAATCCGCCTCAAATCCTCCGCAAACTTCCGACTCGTAATCCTCCTCCCACCCTGCCCCTTCGGCGGCGAGTGTTCATCCGGTTCAAAGAACGGATTCTGCAACAACTTAATATACGCCACCTGCATCGCCTTAAACACCACCCTCATCTCCCCTTCCCTCAACCCAACCCCCGTAGCACCCACATTATTACCCGCTCCTCCCCCTCCTCCAGCCCCGCCACCAACACCCGCGCCCGTCCCATCTAACCGCCGCCCTCTCATATCCACAATCGCCACAAACCGCGTGCCCGTATTCGTCTCGAACCCATACGCTGCCAGCCGATCGTCGACGGCATGGAGTAGGCCAAAGTCGCCGGTCAATCCGGTGCCTGCGGCCGCGTTCTGTCGGGCCCGCAGCTCAAAGACGTCGAGGGTGCTGGAGAGGATGAGGGAGAATTGTAGGGGGGTGCGGACAGGGCGGTAGGAGGAGGTGGACGGGTCGTAGGAGGGGAAGATGGTTGTTTGGAGGGGGTTGTTCTGGGAAAGGAGTTAGCTGTTGGGATGGGGGACTTGTTTGGGAAAAGTCATTGGGTTAAAGGTCGGTGTTGAGGCACTTACATTTCGGCCGATTACGCCGAGACAGGCGATCGAGGGGATGGTGGTCGCCATGCCGGCAACAGATGGGAGTTGTTGGAAAGTGAAAGATGGAGGATGATGTTGAACAGGTCAAAGCACCTGAAGCTCCAGCAAGGTGCTGCAGGGGTCCGCGAAGGGTTATGTGGGGCGAAAGAGCAGAGGTCGGGGAATACCGTCAAGGTTTCTTTCCGTTTCAAAACGGAATTTCTTTTCAAGATCGGGTCTCCCAATGCTGAGAATTGACTGAGAAACAAGAAACGAGGCCATTCCAAGGTAATCTAAAATGACATGATAATATCGAGCAATTGCTACCCAATGAGTGCCCCATAACAGGGCACGGCCAACGCCAGACCCCGGCCTAATATACACTAACTATAATACCAACACCAATATCAATACGGCCCTGGCCATTCCTCACTCACTCTCCTTCCTCATCGACAAAACACTCAGTCTCTTCCAAACCCCTCAACACCTCCTCAATCTCACTTGGATCCGTAATCGCCCACACACCGCCACCCTTGACCGTATCCTTCCCCCGCATACCCACCTCTTTCCCAACCAGGTTCCGCCCAACCTTCCCGGGTCCAATACCCACCCATCTCCTGACCCGCTGCTCCTGATCGAGATACTTGATGCTGTCCCACCACCGCACCGTCTCTAAACACCCCCTCGCTAGAAGATCCTTGAGGTCTGCCCGGCTGCTAAACGGCCGCGCCGTTACGTTGCTGATACAAGGCACCGTACCCGGCCATGCGACAATGTCCTCTCCTTCTTTCCCTTTCGCACGGCTAGTCCCCGCCAAGACCTTTTGCATGACTGACACTGCAGGCTTCATGATAGGGCTGTGAAACGGACTGTCACTCTTTAACCTCACGGCGCGTGGGTCGTGGCCGAGGAACTGCCGGACATGGGCTACCAGCGTCTTGATGCGCTCAATGTTGCCGCTCAATACAATCTGGTTCTTGCTGTTGATGTTGGCTATCAGCACCTGGTCGATCGGCGACCGGTCTTCGGCGCTCTCCGACTTGCTCCCGGGGCTGCTGTGGCCGACGAATTCGTGGATTGCGGCGATGAGCGATTGGAGATACGGGGGTTCCGTCACGATCGCCACCATGCCATACTCGCCGCCGTACTCCTCCTCGGCACGCCGGGTGGCCGCGGCCATAGCCTCTGCCCGTTTTTGCACCATGAAAAGGCTGTCTTCGAATTCGATGAAGCCGCTAGAGACCAGCGCCGCAAACTCGCCGAGAGAGTGGCCCAACGTAAAGTCAGCACGCTCGGCCGTCCGGAAGCCAAACTCCTTCTCGAGGATACGCATGATCAGGATCGAGGTGGCCATGATGGCCGGTTGCGCATTCGGTGTCGCATTCAGCACTCGCCCAGGCCCATTGTGTATTACGTCGGATAACTTGTACCCCACAATATGATCGATTTCCTGGATTATCGGTGTGGCCGTCGCGGGGAAGGCTTCCAGCCAGGACGTGAGCATGCCCACCTTCTGAACTCCTTGCCCTATTGAAGCCCGCGATAATCAGCGACTGGGGTAACGGGGGAGGGCCAGTAAGCAGTAATATAGCGCACCCGGAAAAAAGATGGCCGTTTTGGGGCGACCACTCCCCGTTGACGACGCATGACGAACATGTGTTTGCGACACCACGGCCCACTGCTGCTGCTGTCTCAAGCTCACGGACCCCAAGCTGGCGTCTACGCCTATACTTGCCCGTGGCCAGGGGCTAGCGGTGTTGCTGAGCACACGATAGGGACCGCGCCGCAGCAGCGGACTCATTCTCGCCGCCAACGTCGTCGCCGTTTTCGGAAGAGGTCGGAGGCACGCCCGGAAAACAAAATAAAAGAACAGAGGGGGAAACTCGTTGTCGCCAGCGGCCAGCCAGGGGAGTAGCTGGGACGTTTCAGGGCCGTCGTCTCATCGGATTGTATGGGGGTTGTGTGCTTGGTGGACTGCCCAATGTTTAGAAGGGAGGGAAGAAGACTCCCGGAGTCGGGAAAGCGCGGAGGGGTTCGGGACTCCCAGTTCGGTAAACATGGACGGACGGACAACATCGGCGGGACAGCGGGATGGCTCGCGGCCGTGACGCAGCTGAGACCCTGGAAACGGAGCCTCGGGCCCAGCAGTTGTGGGGAGGATCCGCGCAGGTGCGCCAACGGAGGCTGCAGTGGGGAGCAGCCGTGGGGCAGGGCTGGGAAACGTAACGTTTGGTATTGTGTAATTTACGCGGTATGGAGTACATGGTAATTTTTTATTCACACATGGGAAACTTCAAATCATTCACATGAAAGATTACAGCTCTCAAACGATTTCATGGTTCTTTCACACGACTCCCATCACCCAAAGCTTCAACTAGGCAGAGGCAACCTTAGACTTTGATGTTCGAACATAAGTCGGGAATTCGGTCGTCCGTACTACCATTCAACAAACCTCAATTCGATTTGTAGCAAAGACGACCAAAACGAGAAACAAAAAAAAGAAAAAAGCCAAAACCTCATTTTCGTCTCCACGAGAGACAACCACTACCATGCCCATCACCATCCTCCCACCAAAACCCGCCCGACCGCTCAACACCTCCCACGGCGCCCACCCCGAAGATGGCTCTTCCCTCTCCTCAGACGAATCCGACTCCGGCGGCGGAGGTGTCGGCCTTGACGACGGGGACATCTCCATGAACCTCCCCCCAACAACAACCACCACAAAAAACCCAGCCCACTCCTCCCATGCTCACTCCCTCGTCACCCCCGGCGAAAGCATCACCTCCGACCCGCAATGGATGCGCGGCCACGGCACCTACATCGCCACCGACACGACCGCCATCACCTCCTCCGTAGCAGGCACCATCACCCGCACCAACAAGCTCCTCTCCGTGCGCCCGCTCCGCGCCCGCTACACCCCGGAAGTCGGCGACCTCGTCGTCGGCCGCATAGTCGAAGTGCAAGCGAAACGGTGGCGTGTAGACGTCGGATCTACGCAACTTGCTGCCCTCCCGCTTAGCGCGATCAACTTACCCGGTGGTATCCTGCGCAAGCGGACGGAGACGGATGAGTTGCAGATTCGGACGTTTTTCGCGGAGGGGGATTTGGTGGTTGCTGAGGTGCAGCAGTTGTTTGGGGATGGCGGGGCTGTGCTGCATACGCGGTCGTTGAGGTATGGGAAGCTGCGGAATGGGGTTTTTGTGGCGGTTAGTGGGGTTGGTGGTGGCGGTGGGGTGGTGCGTAGTCGACGGCAGGTGTGGACGATGGATGTGGCGCAGGGGGCTGGCCAGGTGGATGTGATTTTGGGGGTGAACGGGTATGTGTGGATTAGCAAGCATGTTGAGACGCCTGCGGAACTGGAGGCGGGGGGTGCCACGGGTGCGGGTGCAGGTGCAGGTGCGGGCGTGGGGATCACGAATATGGAGGAAATCGTGAGCGCGACCATGTACTCGAGCCAGAACGATCCGATTGAGGTTGAGACGATGCGGGAGATTGCGAGGCTGCGTGGGGTGGTGATGGCGTTGGTGGAGAATGGGTTGAGGGTGGATGAGGATATGGTGGTTAAGGGGTATCATGAGGCTGTGGAGATGGCGTTGGCATCGGCGGACGGGCCGGAGGATGTCTATTTGGGTGATGAGAGGGGACAGCAGCTTGCTGCGGCGCTTACGGGGCTGTGAGCAAGCACCCTTTTTGTGGTGGTAATAAGTAAAATAAAATAAAAGTGATTACATTCAGCAAATGCCGACGCTCAAATCAAGTTCCGTCACAGTTCATAGGTAGGTGAGAACCGAGAGTCAACGACTCGAAAGTAGTCAAGACTGGTGAAATTAAAGCTACAGAATGATGATTCAGGAGCTTGGATATAAGTTAAGATACATAGGAAACTAGTTGAATGAGAATGAGCCAGCAAACCCCCCAAAGGCAAAGCATAGGCATAGGTACATCATCTGAGGAGTTACATGGGGTTTAGGTTAATACGACAGGCGGAACACCAGAATCCATCCTACGTCGTGGGTATCATTACCGAACCGAGCTAGATAAGCTCCGACTCGGCCGAACAACAAAGAGAGAGTGCCGCAGCCGGCCATCAGGTTGGAAACGAGAGCGGGACCGAGTGGGTTCTGAAAGGCTTCGCTAAGGCTTTTTATTCATCGTCTCCTATAGTACAAAGTATGACATTAGATTCCTGAACCAGCTGAGATACAACCGCAAAAATCCAAAAACGCGAGATACCCTCCTGGCAAGATCCAAAATGAAAAACAAGATTTAAGTTAATCAAGAAAAGGAAACAAAAGCCTAATTCCTAAGACCGCCGTGCGTGTAGAGATAGTGGGCGAGGAGGACAATCGCCCAGCGCATTAACGCACCTTTGGCGCTCTTGCCGCCCAGCCCGCAGACCACGCCGGTCCAGTACCCAAGGCCCTTGACGACCTTGCCGTTGCGATCGAAGTTGGGCTTCTTGTTGGTGAAGCGAGTGAGGAGCTTGAGCTTCTTGTAATCAAACGGCATGTATCGCACCGCGATGAGCTTCTCCGACCAACTGGGCGTCTCTGACACGGTACGGAAATGCGTAAACGCGTCGAAGCTGGCCTTGCCACGGTACGCGCCCCAGCCGCTGTCGCCAACACCGCCAAAGGGAATGGTGTTGACCGAAGCGTGGAAGAAAGCATCGTTGAGGGTTGCACCGCCCGATGTCATTTCGTTCAGGACTACGCAGGTATGTTAGTTTATTAAAGCACGAGATTTTGATCACGAATGTCAAGAACATGAACATACCCTTCTCGTTCTCGGCCTTGGAGCCAAATGAGAACAGAGATAACGGTGTACGGTGAACCAGGTTCGCTGTCGAAACAGCCTCATCGAGCGTGTTCACGGGGTAAATGCAGAAGATGGGCCCAAACGACTCCTCCTGCATCATCGAGTCGTTGACCGAGTTGACCAACACAGCGGTGGGCTCGATGAAGTTCTCCGTCTCATCCAATGAACCTCCCATGACGATTTTCCCCTGGGTATCGTCAAGCATCTTCTTGAGCCGCAGGAAGTGGCGCTTGTTGACAATGCGGCCAAGGTCTGGACTCGCCTGGGCGCCCTTGGGGAACATCTCCTTGTAGGCAGCGTTGAGGTGGGTGATGAAGGTGTCGACGAGATCCTTGTGGATGAGGATGTAGTTCTGAGATAGACAGACCTGGCCCGCGTTTACCGTCTTGCCCCAGAGCAGGCGCTTGGCAGCCAGAGCGAGGTTCGCATTCTTGGTGATGAAAGCAGGGTTCTTGCCACCGAGCTCAAGCACCACGGGAGTCAGGGTCTCGGCAGCCTTCTTCGCAATGATGGTGCCGACCGGGGCGCTGCCGGTGAAGAAGATTTTGTCCCACTTCTCGTTCATGAGCGCGTTCGTCTCGGGGATGGCTCCGTTAACCACGGCGAAGGCGCTGTTGTCAAGTCTCTCAGCGAGGAAAGTCTTCATCACCATTGCGCACTTGGGCGTCAGTTCCGAGGGTTTGAGAACCGCAGTACACCCAGCGGCGATGGCGCCAACCAGAGGAGCCAGGAGGAGCTGGATAGGGAAATTGTAGGGGCCGATGATGAGGACGGTGCCCAGAGGTTCTTTCCGAACGCGCCACGACATGAAGGAGTAAGTGAGCGGGACCGCGGGGGCACCCAATTTGTCGTCTTTGGCGAACTTGTCCAGGTGATCAAGCATGAACATGCAGTCCTTCTTCATCCAGTCAATCTCCGTGAGGGTGGCCTCAAAGTCGGATTTTCCCAAGTCATCCTTCAGGGCGGCGACAAGCTGGGGTGTATAGTCCTCAACCGCCCAGTACAGTTTGCGCAGTTGTGCCTTGCGCCATTCCAAGTTCTTGGTCTTGTGAGTCCGGAAGGTGCCGCGCGCCGTGCTGGCGATGCCGGGAATGGCGTCCAGCGCCGTATGTTCAAAATCCGCAATCTTGCCGTTGGTAGCCATGACTGCGTCGAGTCGTATGTATGTAGCTGCAGGTTCGGTGGTACCTATCGCGTGCGTGGAAGTCCCCAGGCGCATGCGGTCGTCGCTTGGAAGCGATGTAAGAAATGATGAAAAAAGATTGAGGCGAGATGGGTAGGTCGATAGATTGAGGAAGAAATCAACAGGAAAGAGTGAAAGTGAACGGATCACAGAGGAAAATGAGGGGTTGTTGGCTCAAGAACAGGATCACATTCCAGCGCCAGTGGTACACGTAGTTGTATGATGGCACAAGTCGGGATCGTCCCGATCCTAAGGGATATTGTCCAGCCAAAAAGTTCTGCGGGTGGGTTGGAATGCAGGGATCCCTCACCGAACGAGAAACCATGAGACGAAAGCCGAGGCAGGACGAACCCCACTACCTCGTGCGGAGGTTCGGACTGACTAGTGCTGCCCTGGGTTATGGCCCTGGGCTAACGTTTTTAGCAGGGGCGAAAGACGACAATGTTTTCGATACTTGGCAGGTCCCGAGTCCGTTGTCATCCCCATCGAGCCGAGAAGTTGGGGTTTGGAAAGGATGGGTGGGACCCCGGAGCGGGAGCTCGGACGAACTTTTGCTCCACGAGGTGGGTTAGGATATTTCCTGGGCAACATTCGTTTGTTTCTTCTTTTCTATCCCTTGAAAACGCCACAGCGCTCGCTAACTCAGGCCAAAATGGAACAAACCAACATACTTCGTGTTATGTACACACTACACTAGAGTTTACGGAACTCCCAGCAAACCTCTGTTTGCGTGCGAGACTCAGCTCAATTCTCATATTTGTCGATGTCGAATGTTTGTCGATTTCGAACCGACCCTCTTGCTCTAACCTTCCATGCATGCTGCAGGCCGGAAGCTTGTGCGGAATGGGAAGTCAAGACGAAGGTTCATGCGAATGAACGCTGCCGATTGCCCCGTGCCCCCTCTTCCCCACAGACCTTGCGAGGCGACCCCAAATTTGGCGGAGACTGCCGAGGCTCCCAGGAACTGGATCTGGGGACGCTCTCTTTCAGCTGATGAAACCATCTACCATTGGGGGAACGCAAGTTTGTGAATCCTAGCCGAGCGGCCAGGACGACACAAAAAGGAAAGTCGGCCGTGGACAGTGGAAATGGGAGGCCATGCCTCTCTGCTCATTTGATTTGCATGCTCGCTTTTCCCGTCAAATTGATATTCATCCCAATCTCCAGATGAGCGAGCAGCTGTGGATCGTCGAAACTGGCCACCCCTGGAAAGTTTAACGTTAATTCCATCACCTCTGGTTTCCTTGCCCAGCCTCCCCCTGTTATTATCTCTGTGCGATCTGACACATCCCACTTCCACATCCCGCAAAGCAACAATGCATTGATGGAAGAGGACAATAGGTAGATTACGGAGATCGGATAACAAATATCAAACAAGCCTCCCTCAGCCAACACCAAGTCCCAACCGGCTTCCAACGTGGAAATACGGAAATAATAAGCCCACGGGCCTTCGTGCAGTTTACACAGTATGCAAAGCCAGTTGGTGGAATGCCACCGTGACGGGATCTCAGGGCTGAAAAGTTTCAAAGACTCGTTGTTGGCCCTGAAAGATCGTCTTCACCAACCTCACGACAAGAAGTCTCAAATTTAAAAACGGGAAGGAGGGAAGGGGAGGACAAAAACGAGTAGTAAAATCGGCGTTCATTGCGCAAAAGACCGGGCCAGATCCTCTCAGCAGTTCATTGATATACATTTAAGTTCATAATACACAGTAAAGCATCCCCCAAAGCTGACCACGACCGCGAGGGTCACAGCAAGGGGTAGGCCGTCTCGGTGGACTGGCCTATTATTGTAAGTCGCGACGAAGCACGCAACCGAAGGAGGAGCCGAGCTCGGCAGGTCCTCTCTCAGGCCGGCCCAGGTCAACCGGCAGCGTGGCATAAGACGTAGACCAAACTTCCCTTCTTCTCCATTTCTTGAGCCCCTCTCCCCAGGCTACGCCATGCAGGTGACTAACCCATCCATCATCGCTTACCGAGAGGCACGCAACGACGGCGTTGGCCGCCCCTTCAGCGAGAGGACCGGTCCGTCTACCCTGACGTTTAAGGCTTCCTGAATCGTCCGCACGCCGTCGACCAGTGCACCTTCCTTTCGCTTGCTTTCATCTAACAGAAGTGCTTGTTCTCGTATCGTGCCAAGTTGCTTCTTCCGCTCCTCGGTTACGTGCCAGTCCTTGGGGAACCTGATTTTGGGTTTGAATTTGTGGTGGCGAGTGTCGAGAGGGATGTCCTCAAACATGTCGGTAGGGTCCTAGCCCGAGGTTAGCAGGGGAATTGCTATTTCAGAGGGCCCGGTCTCGTTAAAGTACCTTCGCTGCCGCAATCAACTTATCCACGAGATCTCCCAGATACCGCTTGTTCTGGGCCTGATGCTCAAACCTCTCGCAACTCATCTTGACGATCTCCTTCTCTGGGTTGAATCTGGCCCCGGCAAGCTTTTTAAGCTTTAATTGTTGCGCCGGAGTGAGGCCGGGAACATCAGAGGGGCAGAATTCCACTACAACCTTCCTGTCTGACGGGTGAACTTCGCCCAGGTAAGTTGTGTATCGAAACCGTAGAATTTCTTGTTCCGTAGGTGGTTGGAATGGCTTGGCGAGTCCTAGATTTTTGTGTTAGCCAAGCAGCTGGTCGGCCTGGGTCAGGAACGGCTTACTCGAGAGTAATGGCATCTCCCACACGGCTAGGCGCGCGTACTCTCTGAACTCGCGGTGTTCCTCGAGCTTGGCATGACCCATGGCCATGATGTCGTCCTCCTCAAAATCGTCCTCGCCCACTTCGTCCGTTAACATGTCATTGTCGACTTCGTCCTCATGCCAGAACGTCGACCTTTTTACACGTTGCAGTGCCCGCAAGCCTCGGGTGCCTTCATCCACCTGTTCCCTCAGCGTGTCGTACTCCCGTTTTACTTTTGGGTCTAGCTTCTCCCAGTCCGCAAGCATGCGCTGGGCTTCCTCCCGCTCCTCATTTGTGATATCCTCCTCCTCGAGCAAGCCGGCCAGAAATTCGCCGGGGTTCCTAATATCCGGCCCGGGCTCGCCAGTAAATGCTTTTTCCTCTTCCGTTGGGACGATGATTTTGCCGCGCCATTGTGTCGTCGAGAGCGGTCGGGACGTTGCAGGTCGTGGGAAGGGGATAGAATAAACGGTTGATAACCTCCTATTCGGCCGGAGGCACAGTCGGAGGAGGTTGGCGGGTGTAGCCATACCAGCAAGTCGGGTAGTTGAATCGAGGGGGAATGCGTTACCAATGCGCGGGAGAAACAATGGCCAAAATTTTGGTGGCACTCGCCCACGGCACCCCACCTCAGCCACATCTGCACCGCCACACTTCAAAGAGTTGCTCATGAACTCTTCATGTGCTTCTTCACCGGCGAATTAAACTTGCCTGGGTATCAAAACGAGCATCCGATGATAATGGACTTATAAAGCTACTCACAGGTAGTACGGGGACAATTTCCAGGAGCATTATGAGATTCGGCACCCGATGAGAGAGACTAGGCGTGGCCGGAGCGTTTGTAAGTCATGGTGCGGTTGTGAACAACCTGGAATAGGACACTGGGTCCACCGACCCATCTCTTTACAAAAACATGATTCAGTTTCATCGCAATAGCCCTCTTTAATATTTGGCTAACCTACGTGTAGTTAATGAAGGGTTCGGTTCATCGCATTGTTGAAAGAACAGTGCTTTTCAATGCCTCACAGCTTTGAGTGAGGCTGGCTCAGGTGGGAGGGAAGGTGGAATGCCCCACTTCTTTGAGCGCACAGACCACCTATCCCCCACTATAAATACCAGCCATCCCACTCCGAGTTATTCCCGAGATTTACCCGACCCATCCCCCAAACCTCCACCCTCGCAACAATTAACGCCGACAAAAACCCGAGGTTTTCCCGCCCCAGCACCAACCCCTTTTCTCGTCTCTCACTTATCCACACGCACGAGTGTGTGAAGCTGCGTCGCTGACCTGCACGGCGCCATGAACCCCGTCGACGCGGCCGTTGATGGATCGCAGGCCTCAGATCCCCGTGGCGATCGCCTTGGCGGTGGTGCGTCCCCCGTCCCGGGCCGTAGGTGCTTTGTCACCATCGGTGCCACGGCTGGGTTCCGCTCCCTCGTCGAGGAGGTGAGCACCCCTGCGTTCCTCGCGTGCCTCGCGGCACACGAGTTCACCTCTTTGGAGGTGCAGTGCGGGCCAGACTTGGCCTTCTTTGAGCAGCGGGTCGCCAGTCTCAGCGACGAGGAGATGTGTGGCGTGCTTGTCCACGCGTTTGACTACACGGGCGACATGCACGCCCACATTCTCCTCTGCCGCGGCGAGGCCGGGGCTCGTCCGGCGGGTTGCGTCATCTCTCATGGTGGTGAGTTTGGATTGGGGGGTTGCGACGGAAGAGTGGCAGTGTGTTGGAACTCACAATGAAAATGTAGGCACGGGAACCATTGGAGAAGTGCTTGGTGTCGCGGCCCCACTGATTGCGGTCGCCAACCCGACGCTCATGGACAATCACCAGCTCGAGCTAGTTGAGGATCTTGAGGAGCAGAATCTGGTTGTCCACGGGCAGATTGGGTAAGCATACCTTCCCTCCGTCTCATGAAGGCGGTCACGTTCCTATCCCGATGCTAACGCTACCCGTTGCATAGTTCACTCCCCGCCGCCATCCATCGCATCGTCCAGCTCATCCCCCAAGGCACGTTAGATGATTTGCCGCCGTATCAGCCACCGCCGTTTCCTGTTGCCGCTGCCGACCGTTTTACGCTCTTCGATTGGATGGTACTAACCTGCTACCCAGAGGAGCTTGCCGCCCAGACGCGGGCCCTGGACCTGGGGGAGTCCGCAGCCGAGTCTGCGGCCCATCAACAGCAGCAGCAACAGCAGCAACACCTCGTGGGCACGGAGAGCGCGCGTGCCAGCAGCCGGGAGGACGACGCTCTCCTCCAGCTCGATTAGGAATCCGAGGCTGGCGGCTCTTCTGCGTCAACTGGTGCTGAAGGTTGGGAAAGCGTGGGATCGACCATGGTGGGCGAACCAGATTCGCCTGTGACGAACTTGGAATCTGGCGGTGGAAACAACGCTGCCACTGACGTCCCTGGTGATCCGGAGCACGAAGGCGCTCCTTCGTTGGCACTTGACGGCGTGGCCCAGCCCAACTAGGGACCTGCGGCTGGCCAAATCGTTTCACCAGTGGCCAATGGAGCCGGCGAAGTGGATATGAGCGGATGGGATAGTGAGAGCACCGATTTGGACGAAACTCCTCGCCTCCCAGCTACCTATAACTCCGATGAGCCGTATTACGACCAGCTTGATAACACCTTATTCTCCATCGCTCGCAGGGCCTTCCGCGGAGAGGGAATCATTATCCTGAGTTCGATCGAAGATTTAGACCAGTTCTTAAACTTCGACCCAATCGGCCCCGGCTACAACTACATTGACAACATTGACAACATCATACCTCTCATTTCAGGGGAGCGTGGCCCAGCGACTTTTCCTTCCGTCGATGATGAAGTAGACAATCTCACCAACCCTGATGAGGTTGAAGCCTCCCCGCCTCTCATCTCAGCCGAACATGGCTCCCCGACTCTTTCTTCGATTGGAGACGATAGCGAGGAGGGCCTCATCGACCTTGACGACGCCAACGTCCCCTTGCCTATCATCAACGGACACGGAATTGACCACGATGTCCGGCAGCATCCTGCGGGTAGCCAGCCGCCAGCGGATAGTGAGAACGGGACTCATGTAGAGGACTGGGATGGGCTTTGGTTTTGGGGCCGTGGATTGGAGGAATGGGAGGCCAGGCGTGATTAGGCAGACGACCGTGAGAAGTATATCCGGGGGGTTATTGGTGGCCGGGGAACATTGGGCTGAGGACTGAGATCACGCGAGGGTATTTAATGCAATGATGCAACGGTTTTCTGAGAGCACAGGGATGGTTATATGGATGGCCTTTTACTGCTTGGAACAGCAGTACTTTGCGATGGTTTGGCTTGGGAAGGTACATACAAGGTCTTGAAGAAGGACTGGGTCCGGCTTCATCAAAAGAAGGAAGGTTTGGCGGTTTTACAACAACATTGGCCACGCTCGTCTGAGGAGAGAAGATGGAGTGGAAAGGAGAGAAATCAAATTGCTTCAGGCCAAAGAAACGGAGCTTTACCGCAGGGGCAGTTGATGTGATTTTCCGGCCCCAAAAACTAGTATGCATGGCTGCGGTCTTCGAATCTAGGAGTGGTTTCAAGCATCGGGGCCGTTGAGCATACCCGTTCTTCATATAGTTTCTGAATCTTGCAACAGAAAGGAAAACCGATTTGCAACCTGGCGGAAGGCACGGAATTGTGACGGGAACGTGTCTGTTTTTGATACACCTTGCCAAGCTTGATGAGAAACTAATATTTGTGTGGCCCTCCTTGTGGCAGAGAACGTAGTAGAGAAAACAGGCATTTATGTCCAGCCTTGAGATGTTGTTCGATCCGGGATTTTGGTGTTAATGTTTTTGAGCAACCTTGCATTGGGCGGGGAAACGCCATCAAGAGATGTTTGGAGGTGGAGCGCATGCTGGTATTTGCACACAACCTCGGAATCCTGGTATAAGATAGATCATTTTGCTGAGGATATCCGTAAAGTACAACCGAGAACACTCGACCGTTCTAAGCCGATATCGCTGTGGGGCATCTACAGTACCAAAAACATAGCCCGGGTACAAGCTACCTCACCTGCGTGCAATCGGCTCAAGCAACCAGGTGTGTTACCTTCGCACATTTACAGCACCTTCTCGGCAGGTGGGGTGTTGCGGTTTCGGACGAATAAGCCGTCCCCTCCCCGACTTCGCTCTACTCCTCTACCTATCTTGGTGGAATTTCCATGTTCTTTAATTCCCTTACTTACTTTCCGAAATCACCCATTCTCGTGCTTCGTCACATACAGCGGACTCTTCTTTGAACGAACTCCGTCGGACAAGTATTGCGGCCATGGCGGAACACAACATTGTTGTTTTTGCGGGCGACCACTGCGGCCCAGAGGTAATTAGCTACCCCCCGAGCTCTCGTATCCTTGGCACTCTCCGGAGAGAGGCTGACTTTGATGATTTGACAGGTTATTGCCGAGGCAGTTAAGGTACGGGTCTAGTATCCGCGACCTGCAATTGAGCCCGTCTAACACAACATCCAGGTCATCAGGACAGTTGAGAAGTTGAGCCCGACTGCTGGCAAGTTCAATTTAGACGAACACTTGATTGGAGGGGTAAGTCATCTCCCAACGACGGATCACACGGGCCCAAAGACATCCACGAGAGAAGTCCCTTGCTGACCTCAGCGTTTCTCCCCAGATCTCCATCGACGAGACCGGCGTCCCCCTCACAGACAAGGCCCTCGCCGCGGCCAAAGCCGCCCACGCTGTGCTCCTCGGCGCCGTTGGCGGCCCGAAATGGGGTGCCGGTGCCGTTCGCCCGGAACAGGGCCTCCTCAAGCTACGCAGTGAGATGGAGGCCTACGGAAACCTCCGCCCTTGTTTCTTCCCGTCCGAGGCCCTCGTCGAATACTCCCCCCTAAAGGCAGAGATTTGCCGCGGCACCGACATCATGCTAGTCCGGGAGTTGACCTCAGGCCTATATTTCGGACAGCGGAAAGAGTTCGACGGAGTCGATGCGTTCGACACGGCTATTTATACGAAACCAGAAGTCGAGCGTATCGCGCGGATGGGCGGCTTCCTGGCTAGGACTAGGGGGGAAACGCGGGTTATCTCGCTAGATAAGGCAAACGTGCTGGCGACAAGCAGACTCTGGCGTACCGTGGTTGATGAGATTTTCAAGAATGAGTTCCCTGAACTCAAGGTTGAGCATCAGCTTATTGACAGCGCGGCCATGATCATGGTCAAGAGCCCAACGAAGCTGAATGGCGTTATAATAGCGCCCAACTTGGCAGGTAAGCGTGGTCCCTCAACCATCCATCTCGAAGACGGTTTAGCTGATGAGCTTTTAGGTGATATTCTCAGCGACGAGGCGAGTGCCATTCCTGGAAGCATAGGGCTCCTGCCGAGCGCCAGTCTCTGCGGGATTCCAAGCGCTCCAGTGTCTTCTATTTATGAACCAATTCATGGTGAGACTCCAATCCTCCGTTCAAGCCCTCATGAAGACATCAGTCGCTAACGCAGATCATAGGGAGCGCTCCGGACATTTCTGGGCAAGGCATTGTCGTGCGTCAAGACCCCGTTTCCGGCTATTTCTATTCATTCGCTGCAAGTACAGAGAGCTGACATCATTTATAGAACCCCATCGGCACCATCCTTTCCGTGGCCATGATGTTCCGGTACTCCCTGAACCTCGCTAAGGAGGCGAAACTCGTTGAGGACGCAGTCCGCGCTGCCATCGACGGAGGGCTGAGAACTAAGGACATGGGCGGGAGCACGCGCACTGCAGAAGCAGGAGATGCGATTGTTGCTGAGCTGGTTAAACTTCTCAAGGCATGAGATATCCGATGCCTTAAGGAGAATAGACAGGGAGGTTTGAGGGGGAAAATAGGGCTGGGAGGGGACGGTGAAACATATGAAGGAATGCCTGGATTTGCCACACAAGAACAGCTACTCCCAACACCTACTATTCACAAGGTGGCCTTTTTCAATCCGGTGTCATCGGGCTGCCTGGGTTCGTAGATTTTCAACCTGCTCAAGGTCATATTGTCATCATACTGGGCGATGCCTTATTTGGCCATAATGAACAAGATAGTAAAAGAAGCCCTTGTCTTTATGTCTGCATTTGTCATCGACCTCATACCAAACTTCGCTTGCTCTTCTCACATCTTTAACAAAGTACCTAACCACCTCACTCATTCCAACCCCCCAACCTTCCAAATCTTCACGGCCGCATCACTCCCCGTACTCAACACCTTCTCCACCCCATCCTCACCCGTCTTCACCCACGCAACACCATACACACCATCCTTATGCGCATTGCTCGCCTGCACCCTAGCCCCAGGCTTCGCCAAGCTCCACACATACACATGCGTATCCAGCGACCCGCTAGCCGCATGCGTGCCGGCCGCGTTCCACGCGATGCTCAGCACACGTCCCGTGTGAGCCGACCACCGGTTTGTGACCACCTCCCAGTCTCCAGAGGTACTGTACACGGTGATCTTGCCGGAGGTGTTGCCCGCTGCGAGGTGGGCGCCGTTCCCGGGGGAAAAGGCCAAAGTGACCACCGGAGAGGAGGTGTTGGGGAGGGTTCGGGTAAGGGAGAGGTCTCCTGAGTGGGGGGAAAGGGTGTAGATTTCCACGGTGTTGTTGGAGGCGCCGCCTACGGCGACGGTGGTGTTGTGGGCGGCGAGGGCGGTTGGGGTGTAGCTTGTAGGCAAATGCTTCAAGAGCTTGCCGTTGGCGTAGACGGCGATACCGTCGTTGAGAGCCACGATCGTGGTGTTGTCAGCTGCGACGGCTACGCCTTGGGGTTGCGAGGATAACTTGATAGGGTCGCTGAGGAAGTTGTTGGTAGATTCCTGGATGGTGCGCAACGTGTCATCCCAACCGATGCTGTACGTCTGCCCGCCGCCCGAAGCGAAATGGGTGACTTTGTTGGAGTGCGCTTGTCCCTCGACCGCAGCTCCCGTGCCCGTCGAGAGGTCCCAGCTATACACCTTACCGTCGAAGCTTCCCGTTGTGACAGCTTTGCCCTGCCCCTCCGAGGTCACGCCGAGCGAGATGACGTTCTTGTTGTGTCCTTGGACCACCTTGACGGGCTTGTCGCTCCCTACCTTGAGGTAGTTCAGGTCTCCATTCAGACTCAAGCTGACGATCAACCCGTCACTTCTCCCGTGCGGCCACACCACGCCGACCTGCTGGCGTTCTATGTCCACACTCCCTTCCTCCCCAATACGCCATGTCTGCACCAACTCGCCGGACGCAGCATCCCATACCCGCACCGTCTGGTCTGCACTCGCGGTGACAAACCGCGCCGAGTCCTTGGCCCAACTAACAGCTAGGATGCTGCCCGTGTGCACGCCCTCACCAATCTTCCGCGTGGGCTCGCCCGTCTTGCCATCATACAGTTGAATACCCTTATCAGCACCAACTGTGACCAGCGTGCTCCCATCTGGGCTAAATGCCGTGCCTGTCACATACCCCTTGTGCGAGTCCGACTGTTTGGTATTGAACTTGAACGGAGTCCCGTGGAAAAAACACATGCTCCCGTCATCCGCCACAGTTGCCGCGCGGATGGGCCGTTGCTGGCGGATCGACACGGAATTGATCGCCCCGCTGTGCCCCATGATCTCACCGACGGTGTTCCCGCTGTCGGCGGTGATGCAGTGGCCGAACCGCCCGCGACCCTCACCAACCGCAATGATGCGCTGGCTGTCGCCGTCCCATGCGATGTCGGCGATGCGTCCGGAGATAATGGGGTACTCGCCCCTGGTGTTGACAGCCTCGACCGCATCCCACACACGCACCTGACCCGACTCATCGCCCGACGCTACCCAGAAGCCGGAGGGCGAGAACCGGGCGATCGTGGTATTTGCCGTATGACCGATGTATTGCTTCGAGAGGGACGGATCGTCGAGGTGGCGGAGGAAAATGGACTTGCCGAACTGTGGAAAGTTAGCAGGAGGTTGAGAAGACATAGAACACTGAACAATGGGAGCTCACCGCATAAGCTATGCGCTCGCCTTTGGGATCGCTGGAGAGTTGTGTTGATTGGGCCCGCCTCGTAGCAGGGCCCGGAGCGATGATCTTTTCAATTTCGATGGGCATTTTTAATATGTAGTCTGGATTCGGCCGAGACTGATTTGTTTGACTTGGGGAGCTCCAAAAGAAGAAAGAAAGGTAAACTAAACCTCCCTCAGTCAAGACGACTTGCTGGTGGGAGGAAGTGCCACTTCAAGTGGGATGGAGCCTGGCGCATGGAGGGGCATTCCGACAGGGGGTTGCGTGGTTGCGGGGCAGCAACCAAACACACTTGCGACTGGATGCGGGTATTGCTGCAATGGCTGAGGTCAGTGATTGGAGGGCTGTCTTCCGTGCAGTTGGTGCCTCCCTGCCTGGTACCAAGTGGGAGGGACGGAGGCTGCATCACATCGAAAAACCAACAGTTGATTCGAAGTAACAAAGAAAATATGGTTTGGGACGCGCGGCAGGATCCAGGTTCCCATTTTCAACCCGAATGAAGAACACGGTGAACGTGGGAGAAGAGTTGATGACGTCACTGGTACATAGAAGACGGAGAAGACGGGAGACATTGATTTCAAAATACAGTATCTTACCGACTAACGTTATACAGAGGAGCACCTTAATCCATACACTTATTTACACCAGATACCAGTTCTCACAGTCCAACGGACATACAATCTAAGACCGCTCGGTCCAACGTTCCCTCTCTCCCTGCCTTGACCGTATCAACATCCCAACTCTTCCCACTGCCTTTTCATCGAAGCCGAACTCACTTCACTCCTCGTCCCCTGCCCCGAGGCCCTTCTTCCTACAAACTGCAACGTGGTTCCGTAAAACCTGATTTCCCCATCGATCTCCCCGTCCCCGGAAAACCTGATAAAATCTGCATCACACCAATCAAGGTAGTCTTCCATATGGTCTCCCATATTAAGCCGCGCACGCCACTGGAGAGGCAGCTCCTCGTGCGACGATGCCCACGGCCGCTCCTCCAGGAAGAGAATGCCGGACAATGGACCAATGTCGAAGGAGCCCCAGAGCGCGTTGCCGTCCAGCGTGAAGATGATGCCGGATGTGCGGCCGTCCTCAGCGTACTTTAGAGGTGCCGTGCAGCTCACATGATACCGGCCGTTGAGGAGGCCGAGCGGAGGGAGTGGTGAGAACGCGCTGGGGGGTTGATAGCCCACGTTGCCGCCGTAGCCATTGTCGTAGCCGTCCTCGTCGTGGCCATCGTCGTCGTGGCCGTCATCGCCGTAGCCGTCATCCTGGTCCATATACTCATTTCCGTAGTCGGGAGAGCCAGGGTACGGCGGAGGTGCGTCGTCGTCACCATAGGGATTATCCCAGTAAGTAGGAGTGCTCTCGACGACGGGCTGCGGCGGGTTGGCGGGCGCCGAGCGGCCCGGGGCAGTAGCTGGGTTGAATGGCCGAGAGCGCCGGGCAGTTTGTTTGGTTCGGGGCGCACGGGCAGTGGTGGTCGCCGGGGCGGGGGGCCCGGCAGGACGGGAAGAGGCTGTTCGACCAGCAGCAGCACCGGCACGGGAGGTGCATCGGGCCGTTTGCTTTTTGGCGGTTGTGGTAGGGGTAGAGGCCGGTAGTTTGGGAGCCGGCGGGACAGCAACCTTCTCCTTTTTAGCACCCGTTGTCGTCTTCTTCGCTGCAGGAGTAGGTTTCGCTGCGGGAGTCTCCTTTTCTGCTGGAGTCTTCTTCGCTGCAGGAGCCTTCTTCGCTGCAGGAGCCTTCTTCGCTGCAGGAGCCTTCTTCGCTGCAGGAGTAGGCTTCACCGCGGGAGTAGCCCTCGCCCTCTTGGGCGCCGGCTCAGTGGGCGCAACCTGGAAATTGCCATTGGGCCCAAACGACACGCTGAGGTTAATGCTCACATTGTGCCCCGGTGCCCCGACCTGGCTACCGTCCGCCTTGCGTTTGCCGGTTACCTTTGGTGTCGTCGTAGCCGGGGTGGACGCTTTCTTCAGCGCCTGTTTGGCCTCTCGCTCTCGCTTGGTCCAATCTTTCTTGAGCTCCGTTTCTACCTTGAGAATATGAGCAGGCACGGAGAGATTACCCTTGCCGACGGCGTCGAACAACCTCATCTTGGCAGTGCCTTTGGTCTTGGAGGGAGGCAATCCATAGTGGATGAGTTGGGCCTCGTACCAGTGAGCTGGGCGATCTTTGGCGCCGTCAGTACCGTCGAATAAGGCCTTAAGCTCCGGTACGGTTGCGCGACGGTGGCGATTGTTTCCGCTAGCTTCAACGTGAAAATCACCCGAGTATGACCAGTTGTCGCGAGTGCTCGGAGGTAGTTGCGACATTTTGGGTGCTTTTGGGTTATACTCAGACAGTCGCGGGTTGTGCTGGTCGGTAGTTAACGTCGGGGAAAAGTAAAAAATTAGAGGGGAATTGGAAAGGAAATGAGAAAGAGCACCGATGGGTGCAGGCGGGGACGTGTGAGGCCTACCACGCACCTCAGGTACGTTATTAACGAGAAGCTGATCAACACTGCTCTGGAAATTAAAATTGTCACAACGCTCCAAATCACATTTTCAGTTAACTGCTGAAGAGTTAGGAGATCAAGAATCAATATTTTTGACATTAAACCAAGTATTATGCCTAATATTTCAACCATATGATGGACTACGGCCACCTGATGAGTTAGGGCTTTGAAAGTCGACTGTCGGGATGGTGAGAGCTTGTTTGGTCAGTGAACTTTCAGATGAGATGCTCGAAAGGTGGGGCCGGCTGGTGGTTGGAGGTTGCGTAACTTTGGTAATGCCAGAGAAGCCAGGGTCGAAATTTACCCACACCAGCTTCAACGGAGAAAAGTGAACCAAGGAGCCAGCCGAGACCTGCGCCAACCGACGCTCGGGCTCTCGTCACCAAACATTCCGTGGCGACCCATTCGCCAACTTTGTCGCGATCTTTCCAAAGAGCCGACTCCCTTAGACAATTTCTATCCTCCGACCTCCTACGCTAAACCGCACCTCGCTGCATTTAGCCTGTTTACTCTGTTAGGTGTAAGCTATATCCATTATTTGCAACTTTCCACCGCATTTCCTCTCACGGTTGCTTTTTACTTTCTTCTTGGCCCGCGCTAAGTTCGCGTTTCTTGAAGAGGGCGGCGCGCACAACCCCTGCCACCGACGACTTGTCGCTAACATCAACTAGCAACAACAAACAGCTCAACAACTATTCCCCGCCACCCCTACGACAAAAATCAAACACCACCAACATGAGTTCACCCAAGGAGGAAGGGAAGCCGCATGATGAGACGCAGGATCATGTCGACGGCGACAACGATGAGGTGCGAGGCAGGCTCCCAGCACCGCCACCGCAAGGGGCGAATAGCTGAAGAAAGAACAAGAGGGGCTAGAAGAAAGAGGAGGCTAACCGGTTCTCAACCCACCCAATTCAGGAAGAGATCTCAGAGATGAAGAAGCGCGTGGCCGAGATGGAGGCCGAGGCGGCCAAGCTGCGGGAGATGCAGGCGTCGCTGGACCAGGCACGCCAGGACCTGAGCGAAGACAAGGAAGATATCGACAACCGGAGCATATTCGTCGGCAATGTCGACTATTCCACCTCACCCGAGGAACTACAAGCGCACTTTCAGAGTTGCGGGTCTATTAACCGTGTGACTATTCTTCTGGACAAGTTTACCGGCCAGCCTAAGGGGTATGTCCACCTGGTCTCTCGTCTTGACCTTTCCCCCCGCTCAAGGCATGCATGCGTATTCGCTAACACCATGCTCGTTAGTTACGCATACGTCGAATTCAGCGAGCCCAACCTCGTCGCCCAGGCCCTCGTGCTCAACGATTCCGTCTTCAAAGGCCGTAACATCAAAGTCGAGCCGAAGCGCACAAATATCCCTGGAATGTCGGCGCGCGGCGGCCGTGGCGGTCGTGGTGGGTTTCGCGGTGGGCGCGGTGCCTTTGGACGTGGTGGCGGCGGTTTCCCGAGAGGAGGCGGGTATCGTGGCGGCTACAGGGGCCGCGGACGTGGCGGCTATGCGCCCTACTAGGGGCGATTCCCGTGGGCTTTAGATGTGCATCTCGGATGGAGGGATGAGATGGTACATAGTATGCACAGTGCCCCGCCGTACCCGCGCAGTGGACAGCCTGCCTAGCTGCGCAAGAGGAGCCAGGAAGAGGTCTGGTGTGTCGTGTTGTGTTTGGGGCTTTCGGTCCCTTTACTTTTGTTTATTATGGGTATGCTTTTTGCTCTTCTTCATGTTTCCTCTGTTCCAAATATTGCTTCGGCAAGGCGTCATAGGTCCGGGGTAAAACACAAAAGGCTAAAAGTTCGGTGCATTTTCCGAGTGACACAATTGTCCCACCCAGTTGTTGTGCTTGGGAGACCTGGGCTTCGCAAGGTCAGGGAATCAGCTTGATGTTACTACATACCTTACCTTTCCGACGAATGCAGGTCTGGTTTCGGGCTGGGGCTGAGTGTCATGGCACCTGAAACCTGAACCAACTCCTGGATGATATATGTTCATGGTAGGGACATCTAAATAAATAAAAAAGTCTCTGAGCTAATTACAAGTGATACCTTGCCCGTCCAAGCTCTTTGTTATACAAAGATCCATGGGAATCGTCCGGCTACAACCGCTCTCGCTCTTTCTATGGACGTTTTGCTCGGCGGACAGCCGGCGCGTGCTCCGTTGACGACCTCACAACCGGGCAGTGTATTGCCCGGTCCACTTTATTTCGTGAAGTCACGGAATGCAAGTACCTGACTACTCCGTACAGGGAGTGATGACCAATCTACCTCTGTGGTACTTCTTTGCTTACCTGTGTTTTACGTAGGTAGCCACCTACACTAGTATTAGCTCTGAGTGATCCATTGCAGAAACTTACAATCAACCACAAAGGGAGAAAGAAAGTAAAGCGCCGCAAATCCTGCAGTTCAGGGTACGCTGTGGCGGGGTCGAGTGGTTCCCCGGCCGGTAAAGTTGCAGGGCCTTGCGAAGGCCTGAAAGTTAGGTTTGCCCGAACTGGACCTGCGACGGCCGCGTGGCACAGGGGCATGGCGTCCAGAAAGCGATTGTCACACAACCTTACGTTCCTTCCCTCAGGCAGCCCAAGGTTCGTTCCCGTCCTCAGGTCCGCCGGACAATCCTTAAATAATTCCGGCGCGCCGCCCGAATTCCGTGATTCCGCCTCTACGAGATCCCACAACTATCGTATCTTTACTCGTCTTCAGCATCCTCCCCTAACCCTCCACTGACTGTAACATTTGTCGGGTCACCGCTTATTTAATACAAACCGACCTATTCGGGCGGCCGGCGCGGATATCGAGTCCAGGCCCGGCGATTAGCTAACGAGCCTATCGCACCAACGAGCGCCCCAAAGCGGGGTGTTCAAACCAGCACAGCCTCAACTTGAGCACCTCCTACTCTTTCCATCCACCATCCTTTCGAGAACGGCCAGCCAGCTGCCCTCCTTGCTCGCATTTCGCCTCGCAACCCCGGCTCCTACCGAACTTGACATCGACGACGTGACTCCGCCTCCCCCTTTCGACTGCCGCAGTCGCTTTTGTCTGGTGTTGTCGCGCACGCACGCCATCTTCCGCCTCATCCCGATTCCTAACCGACTCGACCTATTCGTTCGCACTCTCTCCCCTCCTCGAGGCCGTTCATCGAATCGAACCGGAACCAGCCATCCCATTTACCTTGGGGGCCGTCGCTCCCGCTACTCGACGACTCACGCTCTACCTCTAGGACCGACATCACCGCCCGCCCAGGTGGGCGATAATAAACAGGTGCAACGAGAGCCCTTTGGTGTAGCCTACGCTGTCAACCACCGCCATCACCATGAGTAGCAGTCGGATGGATGCAGGGCTGCCGGCGTACGTCTCTCTTTTGTTCCCTTTGACCCCGCTGCGACTGGGCGTTTTCGGTTACGTGTTTGCTCCCGCCTCGAGCACGGCGATGCGCATTGCAGATGCGAGATTCTCGAGTCTCTCGGATGACAAGGAACAGATTTGCTGACTTGAAAGGAATCCAACAAACAGCCAGCCTAACCTGCGCGTCACAAGTAACCATCCACCGTTTTTACGACCCCATTCCCGGTGCAGCCTTCCGCTAACCTGTCTCTGTAGTCATCGCTGCCGATGGTTTGTACAAGCGAGATGTGTTCAGTGAGTCTATCGCCCAACATAATACCGTTTGTTAAGTTGCTGACCGTGTTCCTGCAGGGCTCCCCGATCCCTTCGCGGTTGCCACCATCAATGGCGAGCAGACCAAAACGACGCAGGTCTCGAAACGGACCTTGAACCCATATTGGAATGAGAGCTTCGACTTGTAAGGCTACCATAACCTAATTATTTTAACCCCAGATCGCGTGACGGCTCACAATGTGTACAATACAGCAAAGTCAATGAGGATGGCATTCTTGCTGTCCAAGTCTTCGACCAGAAGAAGTTTAAGAAGAAGGACCAAGGGTTCCTTGGTGTCATTAATATCCGCATTGGCGATGTTATTGAACTTGCCCCTGAATCAGACGGTTCGAACCCCTCTACCGCGCCCTTCTATATGCTTGCCGCATGACTGCTCTGCCAGATCCGAAGTGACGTGGAGCATGACCACGACAACCCCGCTAACTCCTTTGTGTGTATAGATCAGATGCTTACGAGAGATCTCAAAAAGTCGACTGATAACCTGGTAGTTCATGGAAAGCTAATCATCAACCTCTCCACGAACCTTACGGCCCCCGCTCGCGCCCAGCAACCATCGCTCGCTTCATCGAGCCGACCTTCACTCCTTAGCCCGCAGCCTTCTACCCTTACCAACGGCGACCGGGTTTCCGAACGGCCGTCATCCTCCCTGTCGGGCCCTAACGGCACGCCCGCTATCAGCCCCCAGATGAATCTCGCACACCGGCCCGCCAGTCTGGTATCGACCCAGTCGGCGACCTCTCCCCCCGTCAACGGCTCGGCGCAACCCCGCCCACAGAATAACACCCTTAGCCCCTTCGAGGATGCGCAAGGCCGGCTACCGGCCGGATGGGAACGTCGCGAAGACAACTTAGGGCGAACCTACTACGTCGACCACAACACGAGAACCACAAGCTGGAACCGACCGACTGGTACGGGAGCCGCGGAAGCCCGTAATGTCGAAGCCAACACACAAGTCGAGCGGCAGAGACACCAAAACCGGACGCTCCCCGAGGATCGCACGGGTTCGAATTCGCCAACGTTGCAGGCCCAGCAGCAGGCGGCCCAGGCAGCCAACGCCTCTACCATGATGCACACGGGGACCACGACGGCGGGTACCGGCGAGCTCCCCCCGGGCTGGGAACAGCGGTGGACACCCGAGGGCCGACCGTATTTCGTAGACCACAATACCCGGACGACGACCTGGGTGGATCCACGTCGCCAGCAGTACATCCGAATGTACGGCGGGCAAAACAACAACAACAGCCAGATCCAGCAACAGCCCGTCTCTCAACTCGGACCCTTGCCGAGCGGGTGGGAGATGCGTTTAACTAACACGGCACGCGTTTACTTTGTTGACCACAACACCAAGACGACAACCTGGGACGACCCACGGCTCCCATCGTCGCTCGACCAGAACGTGCCGCAGTACAAGCGTGACTTCCGGCGGAAGTTGATCTACTTCCGGTCACAGCCGGCCATGCGCATTCTCTCCGGGCAATGTCACATCAAGGTGAGGCGGTCACATATCTTTGAGGACTCGTTTGCCGAGATTTCGCGGCAGTCGGCGACGGACCTCAAGAAGCGATTGATGATCAAGTTTGACGGGGAAGACGGTCTCGACTACGGCGGTCTATCGCGTGAGTTCTTCTTCTTGCTATCACACGAGATGTTCAACCCCTTCTACTGCCTGTTCGAGTATTCGGCGCACGACAACTACACGCTCCAGATCAATCCTCACTCGGGCATCAACCCGGAGCATCTCAACTACTTCAAGTTCATTGGCCGGGTGGTCGGGCTGGCCATCTTCCACCGTCGCTTCCTAGACGCCTTTTTCATCGGCGCGCTGTACAAGATGGTGTTGGGGAAGAACGTTGTTCTCGCCGATATGGAAGGTGTGGACGCGGACTTCCACCGCTCGCTCCAGTGGATGCTGGACAACGACATCTCAGGGGGGATCCTGGAGCAGACCTTCTCGACCGAAGACGAGCGGTTCGGTTCCATCACCGTCGAGGATCTGATTCCCAACGGCCGCAACATTGATGTGACCAACGAGAACAAGAAGGAGTACGTCGATCTGATGGTTAAGTGGCGGATCCAGAAGCGTATCTCGGAACAGTTTGAGGCTTTCAAAGAAGGTTTCCAGGACCTGATCCCGCAGGACTTGATTAACGTCTTTGACGAGCGCGAGCTGGAGCTGTTGATTGGCGGTATTGCGGAGATCGATGTGGACGACTGGAAGAAGCACACCGACTACCGCGGGTACACCGAGTCGGACGAGGTGATCCAGTTCTTCTGGCAGACGGTACGGTCGTGGGATGGTGAGCAGAAGTCGCGCCTGCTGCAGTTCACGACGGGCACGTCGCGAATCCCGGTCAACGGATTCAAGGATTTGCAGGGTAGTGATGGGCCGCGGCGGTTCACCATTGAGAAGGCCGGTGAAGTTTCGAATTTGCCCAAGGCACACACTTGGTGGGTTTTTTTTTTCCCATTTTCTTTGCTGCTCCAGAACCAGCATCTTGAGAGTTTGGGCTTTGCTAACAATCTGCGCAGCTTTAACCGTTTGGATCTCCCGCCATACAAGAACCTGGAGAGCCTGCAGCACAAGCTCACGATGGCGGTGGAGGAAACGATGGGTTTCGGGCAAGAGTAGAAGGGTTGCTGTCGAAAGAGAAGAAGGGAGTGGAGAGGGGGTGTCCATGAGCGGGATGCAGTCATGAGAATATAACGAAGCAAGCGAAGCATGAAGGGGGTTAAGAGAAAGGGGACAAAGGGGGGTCTATCCTGGACGGCGACGATGGTGTCCCAGCCGCTTATCCATCGATGATTCGTTGTTGGGTTTGGGTTGTCTTTGTCATGTCCTTTCCCTCCAACCTCGTCGTTCAAGCATTTTCACCTACGGTTACTCGCCAAGGTGTCTTTTTTCCTTTTTAGTCCGGTCTTGCCTAAGGGTTTGTTGGTCGATTTGTCCTGGCTTGGCTTTTTTTGGTCCGGTCCGGATTGGGTACGTACGTAGTTCAGTAGTGGTGGTGGGTAGGCGGTTGATTTTTCCTGTCTTGCCTCCTTCTCCTTTTGCTTATAACATATCTCCCCTTTCCTGTCCATCGGGTTTGAGTTCGTTCGGGTTTGAGTTCATTGCTTCCTATTGCCCAGCTATCGGTCGACCTGGTATACCAACCCCTGTCCTGCCCTGCCTTTTTTCGTTGCTGAAAATGACCCTTCAGTTGAACTTGGTGTTGCGTTTTGCTCCGTTGTGGGTTTATTGCATGAGGCAATGGGGTCAAGCCAGAGCTTAGTGTTTTTGAAGGGGGCAAGCAAGCGGGGAATACCTCCACGAGTTACAGTTGATGGAATGATTTTGGTTAAGGTTCCATGATTTTATACTGAAGGCGTTCATGTTCAATCAAAGTACATGATCAAAGCTTGATTGACCATCAACGCTACACCTGCATTCCATAGGTATCGCAAACACAAAACAAAATATCTACTGCTGGCTAGCCCCTCAGTTAACTGAATGAAGTAAAGTAAATAAAACCTCGTCTTACTCAAAAAACAAACTCAAAAAACAAAAACAAAAAACGTAGTAACCGCATTAGAGTTGAAAAGCAAAACGCAAAAAGCTCACAGCCAAGCCCTATCCCCATCCGGAGGAATAGACGTTGGCGGTTACGAAAAACCGACAAGTGGTTTTTCTTCGCTAGCCCCGGGAATCGAACCCGGGGCCACTTCGATTTACGACGGGGGAATTGGCGGGACCAGCGCCCCTCCCAATACCGCTGAGCCAAACCGGTGTTTGGATTTCAATTGGGAGGAGATGGTGACAGGAGGAGTGAGATGGTGACTTAAATAGGTACCTAAGGCACTCAGGGCGGAGGGAAGGTGCGGCGAGTTGGATATCTTTCATTAGATTAGATAGGGCCCGATCGGGCCGGCGGTTGGCTGCTTGAAGTCCGGCACCAGGTGTGAGTTCATTGGATTGGGTGGGTTTCTTGCAAGACCGCTTCTTCTCCTTTCTCCCCACCTTTTGGGTGTTAGTTGGGCAATGTTCCGGGAGGTGGGTTATGGGAGAAGACAGCACCGTTTCAGTAAGTTTTCGATTATACCTGGCCAGCCGGGAACGCCCAATGCCTGTAGACTAACGTTAGTGATGAGAAGACACGAGCAGACCCACCACAACCGACGACTTCTGACTTATCTATCACACCCTCCGGATTTCGACTTCTCTCAAAATCTCGGTCCACCCAACCTCCTCTAACACTCCAAAAATGAGCCCTCCACGCTCGCGCTCCACAGCCGCGAGATGGGGACTCTCCTTGTCCCTCATCGCCGGCGGCGCAACCGTGGTCTTCGGCCTCCAACCTCACCTTCTCGCCCAGGCGGCCGGCATCTTGAACGGGCAGCAACAAAATCCCATTATTCCCGTCCATGGCGCCGGGGAAAATAACGCCACATCGACTACATACTGTTACGAGTCCCTCCACACCGCTGCCCTTGGCCCTTCGACAAGTGATGCTGGTTATGATAGTAACGGTGAACCAAGCTCACCGCCCAATTGCTTCACCGTCGGCCCAGACGGCCGGTTCACCCGCGTCTTCTCCTCCCTGTCCACCTCGCTAGAAGATTCGGACGGTCTAGGAGGAGGGGAAGAGATTCGGATTCTACCCGGGCATGTGCTCCCCGGTCTGTGGGATGGTCATGGCCACTTGCTGGCGTATGGCGAGTTCTTGCACTCGGCGGACTTGTTTGGGTCTACTTCGGCGGATGAGGTGCGGCGTCGGTTGAGGGAGTATTTGGATGTTTATCCGGATGCAGGCACGAAGGATAATTGGGGGAGGGGAGTTGGGTGGGACCAGATGGCGATGGGGGGGATGCCGTTTGCTGTGAGTTATCTAGCGTTTCTCCTTTTCCCCCCCTTTTTTCAGGGCTCCGTGTCTTGGAGTAAATGAACAAGGACGTAGATTCCATGCTAACTAACCCCCCCTAGGACCTCCTCGAGCAAGACGATGCCCTCAAAGGCAAGTACTTCATGCTCGACCGTGTAGATGTGCACTGCACCTGGGTCTCGCAAGCCGTGCTGGACCTGTTGCCAGCCGACTTCCCTGACGAGGTGCCCGGTGGTGAGATTGTGCGCAAGCCCGGCATGGGCGTGTTCTGTGACAACGCGATGGACCTGGTGCTCGCGCTGTGGCCTAAACCGAGCAAGGAGCGACAAAAGACGTTTGTGGTAGACGCCATGCGCGAGCTGCACAAGGTTGGCCTGGTGGGCATGCACAATGCCGGGTCGGTGCCGGAAGATGTAGCGCTGTTTGAAGAGATGAGCCGGACGGAGGACTGGACGCTGAGGGTGTACTCGATGCTGGAGTGCGCGGAGCGGAATACCTTTTGTCCGGAGGATGCGAAGATGGTTGATCACCCGGACGGGATGCTTTCGGTTCGGAGTGTCAAGTTGTTTGCGGGTATGTTTGAACCCTCCCCTTTAGCGCTAATTTTCAGGTTCTTGCTCTGACATACACCAGACGGCGCCCTCGGAAGCTGGGGCAGCGCCATGATCGAGCCCTATTCCGACCGCCCCGACACCTCCGGCTCACTTCTCGTCAACGCTTCCACCCTCACCTCCCTCGCCCGCACCTGGTCCGCCGCCGGCTTCCAAGTCAATATCCACGCAATCGGCGACCTAGCCAACCGCCTCGCCATCGACGCTCTCGTAGCCGCCCTCCGCGACCTCTGCCCGGAAGCAGCCTCCTCCTCTTCCTTCGACAACAACGACCTCTCCACCCTCTCCACCCTAGCCCCCTGCCAATCCACCCACCGCTTCCGCCTCGAACACGCCCAAATCATCCACCCCACCGACCAAGCCCGCATCCACGCCCTGGGCATCCTCCCCTCCATCCAACCAACCCACGCGACCTCCGACATGGGCTACGCCGCGCTCCGTCTCGGCCCCCACCGCACCCGCACCGAAGCCTACCGCATGCGCTCCTTTCTCAACATCCCCTCCGCCGGCCCAATCCTCGGCAGCGATTTCCCTGTTGAACCGCCGAATCCGTTTGAGGGGGTGTATGCGGCGGTCGCGAGGAAGAGTCCGCGGACTGGTGCGGGGGGCCCACCGGATATTGTTAACACTGAAGGGGGTGATGGTGATAATAATAAAGGGTGGCACAAAGAAGAGGCAGTGACGCTGGAGCAGGCACTACACGGGTTTACAGAGGCTGTGGCGTGGGGTGGGTTTATGGAGGGGAAGGCCGGGGTGATCCGGGAGGGGGCGTTTGCGGATTGGGTGGTGCTGGATGAGGATATTATGGGGGTTGGGGAGGATGGGTTGAGGGGGGTTAAGGTGAGGGAGACTTGGGTGGGTGGGAGGAGGGTGTTTGTGAGAGAGGAGGAGGAGAGTGGGAGGGTGGAGAGGGAGGATGATAGAGAAGACTTGTAGATGAGAGGTTTTAGAAAGGGGGTTGGTAGGTTAGACGTCGACGACTTATGTTTATGTTTATGAGGGGCCAGGAAGGCTTAGGTAAAGGGGGGAAATTATACTCGACAAGATAAACACTAAATCATAAAGACATTGGACCTAACCGCTCATCTAACCTTGCTTATTCTTGCTTCTCTTCTATTCTTCCGAGTCCACCTGACGAAGCCGATAACCACGAAACATAGTTCCTCATGCGAGACATGTTGGTGTTAAGTAAGCCGGAAAGCGAGAACACTTAATAAAAACAAGGCTAGGCGCAAAAGGAAAAGAATGGCACCCCGGGAAACGGAAGGTAAAATCGATAGAAACGGGTATCAAACGCCAAAAAGAGGACCTGTGGTCAAATAGGACGCCGGATAGCCGTTTGTCCGGGGCAGTATCCAACTAGGTAGGTACTGTTACTGGATGTACATACACCCGGTTACATGTCATACTGGCGAGGACTCGGACCGTTTGTCATTTCATAGATTGATTGTTGTTGGAAATTTAACAATATTTTCTTCATTCCCCTCTGCTCTCAATCAACTTCCCACAACGAGCACCGAGTACTCCCATCTCTTCCGCAAGTCACTCATCGCAAACTAACTCTCTGTGTGTGACCCATCCATGGTAGGTCACCCCCACTGCACCAACCAAGTTTTCCAGGTTTCCCAACTACAAGCAAGCACCCTTGAGCCAAACCCCCGAACGCCTTCCCTTCCCAACGATAGAACCAGAAAAAAAAAACCCTGCGCTTCTCCCCCTCGCCGTCTTGCGCCATCTGTTCTATTGCAAAATCATGCAGCCTTTTGGGTATTCGCTCCCTTGACGAGAAGAAATAAAAACCAAACCGGAAAAAGGGAGAAAAGTAGAAAGGGAATAGAAGAGGAGGCCGTATCATAGAAAATAGGCTCCAACTGGCTCTCATCGCGGGATGAGTTAGCGCACCACACCATCTAGAGCTGGGGCTGGTCGCCCAAACCGAACCAAAACACCGTTGAGGGTCCAGATCTCCCACCAAGAAAGCCACCCCCCTCATGATAAGATCATAACCTATCGTGATCCTTCTTCCTCCTCCTCATCAACTCATGATCGATCGTGGTCATCATCGCCCCTTCGACTCCTTTTTTTTAGATCCCCGTATTGCCCACAACGAAAACCAACAGTATCCCATCCACCACGCAAACAACCACAAACGCCAAATACACCCCCAGCATTGCCATCACCTTCTTTATCCCTTTCGCTCTCCCATTTTTATTGCTGTTAACCGCACTCCTCCCCCCATACCGTGCACCTGCTACTTCCTCCCTCGCGTTAGCCACACATAACCCGGCCGTCGCCAAGCCTAAGCTTGTCATAATCCCCACAGTCACCCCGGCGTCCACCTCCAGCTGCATCTTGTGTTTCCCTGCGATCACCAACACGCCCGCAATACCGGTTAACACGAGTGCCGTACTGAAACATCCCCATGTCGCAAGAACCAGCGCCCGGTCGCGGTCACGCGCCATGCGCTGCTCGGTGACAGATGGGAAGGGTGTGGTGGAGGAGGAGGAGTCGTGCCGAGCGGCATAGTAGGCGCGGTAGCCGGGGGGGAAATTGTCGTCGGCAGTTGAGGACGCGGAGGAGCCGGTGTAACCTCGGGCAGTGACGGAGTCGGCGCGACCGGACCGGACTAGTCGTTGATAGTGACGGTTGTAGGAGTGTGGGGAAGAGGAAGAGGGATGGTCGTCGTCGAGGTCCGTGTCGGTGCCTAGGGCCGTGCCGGGGCTGGCTGAAACACCAGCTGCAGCCAGACCGCCTGGTGGAGAGGTAAAATAGCTGCTCGCCGACTCGGGCGGAGTAGGGATCGAGCCGTAGGTAGTTGTGTGGTTGTGGGTGGTGGAGTGGGGGTGGCCATGGGCATTACGGGAATCGAACAGCAGAGGCCCCCGTTCTAGGTCGGGTTCGCCAGCGGGCTCGGGGGACGACACCCACCCCGTGATTTTGGTAATGATGGGCGTCGAGAAGAACTTGCCCAGCGCCTTCATGCCGGGAAACCCCTCGTCGGCGTTGGGGTCGATATAGATGGCGTACCCGTCCTCCTCGTTATCGCCCTGAAAGTCACCGGCCTCGCTGCCGCACTCATACTCGTTCCAGTACCCGGTAGCAGGAGCAGCCCGCGGTTCCTCTGCCACAAGTGTTCCGCCAGGAGAGAGGGAGGTTGTGGGTGGACGCTCGGGATCTGTTTCGGGTTCGGGTAGGCTGAGACCGCTGGGAGGCAGCGCGGCGTGCAGTGTTCGTAGTAGGTCGTCATGCTGCGACCGCACTTGCGAAAAGTCGCGCTTGGTAAAACTCTTAGGGTTCGACAGCACGCCTTCTCGGAAGCGAGCCCCCAGCGCCGATGAGCCGGTCCATTTCTTGTACTTCTTGAGTATCTTCCGAAACGCGACGGCTTGGGCGCTGATGAAGCGTTGGAGTGATTGGATGTCGTCGCCGCACCGCAGCAGTATTTGCTCGTACTTGGCGAACCGCTGCTGCCGCTTGAAAGGCATGCGGCCTGTGCCTGAGGTTGCGCATCGTAGGATCAACCGATGTATTTGGCCTGAAAGGTGTTCTTTTGCAATGTGTTAGCCCAATTGGCACATTATCCCTAGGACAGATCGCCGGGGCACCCCCAAAACATACGCAATCGCCTGGAGATCTCGTCGGCCTTGCTCAAGACGAATAGGTCGACGCGATCGTGCTGCCGACACAGCTCGGAGTAGAATTCATCCTCAAACTTGCTGAGCGCTGTGTTGGGCTGGCCTGGAATGGCAATCGCTGTCGCTTGGTCGCGGGTCGTATGCACCTTGATGTAGTGCTTCAAGGAATTGTAGTCGATGTTATCTGTAAGATGATGCACGCCGAGATGATTAGCGAGACCCTTGGCAAGCTGCAAAACATTCAATCGCGACTGGGACGGGAACCGGCAAAGACGAAGAACGACTTACGGAGGCTCCATTGTGGCACAGACTCCTTCTCGAACTGCTCTCCGTACTTCATCCCTCGAGACCGGTTCGTGTAAGGCGACAATTAAGGGTAGTTATGTGGATTGAGCGGGATAGGTAACCGTTGCGAACAAAGGAAGGCGGGCAAGGATCAAACAACGGCGATCGTCCAAGATGCGTAATGGCACACACTTGTAAGATATTCCAATTGGTTCCAATTGTGGGAATTGCGAAGAGTTAAATAGATTACCGAGAAAAAAGATGGGCGTGAAGAGCGTGGCGTACAGTCGGGGTTCTGGAAAGAATGATGAAACCAACAAATAACGGGAAACTGGGGTGACCAAAGGGTCCCGTCACTGGTGTCATGGCCGAGATATAGTCGATAAACCGGCCTGCAGGGTGGGGCATTTCGAACCGACACTTGGGCCCGTTCTGGCCTGCCTTGCGGGTGAGGTTCTGGGCGCGCCCTCGAAGCATTTTTGCTGGGCAGGCACATGCACACCCAACCTGCAGCTCTCAATTGGCGATTGCAGCGCCCAGCCCAGGCCTCCATTCGACCAATCCCTGTTTCGCGGCTCACAGCAGCCGCAGTTTCAACGGGTTTCCCTCGAACCCCACCATCAACCTGGAAAAATGGGCGGATCCCATGCATTCGGGTTTATCCCTGCCGAAGAGAGCACCTCACAAGGGCATCATACGCCTGTTTCCTTGACAAATTACACGGTAGAAAGCAGGGAACAGAGGGTGATTCTACACTACACTACGACGGGCGAACACTCTCGTTTGAGAAGGGTAGCATCGTGCAAAGAGCTGCTGGCGTTTGCCCTGCGATGAAAGATAGCCGGTCCGGCTCCGGGACAAACTTATCGGATGCTCCATTGCGTCGGCCCTCTATGAAGGGGTCCAAGCTAACGTTAGTGTGGTTAGTACCGAGTTAATCTTCACGCTAAAGGGTCAAGGCCCGGGATCCGAACTTGGAGCCTCCGTTGCGAGCAAGCAATTGGGATCCCGCCACCAATAATAGCCGGTTCACTGGTAAGTCAGCACTCCCATTTTCTCCGGGGACAGATCGGGCCCCGATCGCGGCTGCATACGAGGGACGAGTCGTGTAAACGAGCTCGCTCTGGCCAAAAAAAAGCGGCAGACCAAGTCCATGGATAGGTAACTTACATAGTACTCTGCTACAAAATTGAAAAGACTAAAAAGAATAGACCAAAGAAAGTGAAAGAAAACAAAATGAATAAATCCAGAAAGTGAAAAAAGACAAAAAAGAGTAAATCAATCAAAATTTATTAAGATTTGATCGAATGTTAATGGATTGGACTTGAACTATCTGTTTTAGTGTGCCGATTTTTTTGGCCACAGCGAGACGAGTTACACAGTAGACCAAGGCCGTCAGTCTCTCATCAGGCAATGCTTGCGGTGTCGGGTTGTTCGCCGGCGTCGCTGCGAGGTGGTCTGGTGGTACACAAACTACTGGTCCCGACTAGTTCGTCCCCGCTGGCCACCGTGACGCACATGTCTCAACCTTCTTCGCAATGGAAGACGTGATGATTGGAAAAGGGAGGTTGGCTGGTTGGTCGCAGCCGGCAACGGTGAGCCGTTGCGGCTGTCGGTTGTCCTGCTTTCCACCCCACTGCCATGCGTTTAAACGGCCCTTCGCTTCCCCTCTTGCCGTCATCGACGACGGTTATCTGGTTCCGGCCCTGAGAGATCGAAGAAACTCGACTCCTCAGAGAACCGTTCGTGAGGCTTCTCGGACACACGTGGGTTCAACGACGCTTCTCACTGGCCCATCAACAGCATCCTCTTGCATTCTACAGCGTTACATTCGTGACGGGGCCTCGCCCGCCCCTGTGAGAGAAAGAAAAGCGGGCGGAAGAAACTAAAATGGAACAGCACGACCACTTACCCGATCTGTCGGCCACAGAACACCAACCAAACCAACCAACGGCCGATTGTTTGCAGCGAAGCTGCATGTATCGGGCGACTTCACGAGAAGGGGCAGAGTTCCTCCGGGATCCCTGCCTTAGCACACCTCCTTCCACTCCGGCTTGAAGGTGAAATGCGACCGAAAGCAAGGAAACGCCCGGTTCCCCGGCCGGCCCCGAACTCTTCGCTAACAGAAAGGAGCTGAAAATGTGCTCTGCGCTGCGGGGCTCGATAATTATCTTTTTTATCGTCACTACACTATCGCCACGGTCGTCCCGCGGTTTCACCGGGGCCCATCCCGCTACCGGATCACGGGCCAGAAATCTTCTCAGATGTTGGCCATGGTTGGCCGGTTGGTTGGCACGTTGGTTTGCCCGGAAACCACCTTGCCCACTCGTGCCCTCTCGCCGCTCCTCCGCCACTTCGACGGCGGCGGCCCCCGAAAGAATCTGCCACATCGCCATCTCGAGGTTTACACTAGTGCCAAGCGGCCGTGAGAATACGTGGTGGGCGTTTCATAGGCCCTGGACCCTGGAGGCAAGGGCTCACGTGCATCTCAAGCTCAATGGATCAGAGTCGAGTTTGAGTCGAGTCAACAAGCCGTTCGTTCCCCAGATTGATCGACCTCACAGTGACGCTTGGCTTGGGGCTGTGTCTTGTCTGGTGTCAAACACCCCAAACAACCTGGGTGACACGACGACTGTCTTCCTGAACGGCGATGACCTTTTTGTCTCAATTGGCGGGTTTGACATTGGGGGAAAACGTTATCATCTTGTCTCGAGGGCATGGATCCGACGCCTCACGGACGCTCCCGAAGCCCTTGCCGCACCTTTTCGCATTCAGGTGTGGTGGCACCAATGCTGTGCTGCCCCAGGGACCTGGGGGGTTGGCGCGAACGATGCAACTGGGTTCGTTGTGTGCAGCACGTCAAAACGGTTCTCCATTTCGATTGGGAAAGCTCTCGCGTGACCAGTTTCCCAAAGTTCCGACAAACGGCGCCCAGAGTCCAGTGAGTCGACACGGGTGCAGTTGCCGTGCTCGGTCGAAGGTCTTTCACGTCGTACGATGTAGAGGAAAGTGTAACCCATCGTTGAACATGAGATTGAATTGATAAGTCGCACCAATCAATCGAAGGCCATTTCCACACCCACGAGTTGTACTGTGTATATCTGTCCGGGTATTCCCATCCCCAGCATCCGACCTCAAGCCTGCAGACTACAGTTTCCATCACACTATCGGATACCACCTCTCGCAAAATTCGAACAGATATTCGCAATAAGTCCCCCGCGGACACCGGAGGACGCGGCCTGAACCCCGTTGTGGTATTTGCAGGGTCTGGGATCGTGAAGGGGGTCTTCGGCCCACCAAGGTCTCCGCTGTGTTACCTTTATTGTTGGAGGGATGCGTCCTCTTCTTTCTCCTTCCTTCAGCAGGGGGTTTGGCCCAACAACGGAGACGGCCCGTGTCGACCCTGAAGCGGGCGCAGGAGGAAGGGTTGGTGGTCAGAAAAAACGTAACTTTTTCATGCCTCCGCGGCGGCTATTTCGTAATGCGGTGTCCGACCGCAACGGGGGCCGAAAAAATCGGCTCCGGTCCCTGCGAGCCCTGTCTTTGTTAACTCTCCCCTCCCATCGTCGACCAAGAGTCGCGAGTCGAAAGCGGCCACGGCTTTTCCTTGGCCGAGACATTTCACTCAGCATTGTCGGCAAAGTACGGATCCATACTCTGACGAACTAATCCTGAAATGGTGGGTTTTTTTTCGACCGTCTCCTCTTGTCGTAAGCGCCAGATGATGTTAGGGGTTTGAGGCTCAAATGGGACAAAGAAGCCAAGAAATAATGGGCCATTGAATGCCGCAAATCTGGAGTCCATTGTTGCTTGGCTTTGTCGATTTCCGTGGGCTGGCTCGGCTGGGTTCCGGTCCCGCCTCACAGCCGCTGAAAACCCGACCCACTCTTTTTTGGATTCTGCCATGAACCGCGTCTGGGCGTGTTTTCACCGCCTTTCACCCCGCCGTCGATAATTGGCCAATCATCTCGTGTCTTCAACATTGCTCAGTGGAGTTCAGCTCGAACCATCGAAATTTTTTGGCGGGACCTAAACCGGGACCCGAAAATCCTCTGCGCAGCGCAGCAGCCAGCAGCAGCAAACGATTTGAAGGTTGATTGATTCGGGGAGTGCCCGTTTGGCATCTCTTTACAGCTGTCTTTTCAGCCAACCAGCCAGTTTACTCTGACACCTCCCCATTGGCGCAAACGAATTGCGAACCAGCGTCCGACAAAACCCGAAAAGCATGGCGGTCGCCGGCAGCACCACATCCTCTCTCACATCAACATCGCACACTCTCTCGCACGCCCCCGCCATGGCCGCGCAAGCAGTTATCCCACCCGAGAGCGGCGCCTCCGCCATCACCGTCTTCCTCGATTCGACCTTCCCTTCCAATCGGCATGCCTTCCTGCGCCCGTCCCCACTGCTGCCGACGGGATCGCTCCAGCTCGTGAAGCAGACGTTGGATGGGTTGGCCGGGCAGGTCGCGGACCAGCAGCAGCAGCGGCTGCGTGAGGCGGGCAAGAAACGGAAACGGGATGGATCGTCGCTGGGAGCTGCGTCGGTGTTGAAGATCCGGAGGCTGCATGTTGATGGGTTTGAGACGGGACAGGTGTGGCAGCAGGCGAAGAAGATTATTGCTAGTGCGCTGCAGGAGTCGTCGCAGGTGTTGGATGAGCTTGAGGAAAATAATGAAATTGTGCTAGGGGATGGGAAAGAGAGTGGGGGAGATGCGAGCCTTGAGTTCGGCAAGGATGGGTTTGAGGTTGGTTCAGACGAGGACGAGTCGGCCAGCGACGGCGATACCGAGGACTCTGACGAGGAAGGTGTTAATGTCGGCGAGGAAGACGAAGACATGTTGGATCTTGAGGCCGATGATGATGATGATGAGGGAGAAGGGGACGGCGTGGATGACGAGGAAGCGGTGGGAGGAGAGGAGGGCGAATCGGACTACGATGACGAACCTGAGGAAGAGCTTGTGGAAGATCCCAACGGTCTTAATGACGGCTTCTTCTCAATAGACGACTTCAACAAGCAGACGCAATGGTTCGAGAACCAAGACGCCCGCGCCGATCCGAACACGGATAATTTTAGCGACGACGAGTCGGTTGACTGGCACGGCGACCCGTTCTCGGCGAAGAAGCCGAGCAAAAAGGGGAAGAAGGATGAAGCGGAAGATAATTCTGAGGTAGAGATGGAGGATGACGAAGAGGAAGATGATGATGAGGCACCGGCCCTCAGTAAAAAGGAGCTGGAAGCCGTGGCTGATCAAGACGATGAAGAAGACGAGGATGGGGGCAACCTGGACGATGACCTCAATGACATGGGTCTCGACCTCACCGCTAACGATATCTATTACAAGGATTTCTTTGCGCCGCCAAGGAAGAAGAAGAATGCCGGGAATTTCAGGAAGAAACGCCCGGACCTCCCTGAGCTGTCGCGGCCAGACGACGCCGACATTGAACGGGCCGAGAACGACGTCCGCCGTGATCTGTTCGATGACCTATCGGAGAGGTCAGACTCTGAGGATGCTCTATCCGATGTTTCGGCGGGTGATCCAAGGTCTCGCCGCTCAGCTCACGAGCGGCGGCAAGCCAAGGTGGCCCAGGAAATCCGTACACTTGAGGCCGAACTGGTTGCAAAGCGCGCTTGGACTCTGTCTGGTGAAGCCTCCGCCGTCGACCGGCCCGTCAACTCGCTATTGGAAGAGGATATGGACTTTGAACACATCGGCAAGCCAGTCCCCATCATCACCGAGGACGTCTCGGAATCCATCGAGGAGCTCATCAAGCGTCGCATTCTTGCCCAAGAGTTCGATGAGGTGTTGCGCCGGCGCCCAGACACCCTTGGCAACCCGAACGACGCCCGGCGCGGGCTGGTCGAGGTGGATGATACCAAGGGCAAACAAAGCCTGGCTGAGATCTATGAAGAGGAACACACAAAGAAAGCCAACCCCGATGCCTACGTCAGTCAAGCCGATGAGAAACTGAGCCGCGACGAGGAAGAGATCAAGAATATGTGGAAGGAGGTCAGCGCCAAGCTCGACGCGCTCAGTAGCTGGCACTACAAGCCCAAGCCCGCAGCACCGACGCTCACTGTTGTTGCTGATGTTGCGACTGTTGCGATGGAAGACGCGCAACCTACCACAGCCCAGGGCGTGGCTGGCGGGGGGAGCATGATCGCGCCCCAAGAGGTTTATGCCCCCGGCAAGGACACGGCCGAGAAGGGCGAGGTGGTGTCCAAGAGCGGGCTCCCGCAGGCCAGGCAGGAGATGAGCCGCGAAGAAAAGCTACGCCGACGCCGCCGTGACAAGGAGCGTATCCGCAAAGCGGGCGGGCTCGACGCCAACAAGCCAGTTAGCAAGAAGGCCCAGGCTCAGAAGGAGGCTATGAGTGATCTCAAGAAGGGTGGTGTCAAGGTGATTAACCGCAAGGGTGAGGTTGTTGGGTTGGATGGGAAGAAGGTTGTTGAGCAGAAGGGGCCGCAGAGTAGCGGGGCGTTCAAATTGTGATGGACTTAGCCGTAGCTTGCAAAATGTAATTCCGTCTCGAAGAGGTTTTGGCGGCCATCCCATCCTTCCATTCCCCCTTGTATTTGGATATATCGAGCACGTCGTAAAATCACAATTTACACTACTGTCTCGCTCCCTGGGTTTATCGCGGGACGTTTTATTGAAGGAGTGCTGGTGACGTACCAAAAAGGCAAAACCTCGGGCGGCCATGAGGGGCGTTGAAAGTGGGGCCCCGGCTCCCCGCGCCAGCCAATAATGCAGTGGATATTTGTGCTCAGCTACCTGGCCCGTGTGTTCTTGCGGCGAAAAGCAATCCGATTATCAACTTCGTCGTCTACCAAGCGATTTACCGGCGACCGAACATCTCCACTCATTTTTTTGTTTCCTTCCTTTGGTTTCATTCCGGCTCGCTTAAGAAACGACACAAACATAATCCCACACAATGTTGTCTTCAGCAGCGAGGGCGGGTGCCTCACTGGCCCTCCGAGGTGAGTCTTTTGCCTGCGCGATACCAACCCATGGAGCTTCGCCCCCCACTGTTCCGGGCGCCGGGCCTACTGCCTTCAATTTAACCCTTGGTACTGATACTTTCGCTCTCTTTCTTCATTCATAGCCCGCCCGACGACCTCGATCACCCCCTTCCGTGCGGCCGCCGCCCTGTCGTCCTCTTCCCGCAATGATGCCGCCAGCGCCGTCCAACCACACGCCGGATTTGGGCTCTCTCCCCGCAAGGAGGTGCCTCTGGCCAGCCAGGAGCCTACCAAGGGCGTCATTCAATACGCGCTGTATGTCTTTTTTTCTCCTCCCACCTACCTACTTCATCGAGGCTGCGTAGCGGCCCAAATTATGCTCCATGGCTAACCACAGACACGTTCCCACCAGCACCACCCTCGACATCGTAACCAACTGGGCGCGTCAATCCTCCCTCTGGCCCATGACCTTCGGCCTAGCCTGCTGCGCCGTCGAGATGATGCACCTCTCCGCACCGCGCTACGATCAAGACCGACTGGGCATCATTTTCCGTGCCTCCCCGCGGCAGTCCGACGTGATGATCGTCGCCGGCACGCTGACCAACAAGATGGCGCCCGCCCTGCGTCAGGTGTATGACCAGATGCCGGACCCGCGCTGGGTCATTAGCATGGGAAGCTGTGCGAATGGTGGGGGTTACTATCATTATAGCTACAGTGTGGTGCGTGGTTGTGATAGGATTGTGCCGGTTGATGTGTATGTGCCTGGTTGCCCGCCGACGAGTGAGGCGTTGATGTATGGGATCTTTCAGTTGCAGAGGAAGATGCGGAATACCAAGATTACGAGAATGTGGTACCGCAAGTAGAGAGGGTGGAGTGTTTATGGGGTTGGGGGTTTGGTGATTGGTGGGTATGGGCGTGATTTGATGATGGGAATGGAGTTTGCTTGATGGGTTGGGGGAAAGGCTCAATAACGCCTTGTTGGGGGGGTATTTAGCGGCAAGGGACAGTGCCGACAGGTTTGGGGAGGGGGACGGCGAGACGGCGGCAAAGAGATTCTGATTTCGTCATCATGCGAATAGCATTTTCTTTTGTTGCTTACCTTGGCCATGCCGACTGTGTACATACGGCTAGATTTATGGGCAAATAGCCACTGGTCCTGGTATGGAGGCTGTTGTTTGGCGACTGTTTTATCCCCTGAAGTGTTTGATATCTGTGAGGATCATATGAACTCGTGAATAATTTGCCCTGGAAGGAAGCAGAACGGTCATAACACAATCTGACTTGAAATAATAACATATGCAGCAGAGCCCATCCTAGCCGCCTTGGTGCTCCTCAAACGCCGATAGCCAGTCAGTCATAAAGACATTGTAACTCCATCAACCTGCACTATCCCCCAGTCGTCTCTTTTTCACCCCATCCTCTTATCCATCTCCGCCGACGTTGCCTGCTCCCCACCCAAGTCTGGGTTCAGATAGTTCGCGTCCTCGGCGGCCTCGTACTCGGCGATGAGATCGGCGACCACCTCGCGGGCCTCGTCGAACTCGCTGAGGCTTTCGGAAAAGGGTGCCGTCTTCTTGTACCCTTCCAGGAAGGCGTTGCGCTTGCGCATGCCTTCGTATTGCCGGAATATCCTTTTGAATAGCTGCAGGTAAAAGTTAGCGCGCAAACTTGGTAAGTTTAGTTCGGGGGAGCGGGCAAAGAACACTTACCGTGGCAATGCTGGTATGGTTGGCCAGCATCAGACCGCTGACGCGGTGCGCCATGGGGATGTACGGGCTGCGCTTGGTCAGCGCGACCTGGATGCTGGCCGGACCCCAAGGGATGAAGGTAGCCAAGCGGCGCTCGCGGATGCGCAGCAGGCTCTTGTGCACGTCGGTCGGATCGACCTCGCCCTGGATGACGTTGAGGATGGAGATGTAACAGCTCTTCTTGCCTGGCACCGTCGACACCATCCGGTTCTTGGGTTGTAGCAGCCGCCGCATGACATCCAAGACGGTGGTCTTCCGGACCGTCTTGGCTTGCTCGACTTGGTCGCCGGTGAAGGGTGTGTAGGCGGTCATGAGGAAGTGGCAGCGTGGCGTGGGGATGAGGGAGGCGAGGATGCTGACGAGGTCGTTGTGCATGTAACCTGGGTAGCGAAGGGTAGTGGTGCTGGCGGACATGACGGTCGAGACGAGTTGGTTGGTCTGCTGGAACGAGGGTTCCTGGAGGTGCAGTCTGTCGGCGGCGATGTGGGCGAGCGCGCCGTTGTCGAGGACGACGACCGAGTCAGCGTTTTGGGTCAACCGCCTCATGGTCAACATGCTGTTGTACGGGTGGACGACGACGTCGCCCGAATTGGTTGTGTCGGGGAAGACGGAGTATGTCTGGATAATCTTTTTTGGGAAGCGGTCGTTTAGCCTTTCAAGGAGGAATGATCCTAGGCCGGACCCGGTGCCACCAGCGATGGAGTGCAGCATCATGAAGCCCTGTTAGGAGTTAGTTCTATCATCTCAACAAACGTGTAGTGGTGGCGAGAAGGCTCCTAGGTTGCTGCTGACCTCGAGCGAGTCACTACCATCGGCCTCGCGGTCAATCATTTCCATGATCTCTTCATGCACCAATTCTCCCGTCTGGTATCCATCACCCCAGTTGTTACCGGCTCCTATGCCACTCTTCCCGACGTAGAAATTCTCCGGATTGTAGATGTTTTTGTAAGGTCCCGTTTGGATTCCGTTGATAACCTGGATGATGTGTTCGCTTAGCAACCGCGCGTTTAGGATTCACACAAGGGGTTCAACGCACCCTTGGCTCGAGATCGATCAGGATGGCTCTTGGGATATATCGGGTGTCGTCGCTTTGGTAGTAGAACACATCCTTGCGATCACCCCCTTCCGTCGCAAAGTCTTCCAGGTTCCCATCCTGGCTGATGCCGTGTTCTTGACAAAGCTGCTGCCAGAACTGGCTGCCAACTTTTTTCCGTAGAATCAATCTCAGTTAGTTCCATTGTTTCCCTTTTCGGAAGTATTCGTGTATCGTTGTATCTTGCATCGACATCTCGCTGCCCAACACGGTTGGAGAAGGGGGACTAACTGCTATTGCCGCATTGGCCAGCTTGGATTGTAATTATTTCCCTATTGCCCATGTGTTAGACATTGGCTTTGATAAGTTGCGCGATGCGTTCTGGCGTACCTGGGCATCGTGGTGTCATCCGGGGTGGCTGCTCGGTGGTTCCTGGGCAGTCGTTGAATTCCACTCGAAGCAAACGCGTCTGCCGCCCATGGAGACGCGCTGTCAATTGAGACCCCGCCAAAATGCTTTGTGAGGGGCCGCTACGGAGACACCCCTGCACTTACACCGGAGGTCTTTGTCACCGCCAGGCCAGCGTACATAGTAGTTATGTAGGTAGGTAGTCAAACTTCTAGGATTGTAGGTAACGCGACTTGTTTTTCATTTTTCCAAGCATAGCCCAATGATCTCAAAAAGGGGGATAAAAAAAGAAGGTGCTCCCCCGGCAGCCTTTTGAGCTTCATCCCATCAACCCTCATATCAACATTGACATTGAGAGATACCAGCTTCCCACTTGGACCTAACTAATGACTGTGATAGACTGAGACATCTTTCCCGGGAACCGTCATGCTTTTCCCAAATTTCAGACCCAATTGCTACGAAATAATAATTGAATGCGGCAATATCCTGCCGATGTTTATTCTCAAACCTCCATTGACCCCCGGGCCCTTCCATGTTTCCATTTGGATGACCGTTCCTCGATGCCAGGTGCCCAGGGAGGTGCGCTCAACCTGAAACGCTGGGGGCCAACCAGGTTGGGGGCGTGCAGAACGTTCCGCAGGTGATCCGCCAAGATTATGGGTCGCTCCACGCAGCTAAATTGCATCTGGTGTTGCGGTCATTTGGCCCAGAACTACCCCTGTTCCAGGAACCTGGGCAGCCCGATGCAGCTCTGGAAACTCCAGCTCCTAACCTTAACCCGGAGACGCATCTTCAAGTCCACCACGACCGCAGGACTGACAAGCTACTGATTAACGCGCAGTCTCCCAATCTTCTGCAGCGCATTACACTTCTGCCCAAAGTGTGCCGGATTTTAAGCCCTGGTCCCTCAACCCGAACCTTTCGAGTACTACGTTCCGTTCACCTATCGATCCGCACGACGTCGCCCGTGGAAACACATCTTCTACCGGCTTGCCTGCATCTTATCCCGTTGGCCGAGCACGGGAAACGAACTGGTCGCATTTCTGTTGGTGGCACACATAAAAGTCTAACCGCGCGGCACAATCGAGGCGCTTTGGGCTGACTAGTTCGCGCGACTAGTAACGCCCCTGTTGGGACTTTAAACCTCGCCTTTTATCGAATCGGCCGCGCCATGTTGTGCTAGTGAAGCTTTCCACAAGAGACCTGTGTCTACCGCTGTTAAGAGTCGTTGTTAAGAGTTGAAGGGATACACACTAGCGGCCATGGCGGATTCGAATCGATCTGATCCTACCGGCAGCGGCCGGAAGGAGCCGGCCCTGACATCGGGCGCCGTCTCCGAGATGCCCACAATCCCACAGGCCAAGGTACTTGGCTTGTCAACACCCCAAACTTCAGATCAATACGACTTTGCCGCGGCCAACACCGGCGCCCGCGATTCTGAACCGGCCGACTACTTGAATGGAGGACTCCCCCATGAGAGGGTGTCTCCCCACACCACGACCCCCTCGGGTACCGCCCAACCACCACGACCACCGACTTTACAACCCGGCACATCGTCCCAACTCTCGGCCATGGCTGGGGCTTCCGAGCCGGCCTCACCCGCCGCCGCGAGCAAGAGCGTGCAGTTCACCACAGACGACGGAGCGCCCGAAGCGGTCGGCACACACTCGCGAACCGCGTCCTGGGACACAAGAGACGCATTGGGCAAGTTCCGCAGCTCCGGGTTCATGACCAAGCTGAAAGAACTCGCGGGCCCCAGCGGAATACAGACCCCACGAATGCCATCATCCACCTCCGAATTCCCCTCAACCGCGAGCTCGCCTACCGCCCAACGACACGCCAACCGCACGCCACGGCCCGTAGCCGAAGGGAGCGATGACGATGCCGACGCCGAGGAGACAGCCGACGAGGCTGTAGCTTCGCCCTCGAAAGGAAAACAAAAGAGGAGGAGACGTATGCGACGGCTGAGGATGGACTCCTATTCGGTGCCTAACACACCGCAGATGAGCTCTCTCGGGGGCGAGGGATCCGACGTGCAAAGCCGCTTGGGTTTTCTCCGACGCACACCCTTGGCTGGGATCGATGACCACGGGTATTCCGAGGGTGAAGGACGCGACCGGCTCGCGGGGCAACGTAATTCGAGGAGACGGCTGGGTCGGCCCGGTGAGGAAGGTGAGGAGGCGGACAGCCCAGCTGGGTTACGGGTCGGCCACCACTTCAGGCGTCTGTCTAACCTGGGCGGCGGCGGGGGTGGCATGTCCGACGGGGGGGAACTGGCGAGCCCCAGGAGACCTTTCTTTGGTGGTGCTGACAGGGCCTCGACGTTTGGTGTCCAGAAGTGGCGCCAAGTCAAGGGCGCTTTGAAGCTGTTGCGCCAGAAGAAAGATGAGCAGTTTGACTTTTCCAAGTCGGCGGAATTGATGGCAGAGCTATTTGGTGGTGCGCCGGCAGTTCTGATGCTTGCGAGTATGATTCAGCGCGACGAGCACGGCAACAAGAGGATACCTGTGCTACTTGAGCAGCTGAGGCTACGGATCATCGACAGCACGCCCGCCCCGGACAAGGACAGCGAAAGGCATTGGATGTTTACGATGCAGCTCGAATACGGCAGCGGCCCGAGCCAGATGAAGTGGACGATCAAGCGGTCCATCAAAGACATCTTGAACCTGCACTGGAAGTACAAGCTGGCCCGCGGCAACGAAGGGTTCCCGACGACAAAAAGCTCTGACCACAGTTCCCGGCGCCCGAAGCAGCCCCGATTCCCTTTGTCTGCGTTCCCCTACCTCCGTGGCGTCCGGGGCTTAGATGACAACGACGAGGAGGAGCTCGCCAACGAAGGACGTGGAGAGGAAACAGCCGGCGAGATGACCGCGGGCGAAGCTACCGTTCAAGAAGGGACAGACGCCGAGGACCGGCCACCACACATGCGCAGGAAACGGTCACGGATGCCCTACCTTGGCACCAGACGAAAGCCATCTGCGGTGGGTTCCAGCGCGGACCTGGGCCAGTTGGCAGATGCCGCGGCGCAACGGAGAAAGTATGTTGAGCGGCAGCAGCGGATGCTGGAGAAGTACCTTCAGGACATGATCCGCTGGCTCATGTTCCGGGCCGACAGCAACCGGCTCTGCCGCTTTCTTGAGCTCTCGGCGTTGGGCGTCCGTCTTGCGGCCGAGGGTAGCTACCACGGCAAAGAATGTTACCTGCACATCCAGTCGTCCAAGGGCCTCGATTTCCGCCGCGTGCTGACACCTAGCAAGGTGATTGCGCGGCACAGCCGGAAGTGGTTCCTCGTGCGGCAGAGCTACATTGTCTGCGTCGAGTCGCCGGAGAATATGAACATTTACGATGTCTACCTCGTGGACTCCAAGTTCCAAATCATCACAAAATCCAAAGGCAGCAAGCACCTGGGGCCTGCCGCCCACAAGTCGGACGATGAGGACATCGAGAACCTGGATCCGTCAGCCCGGCAGCCGACCGACATGCATCACACGCTCAAGATCATCACGTCGGAGCGCAAGGTGAAGCTGTTCTCGCCCAACCAGCACCTCATCTCGCAGTTCGAGGAGTCGATCAAGGAGATGCTGAAGCACACGCCCTGGCACCTGGAGAACCGGTTCGGCAGTTTCTCCCCTGTCCGGACGGGCGTGCATGCCCAGTGGCTTGTCGACGGGCGCGACTACATGTGGAACGTCTCGCGGGCCATTAGCATGGCTAAGGACGTGATTTACATCCATGACTGGTGGCTGAGCCCGGAGCTGTACATGAGACGGCCGGCCGCCATCAGCCAGAAATGGCGGCTTGATCGGTTGCTCCAGCGCAAAGCGGCTGAGGGCGTTAAGGTGTTTGTCATCGTGTACCGCAATGTCGAGGCGGCCATTCCGATCGACTCGGAGTACACCAAGTTCTCGCTACTCAACCTACATCCCAACATCTTCATCCAACGGTCGCCGCACCAGTTCAAGAAGAACCAGTTCTTCTTTGCCCACCACGAAAAGATCTGCATCGTCGACCACGACATCGCCTTCGTCGGCGGCATCGACCTGTGCTTTGGCCGATGGGACACGCCCAAGCATCCCGTGGTCGACGACAAGCCGACCGGGTTCGAACTGCAGGACGCGCCCAAGGACGCCGAACACTGCCAGCTCTTCCCCGGCAAAGACTACTCCAACCCGCGCGTGCTCGATTTCTTCAAGCTGCACGAACCGTACGCCGAGATGTACGACCGGTCCATGACGCCGCGCATGCCGTGGCACGACATTGCGATGCAGGTAGTGGGCCAGCCGGCGCGCGATCTGACTCGGCACTTTGTCCAGCGGTGGAACTACGTGCGGCGTGGGCGGAAGCCCACCCGGCCAACCCCTTTCTTGCTGCCGCCCCCGGATTGCCGGCCCGAGGAGCTCGAGGCGATGGGGCTCAACGGCACGTGTGAGGTGCAGATCCTCCGATCCGCGACGACGTGGTCGTTGGGTACCGAGAACACGGAGCACAGCATCCAGTCGGCGTACATCAAGATGATTGACAACTCGGACCATTTTGTGTACATGGAGAACCAGTTCTTCATCACCAGCACGGAGACGCTCAATAACAAGATCGTCAACGGCATCGGTGACGCACTGGTCCGACGCATCATCCGGGCCCACGAGAACGACGAGGACTGGCGCGCGGTCATCGTCATCCCGCTCATGCCGGGGTTCCAGAACGAGGTCGACCAGCCCGAGGGTTCCAGCGTCCGGCTGATCCTCCAGTGCCAGTTCCGCAGCATCTGCCGCGGCGAGCACTCCATCTTTGGCCGGCTGCGCGCCGCGGGCATCGAACCGGAGGATTACATCCAGTTCTTCAGCCTGCGGCAGTGGGGGAAGATGGGCAACGGCGTGCTGACGACGGAGCAGCTGTACATTCATGCCAAGTGCATCATTGTCGACGACCGGATTGCCCTGATCGGGTCGGCTAATATCAACGAGCGGTCGATGATCGGCAGCCGCGACTCTGAGGTCGCTGCTGTTGTCCGGGATACTGATTTGCTGTGGTCGACTATGGCCGGGCGCCCGTACCAGGTTGGGCGGTTCGCGCATACCCTGCGGCTGCGGTTGATGAGGGAGCATTTGGGGTTGGATGTGGATGAGATTTTGGAGGATGAGCGACAGGCGGACTTGGACCGTGAGGAGCAGTTCGAGGCGGAGATGAATGGGATTTATGATGAGGAGGAGGAGCCCGCGGAGGAGGAAGACGACGATGATGAGGCAGACCCATCGCCAATGGAAGAGAGTTCGCGGAGGAGGACCGCTTCGCTTGGTGAACTGCCGAGGACACCGCCGATGCTGTCGCCAGAGCCGCATAGCTTTAATCATGATGCAGAGGACAACGAGCCGGTGGGCGGGCAGCGGAAGCGGGCGTTTTCCAGGAGCTCCCAGCACCAGACATCACAGGAGAAAGCCTCAATCGAAAAGCACAACCGGGAAGTAGAAGGGTATGGGCCGGATCATTGGAAGGCGGCCCAGGACCTTGGGATAGACCGGGCGCGGGACTCTGTCATTGTGGGCGGCCGTGAGGTGCTGGTCAACCATCAGGGGTCCGAAGGCAAAGGGTCGCTTGACCGGCCGATGAATCCGCACACGCTCCGGCTCTCGTCGGGCATCACCACTCCCGACGACAAGAGCAACACCAACAGCCACAGCCACAGCCACAACCCCAACACAACGACCACCGGGAACGACAGAATGCCCCCCATGCCGCCCTTCGACCGGCGAACCACGGAGCAAGCCGGCCTCCCGCGGGCCAACCAACTACCGTCCCTCCCAGTCGTCGACGACACCGACATCGGCGGTCCTCCCGTGCGTCTTGATGCCAGCGGCCAACCAGTACAAAGCACGTCCGACTCGCTCCCCATCGACATCACGCTGGCCGACATCCACAAAGACTGCATGCGTGACCCGCTGAACCCGAGCTTTTACGAAGACGTGTGGATGCGCGCAGCCGACAACAATACCCGCATCTACCGCCGTGTCTTCCGCTGCATGCCCGACTCTCTGGTCACTAACTGGCCTGAGTACAAGGACTTTGCGCAGTACTGTGCTCGGTTCAAGGCTAGTATGGGGGATGGGCATCGGCGGCCGAGCGAGGAAGAGGAGAAGCCAGTTTGTCACCCGTCGGGCGCTGCGGGTCAGACGGCTGCGGGCGCGGGGATTGGGGCTCCGGGGCCGGCTGCCGGGGTTGCAGCTGTGAGCGAGAAGGTTGGGTCGGTGGCGAACAAGTTGAGCACGGAAGGGAACTCGCTTGATGAGAAGCGTGCCTCGACGGCTGCGAACGACCTACAGCAGGATCCCGCCAATACTACTAGTAATAATAACAACACGACCGACCCGGAAAAGCAAGACTTCGCCATCGACGATACCACCAGTGGTGGTCCCCCTCGGCCAGACAGCAGCAGCCGCCGAGCCGCCACCTACTCCAGCGGGACCAACGCCAACATCAATAACAACCATCCCAGCGAACACCCCCCGCGTACAGGCGGCAGCTCAGGTTCCGGAGGAGCCGGAGGCGGAATCCCACCCACCGGCCTCACCACAGCAGCTACCGCCCCCCCCTCCTCCAACTTCGCAGGCGGCATCGGCTCTCAGAAACGTCGTCGTCGCGCTACCACCCGCAGCGGGCGACCACCGCGGTTCTTTGGCGCTACAGCTGGGGGCGGAGGAGTAGGAGGGCCGGCAACAGGAGGCGGGGGTGGTGGTGTTGGGCTGGGGGATGAGTTGTTGAGTAAGGGGGAGGCGGAGGAGATGTTGTTGTTGACGCAGGGGACGCTGGTGCAGTTTCCGTATGATTGGTTGGTGGTGGAGGAGACGAATGGGAATTGGCTGTTTCAGGTTGATCAGGTGGCGCCTTTGGCTATTTAGTGAGTTTTTCTTTCTTTCCTTACCCGTTATTGACGAGGGATGAATTGCTAACTTGAACAGTAACTAAACATCTGGTTTCTGGGTGTCGATGCGGCCGACGATTACCCATCGGGGCGCAAGTTTACACGGTCGCAATCCGGACCCGTACTGAAGATCGCATTCAAGAGTATTCGGCCTTTTAGTGGTCGATAGATACATCGGCGTTGTGGGTTCCTCTTCCTTCATTCACGTTCAGCGAACACCTTGCAGCATACTCGGTCGTCGGGATTTTCTTTCCATGCACTTTTTTCACATGGCAAGTTGGTTTTAAAGATGGCACAAAACACCCTTTATACCGTTCAACAAGTCTCGAATTTGGCTTACTTAGTTGGCCATATATACACTTTTGTAGTTTTACACATATCCTAATACATTGCCTTTCCTGACCCGACCCCAAATCCAACCTGGTAGTCTGTCTTCTCCAACTCTCTCTCTCCAAGGCCTGACTAACACGACTGAGACTACACCCTCTCACTAATCCAAATCGCACCCCTACACCCGGCCCTAATAACCCCCGTCAACAACCCATACGGCTCCGCCTTCTTAGCATCATGTTCCACCGCCTGATCCAAATGCTCCAACTCCTCATCCCGTATCCTCCTCAACGTCCCCAACAACTCCCCAAACTCCTCCCCCACCTCATACCCTTCCTCCTCCCACCCACTCACCATCTCCAACAACACCCGAATCTGCGCATTATAATGCCCCCCAATCTCCGTCTCCACCGCCTCCGTACACGCCATCGCTGCTTCGCGGCCCATCACCCCTGTTGCCCAACCCAGGCCTGTGGCCATCGCCGACCAGAGGGGGTAGAGTGCTGTGGGACGGACGCGGTGACGTGTGAGGAGGGAGTTGAAGGTTTGCAGGTGGCCGGCTTCTTGCTCGTACATGTGGCGCATGAGGGGGCGGAGGTGGGGGTCGCGGTTGACGAGGGGGGGCGTTTGGGAGGTGTAGATTAGGGTTGCGGCTAGCTCGCCGGCTTGGTTGACGCGCAGGGCGGAGGAGAGGAAGGCGGATTGGGAGGGGGTGAGGGGTTTTTTGTTTTTGTTGCTGGGGCGTGGGGAGGAGTCTGTATTTGGGGTTGGGTCTGAGTTGTTCGAGGGTGTCGTGGACGAGAGAAGGCGGGCTTGTGCTGGTTGTGCTTGTGATGGTCGCAATTGGAGGTGGTATGGCTGGCGAGGAGCGGACGAGAGGATGCTGCAGGTGCAGCGGCGCAGAGGCTGCCGCATTGCGTTGAGTGAGGCCATCCAGGGCCTGGGTTGAGAGTATTTTGGTATTTTGCGTAGTACGTTGAAGTGACGATGTTCGATGCACACTCGGGAATCTCGAGTCCGACAAGGCCGAGGGGAATGGATGTAAGGTGGGGTCCAGTGCATTGACTGCCAATTGCCAGCTGTCAGGCCCCTGCCAACAATGGCCCAGCCAGGAACCTTTTCGGTCTGGCCGTACCCCTGCACTACGCGCCAAGAACCAATTGACAGCCCGTGCCAGGCCACGACCAGCGTCGAGAACCGAACCCGTGGACGTCGCGCCTTGCAGAACCCCCTTAGGTTCTTCTTCTCGTCACCACCCCCTCAAACGCCGTGAACGCCCCTCCCTCCGCCGAACCTATATAAGGTCCATCAACCGTGTGCTAATCCCTCCTCCCTCTGCTACGCTCCTAATTCGTGTCACACGATACCCGCCAAACGTCCTTCGATTGCCCGATTCTCGTCCAGTCCATCCCTAGCTCCATCTTGCCGCGAGACAACGCTCCCAAAGCATCGCTACTCGTTATCCAAACAAACGACCGAACGAACGGACGAACAAACCCTTATTCCACACTCAGTGTTTAATTTAAACCGCCATAATGTCTGATGTCGATGACGAACTGCTCGCGCTGGCTGGTGGCGATGTGTCCTCGGATGAGGAAGCCATGGAGTTGAGCCGGGAGGACTCACGCTCACCATCACCAGCGCCAGCATCGTCGAGGGAGAAGGAGGCATCGTCAAGGGGCGTGGCGGCAAAAAAGGCGACGACGAGCCAAAGAAGGCGCGCAAGCAGGAGTGACAATGAGTCGGAGGACGAGGGTGAGGCGTGAGTGGTGCCCCGCTTCCCTACGTTTTTTACTATTCAGTGCCTTCGCATCCTATTGTTCCAGGTGTTCAATTGTTGCGGGTTCCTCACTCCTATTGTTCAAATCGGGAATCAGGCCACAATTCCGGACACTCAAAGATTCCGTTTTGCGCTTGCCAGTTTTCTCGTTTGCTTCCAACAGCAACAACCTTCCTAGTTCTTCGCAACTCGGGCTCGCTTCAAGCCGATACATTGCGCTTCATTCAAAACGAAACCCATCACCAAACAATCTTCCACGCTAACACCATGGATCTCCGCAGATCCTCGGCCCCAGGCTCTCCAGACTCGCAAATGTCCGCTCCCATGGACGAATCTGATTCCGACTCCGATGCCCCCAACAACCGCGGTGCCGATGACGACCTGCAGTACCCCGTCGAGGGCCTCTTCAGGAACCATGAGGAGAGGGCCCGCATCATGAACATGCGAGAAATCGAGCGCGAGCAGATCCTAGCCGAGCGTAGGGAAGAGAGCGAGCGGATCCGACAGAACCGCATGCTGCGCCAGCTCAAAGTCAACCAGGAGAAAGACAGCAAGAAGCGCAAAGCGAGCGCCGCCGATCTCGAGGATGCCGCCCGCAAGCCCGCCCGCGCCCGCACCAAGGCCGGCGAGAGCAGCGACAAGATGGACACCTTGCGTCGCGCCCGCGAGGAGCGCAGCAACCGCAAGGAACAGAGAGAGCGCGAGAACGACCGCCGCCGCCAACGCTCGCCGTCCTACCGCCGCAGCCGCAGCGCCGACGACCACGACAGTGATAATGATTGGCGGAGGGAGTCGAGGCAAAAGTCGAGGACCCCCGAGTTGAGGGAGACCCCGCCCGCTGAGCTCCGCGATGTCGAGCGCATCCGTGTCGGGCGTACTCGATTCGCCGAGGTCTGCTTCTACCCTGGTTTCGAGAAGGCCATTACTGGTTGCTATGTTCGCATCAACATCGGCCCTGATCCGTCAACGCGCCAGGATGTGTACCGCATGGCTGTCATCAAGAGTACGTCGCGGAGACTCGTACCATACGCGGGAGGCCCCGTTCGCTAACCGATATTTATCTAGGCTTCACCCAGGGCCGGCCGTACGCGATAACAGATCGCGGTGGACACCAAATCGTCGTCGATCTCTACGTCAAGGCGGCCCATGGTAAAGCACAGCGCGAGTGGCCCTTCATCACCTGCTCCGACCGGGGCTTCACCGAGGCCGAATGGAACCGTTACAAACAAGTCTGCCTATCCGAGGGCGTCACTGTGCCCACCCGGCCCGAGCTCGTCTCCAAAATCGCCGACATCAACGGCCTAATCGAGCGCACCTGGACAGACCTAGAAGTCTCAGAAAAGCTCAAGCGCCAAAATGCCCTCCACATCAAGTACAGCGGCGTCGAGCGCGACCAGCTCACTAAGCAACTCGACATCGCCCGCGCCCGCGGCGACCACGAAGCCGCCGCTCGCTTCCGAGACAAACTCGACACCCTCGAGACCCCGCGCCTCGCCTTCCGCACCTCCCTCAACACCGCCGCCAAAAAGAAGGCCGACGCCTCCGCGCGGGGCCCAACCCAGCAGGAAAAACTCGCCTTACTCAACGCCGAGAACCGCAAACGCAATGCTGAAAACGTCCGCAAGGCGCAGCTGCTCGAACTGGCGCGCGCCCGCAGCGAGGTCGACTCAACCCCCGGCACACCCCTCGGTTCTGGTGCGGCAGCAAACGGCAACGGCAATGGGGGGGATGGGACGCCGAGCAAGTCAGGCCTGCTGCCGCATATTGCTAAGCTGCAGGCGCAGCAGCGCAGCCAGACTAAGACTGGTTTGCCGGTTATTCATAAGCCGTTGATGGATGATGATATTATTGGTGCGCTGGATCTGGATATTGATGTTGAGATTGAGTAGATATTCGATACTTGACCCGGATACCCGGGTTATGGGTGAAGGTTCTGGACGGAGTCTACCTAAGTTATGGAGCGGAGCGTGGGATGGGGAAGCGAGCAGTAAAGGCGTGTATCTATCTGTGCGTGTGAGTTGAGGCATATAATTCTGCAATTGATCGATGGCTTGGAGTCAAATGGTCGGGTTGCCTTGAAGCAGGTGGAAAGAGAAGGATGGCCTGGGGGTAACGGAATACGAAAGTGGAAAGCATGCGATCGGGCTTGGAAGAAAAAAACCCAACAACATATTCATAGGCATAGATGAAGGTGATGGAATAGTAAACCGACAATACAAAATAACATCACTTGCCTGCCGACCGAGTCCCGTTCCTATACTGATAAACTGGGGATAATCTATCGTTTGGGGTAAGTCCATAACAGCATGACAATCCCAAGCATTCAACCGAGATAGACAGCAAGGGTCCCATAGGTAATACGCCCCTACTCAATATGTGTTCACAGGACACCGTTCACAGTCACAAGCATGAGAGTTGGAACCATCATGGAAAAAACAATTAAAATAATAAGCCTCGCCTTCAGCCATCCGCCCAACCGATCATTCTAAATTTGTAAAGGTAAAAAAAAAAAAAAAAAAAAAAAAAAGAGGAAAAAGGCTAGTACAACAACAAGCAACGCCGCCCGCATAAGAGAAGAGAGAAAAAAAAGAAAAAGAGGAGAGAGAAAACTCGCAAAAGGCCACAGACTAACACCACCCGTAACTGATTGTTTATACCCGCCCACTGCACTCCCCAAAAAGCCAAGACCCCATCATAAACCTTTTCATAATTCTTTCTCCCCACTCACTCACACACTCGTGATGAACCCCAGCAGCAACAACCACAAAACGCGACAGAAGCAATTTGGTGCCAAAAAAACAAGTAATCTTATTTCATCTCTCGTTTCTCTTTGCTCTCTCTCCCTCTCTCCTCATCCTCATCCTGCGCTTTCTCTCTCTTCCTCCCATCTGCTAGCTCAACCCTTCCCCCTGACTCGGACAGGCCACACTGCCTGCACCTTCACCCCTCGTCCCATTCATTCCACACTGTCAAACTGAATGTGTCTCGAGGCAGTACAAAACGTGCGCGACTGTGGGGCGAAAGTTGCTTGTGTGCAGGCCGCTACTCGCTAGGTTCAGGGTGAGGCAGTCCAAGAGAAGGGAAAAAAGGCAAGATAGCAGAGAAACAGGCAAAAACGCCGCGCCGATCCAAAGAACAGACCGCCTCGTATCATCCATCCATCCATCCATCCCGAGGAGGCGGGGAATTGTGTATTAAAAATGTTTATAAGTGTTGCAAAAATTTTCTTTCCTCTTGTAAGCGCGATACAACTGGGGCCTTTCACAGTCTCTACCTCCTCATGGTGTCGTTTGTTTGTTGATCTGCTTCTGCCCCCAGCCAGCGCGGCAAAGAGTCTCAGACCTTCTTGCCGCGCCGGCCCTTTTTGTTGGTGGGCACCGGTGTGGGGCTCACAAAAGTGACGTGCCGGGTCTCGTCTTTCTTAAGCTTGGGAGTTTTGTTCGTGGCGCCCCGGCCCCCACGTGGGACTGGTTGCGGGGTGGGTTCCCGGGAGTGGATGTCGTCGTCGATGGTTATCTCGGCCAAGTCCGAAACTGACTCCGTCTCCATGGCATCATCACTCGTGTCCGAGGCCGAGCCGTCATCTGAATCGTCATACTCCCCATCGTCACTAACAAGCGAGGGGGCGTGGTTGCTAATCATCGTGTTCGGGCTCAAGTCCGTACCTAGATCGTCGTCGTATATGGGTGTTTCCGGCCCTGCCGGAGACTCCGCGCTGTCGGGAGAGTCCCGGTCTGCAGTGCGATGAGTTTTGAGGCTAGTAGCCGCCCGATACGCTGATGGTGGGTGCGAGGGCGATGTGGCCGTCTTGAAAGAAGGCATCCTCGTCGTGGCCGGGGTGCGAACAGCCGAAACCGGGCGCTGTGCAGGCGTCGCCGCCTGTCGGTCTCCGGCCGTGTCCTCCGAGTCCGACTCCATATCTGGAGAAGGGAAGCTCCAATCCACCTTTGTTTTCGCCTCAGTCACCTCCGCCTTCAGATTGCCGCTCAGCTTCTTCTTTTTCATCAGCTGTGACAAATAAGGGACGTCCGAAGACTCAACAAGATTTTGCGCCGACCGGCCGGCTGGCACTGACGGGGTGGGTAATACCCCAGGTATGCTACTCACGCCCGGCAACTTCCCAGCCTTGTAAAGCGCAAGGGACGCCTTGATACGGGAGAGGAGGGCCCGATATTGTTGCTGATCCGATCCCGTTTCAATGCGAGTAAGCGGATGAGCCAAGCCGGAGGGCGGGGCCGTGGGAAGAGGCTTTAGATCCCCGCCCACGACAGCGCCGCTCTCGTCCACCTCGATAGGGTGCCCCGACACAACGGCGGCTTCCTCGTGGCTCTTGAAATCCCTCCTGTGCGCGATACGGCAATGGTTGATGAAACCCTGCGTGCTTGAGAAGTCCCACCTGTGACAGTCCACACAAATGAGCTTGACCGTGACGCCATCGGACTTCTTGACGAGACAAGGCGAGTTCTTGTCCTTTGGCTGTGGGTATCCACTGGATAGCGCGTGTAATCTCTGTCCAGCATTCCCACGAACCGGCCGCTGCTTACCACCGCCGAGAACATCCGGCGCACTGCTTCTCGTCGCCCTACCTTCCGCGCTGTGTTTCGTACGGCCCCCATCCGCCAGGCCCAGAGGCGGGGGCTGGATGCCATCAAACATGGGATCAGGTATCAGCCACTTAGCATAATGACGTGCATATGGCCCTTCCACCACACCGAAGGGCGGTGCCCACTTCGGGGGCGGTTGGCCGCGACGCGATTCCAGAGCAGGGCCCTTGCCGCTGCTAATGTTCAGCATCTGGCTGGGGGTCGGACATTGGACAGGGTAGGGAATGAGATGACAACGCCTCAGCTGCTCCAGCGCAGCCTGGCATTTGCCTAGTTCTTGGTTGATGAGCCGAAGTTCGTCGTGTTTCAACAGAATCTCGAGCCCAAATTGCATTTGAATGGCTTCCTCCGCGGCATCAACGTCGAGCGCCATGCTCGTCCCCTTCAGCTCGCCCATCCCGTCGGCTTCGGGAGACGCCGAGACAGGAGAAGGCAAGTCCCCATCATGTTCCGCTTTGTAGCGCTTGGCTGAAGGGTAGGTGCAGGCCGCCGTGTTGACGAAACTTGGCCGCCGCTTCTTAGGGTTGGGAGATATCGGCGTCGGAAGTTCTGCGACAGCGTCGGCGTCGCGCAGAAACTCGGAATCCCCGTCGACCGTCCTGTCGCTTCCCCGAGAGTCGGAAGCCCAGAAGCGGAACATGGACATGACAGGTGCCGCGATTAGTGAGTTGTCCCGCGACCGTCAGAAAAGACGTCGCGAAAACAAAAAAGAACGGCGGAATTCGAGAGCGTGGCGGATTGTTTTTGAAAGAGTCAACTGGTCCCAAGGCAGCAGCGGCGCGGCGCGGAAAAGGGGGGCGAAACAAGGAGGTGCGCGTGCACGTTTCGACTGGACAAGGCTCTAGGCCCTGCAAGAGAGCGGGTCTTGAGACGAGATCGACCTAATCTTTTCCGGAAAGCTCGGCTTAGTCAGAGGTGCGACGCTTGGGCCGAGTGGAGTGGGCTTCCCGCTGGCGGTCGCTGTTGATGTGGCCCGACCCCAGATGAAATGAAGAGCGCTGGCGCCACTCTGGTTCGGTGCTGGTGCAGCGGTCGCGACTGCGTTCATAGACGGTCAGGAAGAATCGTCTGGAAACCGCGCGAGCGCTACTCAAAGCCTCGACAACGGCAGCAAAGATCGCGAAGAAGAGGGAGCGTAATCAAGTCAAGAAATAAGGAGCGCGCGCAGTTGGAGAAGGAAGAAAAAGTCGGGCGGTCGCGCGTTGGTTTGTGTGGTTTTGGGGAAGTTTCTTTGGGCACGTTGGTTGCGAGGTCGACGGGAAGGTTGGGGGATGAGGTGCTGTTGCGCGGTGGTGGAAGGGAGGAGCCAGCCGCTGTGCTGAGAAAGGAGAGTTGTTTGGGGGTGACAGCTGGGAGGCAACGGGGGAATGCAGGTGAGCAGGGGCTTGGAAACTCACGCCGCCCGGGCCACAGCCAAGGCTGGATCCTTGATGGCCGTCTGAGCGACACGATTGGCTGATCTTCAGGAGGCCCAAGGATTCTGGTGGGGCGTTTGCCTTGAGAACTGAGTCGCCGCATTTTTGGACATCAAAGGAACACAAAATGCCCAACGAGCACGGCAGACGGACACGTTGGGGGAAAGGTACTCCGTATGCCAGAAAGAAATCAACCCCGAAGATACCGCCAGAAGCCACAAAGCCAATGCTCATGAATACATCATTAGCATACGCATTCAAGACATTCTAGCGCATGATGCTGCCCGACCGCATTTTGAGTGGTGATGTCAAACGGAGCTCCATAATTGCAGTTGACGGTTGGAGTCCTTGAACGAAGACGGCAGATGCAGGACGTCAGCCGCTGCTTGCCCGTCTGATGCGGCACCGTGCGAGTGGGCTGTGCTCACACCCGAGCTGTTTGTGGCCCACCATTATGCAGCTGGAATGCACGTTTCGGAGCAAGCATCTTTATCGTGTTGCATCCGGAGACGAGCCCCATCCCTGGGATGCAGGCCAAGAGTACACCGGGCCAAAGTCACGGTGCACGGACACCCTCGAAATTTCGCGACCGTCTCGTAATCTTGACACCGCATGGAGAATCTTGCAAGAAGTTTTACCCCAGGTCTCTTTTGGCGCGGCGGGAAGGCTGCGGCACGCCAAGCCCGACACTCTGAGCCTCGCATCAATCGAGCAAAAGTTCGCCGAAAACTCGAGGAAGTCGTAAGCGAGATAAACAAACAAAAAGGAAGACCAAGTGCAGTTTTTTGATCATAAATAAGTAACCGGTACATCGTAATGCAACCACCATCATGACGACAAGAAAATGGGCAAGTGGTTGCTTCATCCCGTCGCTGTTATCGATAAGGCTGATGGCTGCCTTGGCCCCCACTTGAAGACGCGGAATCTCGTGCTCTTGTCGGCTTCGAGGAAACCTCAAAAGCTTTTGGCACTGCGTTCGCCCTCTTACTCCTCCATCCACCACAACTCCCGACAGTTACGATTGGCATAGAAACATCTCCCAGCACCGCCATGGCTACGCAAAACCCCATGCGGCGGTTACTCCCAAAATCGCACTCTAGCAAACGAAAATTCCCAGGTGACGAGAGCGGCTCGACAATCCACAAGAAACTACGAGCAGCAAACGCTTCCTCAGAGAACCGCGCACAAAATCACACGCCGAGCCACCCCGCCTCGGGAGCGAGCCACTACTCACAAATCTACAGCCCTTTACTCTCTCAACTGGGCACCAAATTCGAGGTCAAGACGATGACCGTTCTCCCATCGACCAGCATCCGCAAACACGTCGACCGAGCACTCGACCACCTTAGCCGCTTCAACGCGTGGGACCCGGTCGTCGCCCCTGGTGTCGTGCTTCTCTGCGCCAAAGCCGGGACGTCCAGTAAGCTCATCACGATTGCAGAGCTCGTCCGGCGGCGCATCGGCGAAAGCGAACAAAAGTGGTTTCAGTACAACGTGCCGAGAGAGGTGGCAGTTATGGTGGAACCTGCACCGGCTATGGGGGACACCTCTGTGGTGGAGGATACGGTCTTGGGCCGAGAAAAGGAGGAGGCAGATGATGAGGGGAACGGAGATCAAGAAGAGGATGACGACGACTATTTCGAGACCCTACAACCAACCATCCACGAGCAAGCAGCGCAACCAGCACAAGTCAAACACGTAGCGCATACACTGATTTTGCTTTCCCGGATACCCTTGGACGAGCTCAAATCAGAACCCAACGTCTCTGTGCAGACAAATGAGGGAAAAATCGAGTTTCTCCGGAAGAAAAAGATGGGTTAAGGTACCCCGATTTGTGAGGCGTTTAGGGCATGTTTCGGGTTAGAGGGGCCATACCTTAGAAGGGTGCTATTGTGAATGTTTTGGGCAAACGAATATTTTTAGGCAGGCCCAAGTCCAATCTGGGGACAGGAATGCGGCTCAAGAATATTTATTTAGAGGAATGGAGTTCGGGATAGGTGTCATGATACCCAATATTGGACGTGTTTCTACGGTAGATCACCCGATAATATAACCCCGTAGCTCATATCTTACATCGGGCCTTTCATCCCCATCTTCGATAGGTAGGTGTTTGTGAAGTCGGCCCCAAAGAAAATAATTCAGGAACTATGCAATTTCTACCCAACGCCGATGGCATGAGCCCCATGTAAATGCAGATGATGCCCAGTGTTACCACAGTCCCCCACAAACACCCCCAACACCCAACCCGTACCATATCCGAGCTTATCCAGTCTTCCCAACAGAAAGCGGCCTTGAAACTGGCACAAGTCTCCCAGGTCCCATCTCCCAGCTGCTTTTGTGCATGCACAATTCCGGGCCGCTCCTATTTCTAGGCGACGTCCCATCATACGGACAGACCCCCTCAAGGCTCCTTAGGCTTGTAGGTGATCCTGAGCACAAAGTTGACAACCACAGCAAGGAACAAGATAATCGCCAAAAACGTCGGGCCGAAGCGGTCGTCAAAGCCAGATTGGCCCCTCATTCGTATCGATTTCGCGCGCCAGTGGTATGTGACCACGGCGTAGATCATCGCGAGCATGGCGACGCCCGTAAACAGGAACGACGAGATGAAGGCCGGGCGGTCGCCAAAGTTGAGCATGCCGACCGCCAGAGCGCCAAGGATGACGGTGAAGTTGAGCCAAGAGAGGAACGTGCGCTCGTTGGCGAAAAAGACTTTTGGTTCGACACGCGTCGGGAGCGCGATGCGCTTGCCTGTTAGGAGAAAAAGTGAAATGTTAGAGAGAGAGTCATGGAAATGTTGCCGTTTTATCGAACGGTAGGGATGGTGAATTGGATGGGTGATGGGGGGACGAACCCGGGGCAGTTTGGAGGAGAGGCTGGCTGGACATTGTGCAGGTGAGTGAGGACAGCTGCTCGAAAAGGACAATGTTCGAAACTGGAAGGGGACAGGCGAGGCGTCGACGTCTATCTCCGAGATGCTGGCTACGAGCTACGAGGAGGTACAAAAGCCGATCGTGACGGTTTTTGTGGTTGGTGTTTTGGAGGAGAACCGCCACCGGGTGTCGGCGGTCCAGACGACTTGCGACGGCGCAGAGAAAAGCTTCCATTGATCAATCAGAAGGAGGAAGGCTGGCCGCCCGTGCTCAGAGCTTGGGTTGCCGGGGTGCACGTGGGTCCTGGCTAAGATTTTACTGGCTCAAACAGCTTAGGTTTTCAATGTCGCAGGGCCCAGACTGGCCGGTCCTGGGAGCCTCGCAGCTCAACTGGCGAATTGTGGCTAAGGGGAGATGTGTGGCTTGCAGGTGCGGCCTTCATGTGGCTGGTGAACTGGCCTTGCATCGAGATGTTGGGTATCGATAACGGTTAGTTAGCGTGACGGGCCAACACCGCGACGGAAACAACAATCACCAAACCTGACCGTGATTTCCAACAAAGACCATCACACACATCCAGCCAATCGTACGCCTACAGGCTAAGGACCAATAAAGGAGAGGCTTATCTGATCTTTAACCTCGAACCAAGCCCCTATCGAAACATACATCCGCCCACTCCTAGGCCCAAACACAACACCTTACGCCACTTGCCCTCACAATGGCTGCTGCTCAAACCAACGCGGTAGGGCTCTTCCTCGTGGTCATGTTTTGACCCTCTAGTATTCTATCCCTAACTAACACCTATATCTAGCCTATCGCGCTTAAGCGCCTCGAACAGATCGCGACCGACGTGCGTTGACCCCGCCCGCCGCGACACCGCCACTTGGTCTTGAAGGAGGATCGAAGATAATGCCGAGGGAGTGAAGCTGACAGCCAGGCGGCAGGTGTGCAATAGTGTCCTCGAGAGCGCCGAGTTCTACGAGCACCCCAAGACGACGCAATGGAATGAGACGATCATTGTACGTTGAAGAACACAACCCAAGCCTAGGCTAAAGGCTGGAAGCTATGGTCAAACGGCGGACGGCCGAAACGCCCATTCCATCCCAATCCACCTACCTGCCTACCAACCCGACGATTTGACGGCAAAAACATCTCGCTAACGGACAAACTTTTCGTCTGTACAGAACAAAATGCTCAAGGAAGTCATGACGGAGGCTACACCAGAGGGTGCGACCTCGCCGGCGTACAAATTCGCCATTAACAGCACGATCGTGCAACACGTGGTGCCGACATCACAGTTGAACAAGCCCGCCGCACCCGCGGCAGAAGACGGTTCGGCTTCGTCGTCCACCAAGAAGGGCCAGGCCGGCCGGCGCGGCATGCACAGCGCGACTGGTGGCTACTGGAACGAGAAGACGGACGGCATGTGGAGCTTCAAGTGGGATGGCGACGCCAAAGGCTTGGATGTTGTCCTTATGGTGATCTGGATTGCTGTCTAAGTGGTAGTGGTTAGAGGGGTGAGAGGGGTGAGAATGGGACCTTGGTTGTCCGCATTCCCTCGTGTTTAATATGATTTCCTTGATCTGTCACTTCGCGCAACAGGACCTTGATGCTGCGCCAATCTGAAAGAGTGATACATGCGGTAAAGCAGTCAAACAGCAGCTCGCCGGCCCGCCGTCAGTCAAATACACTAAAATGTCCAACCGTTGCGACTACCACCAGCTTGCCAGGGCAACAGAGCCAAAGAACTGCAATCTTAATGGCGAAAGGGAAGAGGCCGGGGAAAACCTTAAACTTGACGGATCCCGAGGCTGACATGCAGGGCGAGGCTTGCGGCGGGATGTTCTGTGTGGCCCTTGTCCTATGACCACGCGAGCCTCGCTGCGACGAGGACGTTGGTTGAGGCGTGCGTCACTGATCACGACAAGAGTTGCCGGAAAGGGTGGTCTCTTTGCCACTCGAATCAACTTCTGGGGAGAGCCGCCGAGCCGCCGGAGCGCCGTTAAGCCCGCGCGGTCGCGGCTCTTGGCGTACACCATACCATCATATCGGGGAAAGGTGGACGTCCAGACGTCACGAATCGGAAACCGCCGTTCAATGCGGAAAAGTGCAGGTGGGGGTTCCTGCAAAGGAGCTCCAGAAAATGAGGTCATGTGCCCACCCGATTCTTCGAACCGAGTCAGATTCCGACTGGTGGGGTTTCTGTTAGGTCGACATTGGTCTTTTGCAGAAGACATGAGATAACATGAAGGTTATGTCTTGAAAGTCTCTGGCACGATTGACATATATTCGTTTTAGTTAATAAAAACCGAATCCCTTCGATAAGATTGATTAACACTTGTGTACGATTAACACCGCAATTGATAAAGTAATTAACATGGACAGTCGCTGTTCAATGCTGCCGTGGATTTCAGGGTCTTCAGGGTTCAGGGACTATGGATTTTCTCGAAAATGACCCTGTGCCTGAAATGCGATTGTTGATCCTCTTCTTCCCCGAAACTCTCCCCGTCCCTTCCCGCTTCGCTTGCGAATCGCAAAATACGCAATCCGAGCCAGGCTTTAGGGTTCCACAAGAGAAGAGGGAAAGTGGCGATATCGCAGCCGGGTCCGCGTGACGTTTTTCGGCCAAGTTTTCTGGCCGTTCCTTCGTGCAACTTTGACAGCGGTGCTGGCGCATTGCGGGACAGAGGAAGTTGCAAGATACCACCCTCTGGCGAGCGATCCAGATGGGCCGATCTCCACACCTCCTTCCTTTGCATTTTCGAAATAGATGTGCCGCGCTCTCGTTCGTTCGGGTCCTTCGTCGCGCGCAGCAATTGGTCGAGGATATAGGTAGAAGGACGGTTCTGAATTCCGGAACGGTGTTGATTCGCACATGAGGCTGCGGGAAGGTTGCTTTACGAGTTGCTCAAAAGTTGTCAGGCAGGCATTGGAAAGCGCCTGGCGGTTCAGCTTTGTCACACAGCTCCAAACCCCTCCATTCTCCCCCCACCGCCACTGGACCAAAAGTTACGGTTGGAGAAGCAGAAGATCAGGGAAATCAGACAGGCATTGACAGGGACTGTGGGAGTACGAGCGCGGACGACAGCGCATCAAAGGAGCGCCGATCATCTTCCAAGTACCCAAGTATCTTTTTTGCCCCATTTCACAAAAAGAGGTCAACCCTCGATATTTTTCCTTCCGATTCTTTCCCTCCATCATCAGCCCCTCCTACCCTCCTCCTCAGAAGCTCAGTGCTACCCCGGGCACATCCTTGGCGTGAACCTCCCTTGCACTGTCCGTCTCTGTTCTTCTGCAACGCGGGGCCCAGAAAGTCGGCCGCGCCGGTCCACCAGAGTCTGGCCACTCCGTCCGCGGCAGATCTGTCGATTGCCGACAACCCACACCAAGAAAGGGTTTCCCCCGTCTAGATCGCTCGCCTCTCTTACTGTTGGTTTTCTTTTCAAAAAGACGAAACGTACCCTCGCACCTTCTTATGAGCTTGCTAGTGAGGCGCTCTCGAATCCCATTCTGGGCAACCATCGGCATCGGTACCTGATACAGTTAACTTTCCTGTTCCTTCGTCTGCCCGTCCGCATACGGGCCTAATATCAACCTAAACGAGCTAGCCGCGACTATTCGATAACCACCCCGCCAAAGTCAAAGTCGTCATTATTCAGCGTTTATATACGCTCGATACCTTGAACCCAGTCCGACTCGACATTTGTTGAGTGATTCGCACCTTCCACCCTCTTGGTTTCCTCAACCCGATCACATCGCCAACTTGGCCATGGTCGAAGTCCTTTACAACGGCCCGCCGTCCATGGAGGGGTCAAGATCTCCATTCACCAGAGAGGAGCATAAGATGCAGCAGAATGGCCTCGCCAACAGCGGCAAACGCGCACCGCGCCGGTCCCAGACGCAGCACGAGTACTTTCTCCCTCAGCCCCCCTCCTCGGCCTTCACCCTTTACCCTACACCACTACCCTCGCCACCCCTCGAGGAACCGCCAAAGTTGCCGACCGAGCCTGCGCCACAGCCTCCGCCGACCCAGTCGACTCAGCAACCACCACCGTCGGGGCGCCGTCCGCCCCTAGGGCCTCCGCGACGATCGTACTCGGTGACAGACCAGCAACCGATCCCACGCCGGCACAAGCCGGCCGTGCGCCTAGCGTTCGCAGACCTGCCCGGCGAGCTGCACTTTGCGGTGTTTGACTTCCTCGACCCCATTGACAGCACATGCCTTGGCCTGACCAACAAGCACTTTTATGCTATCCACCGTCGGCTGCACGGTTCTGTCCCCCTAACGATCCGCCGGGGCGGCCCCAACGAGCTGGAGTGGGCGTGGCATCAAGCGGGCAATGTCGTCCGGCAAAACCCGCCGGTTGTCCCCGTGCCCGTCCCCGATCCTAAAATCGATGCGGCAGCCATCACCCCGACGTCGCCGACCTCCTCAGAGGGCGGCTCCTTCAAGGGTACCGGCGAGAAGAACGCCAACATGCTGTCCAACCTGCGGGTGCGTGGTCAAGGATACTGCCGTATGTGTGGTGTCACGCGGTGCCAGCTGCATAAGCATATTCAGGAATGGATGGGGGAAGGGCTGGAGTATTGCTCAGTACGGCAGAAGTTTGGGCCAGTAGCCCCAGAGGGGTCCAAGTCGTATTGTTATATGAGTAAACCGGGAGATCAGAGACGGTGTGGGCGACATTCTGCCAAGAAGAAGACCGTGGAGGTAAAGGATGAAGTGAAGCACCAGTGATGGTTGGACGGGAGCGGATGTGGCTTTTTTTTCACCTTTGATGCTTCTTTGATGATGTTTGGGTTTGCAGCTTTAGCCTTGCGTTTAAGTTACTTTTGCTAAATAGCATGCTTTCACAAAATTGCACGGCTTGGCTTGGGCACGTCTGATCGCAATATGTGGTGGGTTAAAGACGCCTGTTTACTGTTCTGGTGTCTACCAAAAGGACCTTCCCTCATGACTTACGAAAGAGCCTTTCCTGAGCATTTTACAAATGTACGAATATACTCTCATATCTTTTCACTGTTACACAGCTGCATCGCAGCCCGCTACATTTCGTGAGAAGGTAATCCTAGATGGGACGATATCACAAGTGTGCGAGACACCGAGTCGTCTGAGCCTGCGTCCTCGCAGTTGAGTGCCAAGTCAAGGTGCAAGTCTTGACGCCACAAAGTTGCGGGAAGGGACGGACGGAAGGCCAAGCCCAAAGATGACGTGACCATGGCAGGGGGGCCATGGCACAATCCCTGTCATCGGCCCAGAGCAAGCCAGCAAGACCAGCAAGCTTGTCCCGCTGTGGACGGGAAATTGATTCTTTTCTTTCTTGGGAGAGAAGAGAGAAGAAGAAAAATGAGCAACCCCCTTTCTTTTTGTCTTGAGTCTTGCTCAGAGACAAACCATAACCCCCTACCTCGTCGAAAGATAATCAATCAATCCGATGTGGAGACTCCTTTGAACTTGACACATCTCCAATTTTCGAAACGGATTGATGTGTTTTTAATTGTTTTTTAATTATCAAAAAAAATAAATTTTCTGGCGGTTGCTGTTCTTGACTGCCATCTTGCCCCCCGCCAGAGCCGCCGATAGCGAGCTGTTTTCTGTGGAAATTTCACAATCTCCCACTCGGTGTTTGTGGGGCATCGCGGCTCCCTCAACTCCCCCGTCCCCGTTCTTCGGCAGCAGCACGGAGCACCACCCACTCTTTTCAAGTTGTTGGGGAAGAGGATCCATACCTCACTGGACCCTACTAGTCGTGCTAGTCGTGGTCGTCTTCGTTCATCCATTTTCAGGACTGGCTCAGCCCGCGTTGCAGCGGCAGCCAACCGCACACGATTATATCATATCATACGACACGAATCTTGTACCGTGTGAAGGACCCGTCCATCCGACAACCCCAGGTTCCCGGCCCAGCTCCTCTCTCCATCCCCGGTTCACCTATCAGGTCGGAATACGGCCCACGTGAAGAAACGAAGATCAACTGTGCGTTCCGTAAGTTAGAAAAACGCGCGAAGCAATCAAGGCGAAACGCACATCGGTAGACCACGCTTCACCACTCAACGGCCCGAACGCGGCTGTCGTCTAGCTCTGCGACTCCTGGTCCAATCTCCGACTCCCCCGGGTGAACATCGCCGGCATCTGCATCCGCTCCCGGGTCCACCCTGAACACCTTTTCCACCACTCGCTTGGTCCATCCAACCACCTCTCTTACTCGATCTTGCGCGCCCACTCCTTCCTGCCGAGCCCCCTCGATTCCGTTTGCCTACCTACCGACCGACCGATCGACCTAAGCATATCATATTAGGACCCCCGCCGATCCGGTCGACCATGTCGTCTCCGACCTCTGCGGCCCACAGCGCGGCCAAGCGCAAGCGCAACAACACGGCCACCACCCTCGACATGGACCGACACCCAACTATCCAAAGCGAGTCTCGCGATGCCTCCGGCGAGGAGGGCGACACCACCGCTGCGGAATCATACACCGCCCCCACTTCCACCGGTGCCGGCCACCGCAAGACCGATTCGTCCACCAGCGCTGTCGCGCACCCGAGCAAACGCCAGCGCGCCGGATCCGACCAGACCGCTACGCCTACTGTTGGCGCAGGCTCGACTGCCGGGGGGAATAACACGATAACCGATCCGGGTGAGCCAAGCGATACCACCGAGGCGAGCGTCGATATTGCTGAGCGCGTGACGCGCAGCGGCATCAAGGGTGGAAGCCGACGATCGACCACAAAGGGCGCTGAGGGTGGTAGCAGTATCAATGGCAGCGGCATGACGAGCAGCAGGACGACGGCCGCGATGGCACCTCCGCCAATTGGGAAGCTCACACACCCCGTGGGTTATACGACGAACCCACCGCCAACTGGCCGGGCAGTCAGGGTATATGCCGACGGCGTGTTTGATTTGTTTCATCTGGGGTAGGTTGAGCTGGAAGTCCGGAAGTCCAAAACATCATGGTTTTGGGGGCTATTCTAACAGCAGTTGGTTCCACAGACACATGCGCCAGCTCGAGCAGGCCAAAAAGGCCTTCCCCGATGTGTACCTGATCGTGGGCGTGACCGGTGACGAAGAGACGCACAAGCGCAAGGGCCTGACCGTGTTGTCGGGCAAGGAGCGTGCAGAGACGGTGCGCCACTGCCGCTGGGTCGACGAGGTTATCGAGAACTGCCCCTGGATTGTCACCCCGGAATTCCTAGAAGAGCACCAGCTCGACTATGTCGCCCACGACGACCTGCCATACGGCGCGGACGAAGGCGATGATATTTATTCGCCCATCAAGGCGGCTGGCAAGTTCTTGGTCACGCAGAGAACCGAGGGAGTGAGCACCACGGGTATTATCACAAAGTACGTCAATATCACCCCTCCTTCCTCCCTTTCCCCTTAAATTCCGGACTAACCTTCAAATTCCTTCTAGGATCGTCCGCGACTACGAAAAATACATCGCCCGTCAGCTCAAGCGCGGCACATCCCGCCAAGAACTCAACATCAGCTGGCTCAAGAAGAACGAGCTCGAGCTCAAGCGCCACGTCCAAGACCTGCGCGACAACATCCGCACGAACTGGGCGACCACCGGCCAAGAACTCAGCCGCGAACTGCGCCAGTACTGGCCCACCTCGCGTCCACAAAGCCCGGCTCGCTTCACGCGCGAGTTCAGCAATGGCGGGAATGGCAGCGGTGATTTGCCGCCGAGTAGTCCGCTCGGGCCGGGGCCGTCCGGTTTGGCGGCGGGGGGGCAGCAGCAGGGCGGGTTCCCGTTCCCGAGGAGTCCGCCGACGGGCGTTGCGACGGCGGGGGAACGGGCGACGAATAATGTGAATGATTTTGTGACGGGGTATACGTTGGGGTTGATTGGTGGTGTGCGGTCATGGGTATGTTATATTTCCAGTCCAGGGAGAAAAAATGAAGAAAAGAGAGAGAGCGAGTGGAATGTGTTGGCTAACCTCTCTTCTTCTTAGATGACCAAGAGCCGCAGGGTATCAAGAGAAGGCGAGGGTGAGAGCCGCCCCGTCAGTGACGACGATTCGGAGGAGAGCGAGGAAGTACCCGCGGGCCGTCGGTCGTTGCAGATGCCTACGAGTCAACGAGGTTGATGATCTGTGATGCAACGACCCTTCTCACTATCGGAGTTTGCGACGGACCCTCTTAATCGACTCGACAATTCCGTTTTGTCTGGTTCGGGCTCGAATTCGCCAAGTGATATGAATTTGGCACCCTCCCTCTAGGACTCCCGTTCTCAGGTCCCGGGTTTGGCAAAGCTCGGCCTTAGTTTCTTCTAGGTTCCTGTCGGCTACCGCAGAACCTATCTACCTGACTGATTGTAAAGGGGTCTATGGATTGTGTGGGTGGGTGGATGAAAAAAAGATGCGGAAGTGATTGGAGAGGCGGGTTTCTCGGACTGTTTTAATTTCCAATATTTTCCTACGTTTTGGACCTGGTGCTACAAGGTAGAAAACAAAATGGGGTGGGCTGTGGTGCCGAAAGGTTAATAAGTTATGGTGTACACTGGACATAAAGGAACGGGTCGTCCTCTTCATTCTCTGGGATCCCCTGGGTCCTCTCTCTTTACGATTCACTCCCTAAGCACTTCCAGATTCGCCTACACTTTCTCAAAGTTGTATTTTAACACTATTCCTAGAAGCTCCACCCTCGTCCCTCCCTCCTTTTTTCTCACACTGACTTTTTTTTTTCTCATCATATTTGCCCCTCTTTCCCCCTAAAAAGAAATAAAGAGATGCTCGGTTATGGTTCGGTTCGGTAGCAAGGACGGATGGATGGACGGTGGCCATGGGAGAGTAGGTGCGGGCGTTGGTGGTGTATGGGGGCGTTAGGGGTTGTCTGATAGACTCCTATGGTGGTATACAATACAAAGTATGTTTACTTTGCTAAGGTTGTTTCCGGGTTTGATCTGTTTTTTGCCTGTCTGGAGAAGGACTTTGGGGCAAGGTAAAGAAGTTAGCTTCGAGCTTTTATGAGTGTCTCCTTCACCGTGGGTCTTCTTTTCGTCCAAGGATAACACAATAGGAGGCTGTATCGCGCTAGTCCGTCAACGAGCCGGAGAATTTGGGGACTCTTGGTCGAAACTTGGCCAGAGCAAGGGAATGGGATAAACCTCAGAGCAGTGCAGGGAGCGAGTCACCAGGGCAAGGGGATAAGTGAGTGAGCAACAAGGAAGAGGGGAGGAAGCGGGGAGGACTGAAGGAGGGGGGATGACGGAAACCCGAGAGTCAGAGGCCTCAGGAGTCTGGGAGGACTGAAAGCGAGATGTGGCCGAGAAGGAGGGCCGAGAAAGAGTCACGGCCCGAGACGTCTAGAGAACAAACACGGGACTGCGTGGAAGCTTCGGCCGAGGGTGGTTGTGACTATCTTCATTGACTAGGGCTAAGCATAGCGGTTTGCGTCACGCCGAGGAGGGGCCCTTTCTGATTTCTTGATCACATTCACATCTTGGTCTTGCTTCGCATCCTCACGACCTTCCTATATCTACTAGGTGGGTGTTACTCCATGTCGAGCACATGATGGTGGTGGGGTTTAGATTAAGAGTGGGTTAAAACTTGAAGCCGGATTAGGGAAACCGGTAACCTCATTGATCGCTTTGACAATTTGGGAACGGCGGTGATAACAGTCCTGAACCTTCGGCCCGAACTGGAGACTTTCGGGTCAAACATTGTGTCAAACTCCAACGACCGTTACGACCTCCACGATCCGCTTGATCACCTCAATTTCTGTTTCGGTGCCTCGGCTGATACACGAGAGAGGATATTTAATAGGATCCGGTGGGGGGGAACTTTCCATTTACGCAGAAGCCGATATCAAGAAGACAGCAGGATAGCCAGTGATGAATGCTAGGTACCTGACACTGTTTAAAGTGCATACGTCGCTCAGTTATATCACGGTGATGGGATATAATACCACCTTACGGACTACCATTCGCGGCAAACAAACCCAATGATGCTCGTCACCTATCACATACCTCCATCCTCATAGGTTCATCACTCCATATGAGCCGCGGTTAATCGCGTTTGACGCCGAAGAGTGAGGCCACAGCAAGGACAGTGTGCTAATGACTCGAGGGTATTTCATTCATACGGTCTCGGGCCGAGCAGAAGGCAAGCGGGTAGCGCGTCCCGTTGAGGGGAGGTCTAGACATCACATAGTGTACATGAAACGTCCGTTGGGTTGTGGGCGGCAAACTATCGTCAAGAGGGGGTTAGCGTCTTCAGCTGATGGTTCGGTCAGTTGTTTGTTGAGGTTATTCGGAGTTGATATCCCGAACAACGTCGTTGATTCTATTTGCGTCACCTGCCCGTCACCAACGGGGATGAAGGGAGTGGCAGACATGAAACACAGTTTCTTCCACCTGCATAGGGCTGAGAGGGGAGTGCAACATCGCGGGCGGCGCACCCGGGGGAGAATACGGGACGATGCATAAGCAGCCCGGCCCGAGCTGCTGTTGAACCTGAGACCCCTGCATGCCGAGGACCGAGGGCCTCGTGGCAAGAGAGAAGCAAGCAAACGCGTGTGTCTCCCGCTGGACTGTACGTGTACATAGAGTTGGGGGCTCGGCTGATTCTGAAACAACCTAAAAAGGGACAGCGTAGGGTTGCAGGTTGATCTTGCATCTATCTTGGGCCGGTTTAAGAAACCCGGCTCGCGGCTTTCGCACAGCTGAGAAGCTTGGGCTACCTAATACGAGAGCGGTGTCGTCAGACAAGAGCTTTTTCCCCCTTCCTACTCCTCTCCCTCGGTTCTCGGCTATGAAGAAGGAGGGCAGAAGAGCGCTGCAGACCGCGCCCGATCCCACTGTTCAAAGATCTCGCCAATGAGGGAGCGTGGCGGTTGAGTCCGAATCCTTTCGCCGTTGGGATATTCTTGGGAAGCTGAAGGCAAAGAAGAGGCGGCTGTGTTCGATGATGCATATCAGGCCAGCATGAAACGAGTTTCAGATTTGGTTAGCTGCAGGTCATGGCCTGCAGGTCCGGGAGATGGACAGTTGGAACAACACACAAACAAAGGGTATGACCTGCATGCATGGCGGGGGCGTCCCCCAGGGACGAAAGGCAACGTTTGATTTTTGGCTATCGGGACGTCGCAAATTTTTTTTCTTTCTTTGTTGACCAGATCGGGTAGCTCGGAAACGGTCGTTGGGTTGTTTGTGTGTGACGCGACGTTGGGTAAGATAGTTAAGTCGGTTGTGGCTGTGTGGGGTGTTGCGGAACCGTTGGCACCAACGACCAGCCTTGGAGAAGTGCTGCGTGTGGGCGAGCGGTGTCGGCCCCTTGCTAAACTATTTTTGTAGATCAAAATCGAGAAAGTTGAACAGGCGGTCGCGCACTGCCCGGATGTTGCTGAGTCCATTATCCAGGAATCTAAATTTTTTGCCCAGGTAGTATGTGGGAGTTTATCCAGATGATACTTACCTATCCCAGTTGCGGGAGAGAAGAAGGAAAGACCAGATGAGAGGCTCCTTTCATCCTTTGGGCTACACTTAGGGCTACTCTCTGCGAACAAATTTTTTCCAAGAAAGCTGATTTCCTGCTTGCATCCAAAAGCTTTGTTTGCGTCTTGACCACAGCGAGAAGTTCATTTTCTCTGTGATGGTCGACTCGATTAAGCAGCCACTAAAAATGGCCAGGGGACTGGCAAAGATGTTTTTCGAATGAATGGTGAGTAACTTTTAAGTTCTCCATCGTGGAGGGTCTGTTGACGTGTCGAATATTCTCACCGAAAAAGTATGCCGTTATTGGGCTCTGGGCTGGTGGTGGTTTTTCTGGAAGACCGGTGCTGGAGTTTGGATGAGTGAGACTGCGGGGAAAGGCCCCTGGCGGCACTAGCCCTCATCTGGCGTAGGGGATCGCTTCCCGCTGTGGAGCTCGAGGAGATCAGCGCAGCCAACGCTTTGTTCCCAGGTTCTTCCTGGGCTGTCAAGGCTGTGTGTTGCTCCGCAGTTCCATTCGGGTTCACTCCGAACCCTTCGACACCCGAGTTGACGACATGGAAAACTTATCGATCGATGCCCCATTCGCGGCCCGCCCATGGCTTCTGGGGATTTGGCGAGGAGTCAACATGTGGCTCGCACCTTTCACATTCCACCTCACTCTTTCGATTTCACACGTCCGATCTTATCATAGTAATTTCTCGGACCGGTTGTTCCTCGGCTCAACGATAGCGGTTTAGAGGTTTGAGTTGCTTTGCGGCAGAGAGTTGCATCGACTGCTGGATTCGCTTCACGGTTCTGGGAGGCTATCTGATCAAGAATTAAGCGCCGTTGCAGAACACCGAGTCAAGCGCGATGGAGGCACCATCTCAGCCCTCATGCAGGTACGTCGTCCCCCCCTCACACGGCAACCCTCGTCCCTCACATGAGCCCGCCCGAAGCTTCTTCTCGAGTCTTGTCAAGTCTCGTCTGGTGTGGCTCGACCGTCCTGCACTGCGCCACCATCTAGTCCCAACTGCCCGTCCATCCCACACTAACGCAAGATGGGACGAATCGGCAGTCGAGAAATTAAGCGCCCGTCCGACCAGCATCTCAGCAGACGCAGTCTCCACGTTTTGCGTTTCGAAACTGCGTTTGAAAATCGGCAGTATCGATTGCTCTCCGAACGGGCCAGGCCAAGTTGGATCAATCTACTTCTGACCACCTTTTCCAAGACTCTCAATGCACGGGTTAGGTAGTAGTGTACCGGTTCTTGGCCCAGCCCTTCGCGCCTGGGCGCTTAGCATCGCTTGTTGATTGCCGCGCTGGACTGGCTGCCCCACCTGAATACTGTCTGGTTTGGGAAAGTCGGTGAGCTCTGCTGCCCGTCGCCCGGAGTTAGGACGGAAAACTGGAGCTCTCGGCGTTGTGATTTCACTCCCTTCCTAACCGACACACGGAAGATTGGTCATGAAGAACTTTCATTCGAGGCTCCTTATTGGCGGTCAGCGATTTACAACCTCGATAGAAATTTCTGCATGGCTCGGATTCTTTGTTGGAGCAAATTTTTTCCATCAGCAAGTCGGCACCGTCGGGCGGTCGGGCTCGGCAACAAGCATCAACGAAAATAGGATCTCACGAGCATGCGGCGCAGCACCCCGGTTATCCAATGGGGGCCAGCGAAGACCCCCCCCCAGCCCCTCACACCTCAACGCTTCCGTTCTCCCCGTCCCCCCTTGGTTCGTCTGGCCCATGCGCTGCGATCAACCTCAAACGGGCTGCAAAATATTCGGACAGACCGGACTCGTCGAGAGCGTGCCAAGCAAGGCCTAAGAGAGTTTAGGGCGACCAGCTCGTACACGAGTCGCTCTGGTGCTTCCCCACGGCGACTGCGTGTCCCTCGTCGGGGTTTGGGGGCAGGTACCTCAAAAATCTCCCGAGGGGGCAATTGTGACACTTGGAATTGGGGTTGAGAGAGTTTGGACGCTGATGCGGTCATCTTCATCGCTGTAACCCCCCTTCCCACATCGGAGTTGGCCGTCACAAACTCTAGCGCTGTAGTGTAGGACCGCAGGACCGCGTCCGGAATACTCTCGGTGGCGCCGGCACTCGGACACTGCTTCCCAATTATCCGTGGTATCTACGTCGTTCTTGAAAGGTCCTGTGTTGGCTCGGTGCCGGCGAGCTACCCACGACTTTGGCAGGTACTATGCGAAGTTGCTGGATCGGTCGGTCGGAGAAAATGGTGATGCAGGTGATGCAACCGGTATCCTTCCGCTCCCGCCCGGACGGCTGAAATCGGGGCCGTCACGCTGTTGGGGATAGGATGTTGCCGCCGGTGCATGCAGCTCCGTACTCGACCGCTGCGCGTCCCGATGATCGGGGTAAGACAACTAACTAACAGATCGGAACCAACGGCCGGGCCGCGAGACGAAATAGGAACACACACACACACACACACAATCAAAAGATCACGTTCGCCTGGAATGCACGGCATAACCCCCCCTCCCCAGTGACAAACCGTTGGTTCTCTGAACACACACAACTGATAGGGTTTGGAATCGACGTCTCTCTACCCCGGGTCTTGATATTGTGCACTGGGCGGATTTGTCAATAAGCCCAGGGGTAGCTTACCAAAGCCTCCTGCTAGTACCGCAGTGCACTATTCGTAGGTGCGTCTGAGTTCCAGGATGGAGCCAAGCCCTTTTCCATTCGAGGCGCTGCGGCTGAGGAGAATTGCGGCGTTGCGGCAAAAGGTACAGGCGCAAGATCTCAGGTCCGGCAGCCGGGTGTTTCACAAGAGTTCAGGAGGTGTGATGTGATGGAGTTACCCGGACAGGGCAGTCCACCATGTGTTGGGTCGACTTCCCTTGCTTGTCATCGCCATCACCGAGAATGTTCTGCGCAGTACGTACCTTTCTTTCCCCCGTCCACACCGCTCTACTTTGCAGTCTGCAGTATGTATTGTTAGAAGCACTTTGCTTCCCTCGCTCGTGTTCTGACTTCTCTTACTACGCAGCATGTAGAACCTTGCAGCAGCCGAGCCGACAGGGGGGTTTCCCAAACAGGCCGAGAAGAGAAACCAAGCCTCTCTCTTTCTGCGACCTTGCGAGGGTTGCCGGTGGGTGCCAAGAACGCTGCGTTGGAATTCAGTGCTTCTCCCCCTCCCCCAATCCCATGTCATGCCGACCCATCCCACGTCTCCCAATCCCGCTGCGCGACTTCTCCCCAGGAGCGTTACGTTGTGGGCGTGCGCCCTGTGGGCCGTCTGAAGACAACGGCGCCGCAGACGTGCCGCGCAGTCCGTCCACAGACCGCACACACGCAAAGCAATGCGACTTGCTTGACGGCCCACGGGCGACGGCCGGGTGTCCGTCATTTGCAGCGAGCAGGGGAGCAGGGGAGCAGAGAGGAGAACAGGGACAGTTTCTTCCCCTCCGCGTCCCGTACCCCCCCCTACCCCTGGGTCTTCCCGACCGCTTCCCGGCCGACTGCTGAGAGGCTTGTTGTTTCTTGTCTCCTCCAACACACATCCCCAAACATTAGCGTTGTCACTCAACCCGTTTTTGTGGCTGTTGCTGCTGCTCTGCACTGCGCTGCTCTGCTCTGCTTCTGCCCTCCCCCCCTTGTCCTAGTCCCTTCCCCTTCCCTTTCCCCTCTTTCCCCCACCCTCCCTTGTCTTTCCGCCCCCCGCGTGCTTCTGCAGCCGCGCGTGTACTGCGTGTACTGCGTGTACTTTGTACCTCACTTCGTACCATAGTACAGCCGTTCTCGCGGGCCGGGTGTCTTTGTCGCGCGTGCTGGCGCTTGTTCCCCATCCCCCATCCGCGATCCCGCATCCCCCATTCGTCTCAAGCACAAGTCCAACAGGGCTGTGTATTCCCACCTTTTGGTGTGTGTCGTCTGACTTTCCATTTTGAGTCACGGTTTGACGCCTGCTGCCCACCATGGCTAGCCTCAGCTTTATTATGGACGTCACCGACGACCACACCACCACAGCCGGCCGTCGTCCCCTCCCCTCTTTTAATAAAAGGGACCGGTCCCCCGACGACAAGCCGTCTACTCCTTCTGGTGTCTCGGTTCAGGTCCCGGCTCAGGGTAGGTCTCAGTCTTACGAAGCAGGAGCACCACCACCCGCAGTACAACCACCACCTCCTCCTCCACCACCACCGTCGACGCCGCCCAAGCCGGTAGAGAAGGGCAGTCGAGGGAGTAGTAGCACAACCAGCCCCGGCCCGGTCCAAGTCGAGCAAGATATCAACCCAGCCGCCCCCGCGGGCCAGACCATACGGCACGGTGCTTCACCCAAGAAACCCAAGCCCGTCTCCGTCGTCGTCGTCGGGCCATTAGAAACAACACCAAAGCAAGAGGGGCCCTCAAAACCAACACCGAGACCTCGAGCCGGAGAGGGTGCGTCTGCTAGCACCACCACCACTTCATCCCCTTCGAGCCCGTCGTCGGCCCCGAACCCCGTCTCTGTTGCGGCCCAGGGTTCTGCGCCCGCAGCAACAGCAACAGCAACAGCAACAGCAACAGCAAAGGCAAAGGCGGGAACAACGACGACCAGCAAGCGGTCACGCCGACCAAGCAACACAGCAAACGACCCAATGGACCGCTCACGCTATGGATCCGCCTCTTCCGCCTCGACCGTGAGCAACGCGGGCCTGCAACGGCCTGTTCCTCCACCTCACGTCTCACCCACACCGTACACGCCCAAGTACACGCCCAAGACGGGACGGGTGAGCAAGGCGAAGAAGGGTCTACCGGTCCATGTGTGTGATATTTGCCGGCCTATCAAGGTGAGAGAGAAAAGCATTGTCCCGCTAGCATTCGTTTGACCTTTGAAGCCTCTTGTTCTAACGGATATGATAGACATTTACAAGGGCCGAGCACCTGAGGTGAGAGAGAATACCGGACAAGAAGACATCCTACAACGGCCACGATACTAACATTCGTCTTCTCCTGTTTCTAGACGCCACCAGCTGGGCCACGGAGCACCACAGTTCCAATGCACGAGCTGCGACCGGGCATTCCATCGAGCCGACCTGTTGATGCGGCATCAGCAGAAGCAGTACGTGTATTAGTAATTCCGGTACGGTGAACACGTGCGTGCATGTGCTTATTACTAATGCTCTTTGAACTCTAGCGAGACCGACGGTGACGCTGCTTCCAAAACGGGTTCATCACACCATAGCCCGCAGCCATCGCCCTCGCTGTCCTTCCAGCAGGTCCAACAGTCTCCGCGGACCCCCCGAACCCCGGGCTCTGGGCTGCCGGCCTCTCTCACGGAGACGGAGTTACCATCCGCCCCGAGCTCGGCTGCGGCAGTGAAACAGGCGGGATTTGCCTCAACGGGAAGGCTCCCGCACCACGAAGGCGGAACCCCGGCCTCGTCCTATAGAGGTGCTTCGCAACCCCCGCCGCAAGGATTCCACCGCGCCTCGCCCTTCTCGCCCACTGTCTCGATCGTCAATCCCACGCGGCCCTTCCACGCCGGGGGCTACCAGCACCACCACCAACAACAAGCCCAACAGCAACACCGGAACACCCACACGCCGGCGCCCCTCTACGTCGTGACCGAGAGCCTGCAGCTGCCCAGCCTCCATGCCACCGTCGCCGACCTGCCGGACCTGCGCGATACCTCGTCGCCCATCCCGTCGTCGGCCGCCACCGACAGCACCTACTCGGCGCCCTTGTCCGATGTCTCCTCCCGGAACCCGCTGACCTCGATGATGACGCCGCGCGGCGGGAACCGGTCGCCGTATCTCAGCAGTGCCGGCGCAACCACCGCAGCGTCAGCCCGCAACGACGCGGCTCCGTCTCTTGCTCACGGACCCATGTTTGTGAACCCGTACCCGGGCCATCAAGCCTCGGAGCATGCGTTTGGCGGCGCCCAGGGCATCTCGTCTCCTGTGATGGGTGGATACACCACAGCAGGAACGAACCACCATCACCACCAGCAACAGCACCAGCAGAGCGGCTCGCTACCCTCCCTGCGCGCCCGGACCCCTCCTCTTGATGCGTTCAGCCATCACAGCTCCGAAACCATGATCGCGACGTCACCGCGCCTGCCCGCCCACTTCGATCCCCTGAGCGGCTACGACCGCCGCAAAGACTCCATGCTAGAACTGCACCACGACCTGCTCGTGTCCCAAGCCTCCCTCGAAGGCCTCGGCGTTCTCGGCAGTCTAGCTGCGGGTTATGGTTCCGCCGTCAGCCCGGGCGTTGAAATCGCCAGTCATCACGGGGGTGGCAACGGGGGTGGCAACGGGGGGAGCATCATCACCGACATGGCAGACCTGGCCGCTCTCGGCGGCAGCGGTAGTCCCGCCTTACCCGGCGCGCGCTGCTCGACAACGACGAACCTGACCACGGCGGGCGGCGTCGGCATGACCATCCCGCTGCCAGGCCCCATTCGGGCCGCGATCCCGCGGTATCTTGAGGTGTACTGGGCAAGGGTGGACCCGGATTTGCCGATTGTGCACCGCACGTCGTTTGAGGCCGCGCCGGAGGATGTGTTAAGGTGTGCGATGGCGGCTGTGGCTACGCAGGGGTTGGATAGTGCCGAGGACCGCGCGCAGGGTGCGGTGTTGCATGAGTTTGCGTGGCAGGAGGTTAAACGGGTGAGTTCTTTATCCACTCTCCTTTAACCCTTATCCTCTATCACTTCTCCTCAACTTCTTTGTTACATACAATGACTGACACACTCGTCAATAGATCCCCCAATGGAGCCTCCAGACAATGCAGGCGATCCTCCTGTGCGAGCATTTCGCACGCTTCCGCGGCCGCAAGGCCGTGACCCGACCTTCCGGGCCGTTCGAGTCTCTGTATTCGAGGGTGAGTGATGCTCTACGGTCTCTTTCCACGCCGCTGCCGTCCTCGTCCGCGCCCGCTTCCGCTTCCGCTTCCGCTTCTGCGGTCGATACCGCTGTGGCTACCGCGGCCGAGGGCGTCGGCGGATTATGGCTCGTCGACACCACTGCTTGGTCCCCTGTTTCTTCTTCCACCGCATCGTCTTCGTCTTCTTCTCCTTCTTCATCTCCCTCGGTTCATGGCATGGCTACCACCCCTACCACGGCCGCTCCTGTTGTCTCTGTTTCTACTACTGTTTCTACTACCGCTGCTTCCGCTTCTGCTACTGCTTCTTCTGTTTCTTCTTCTTCTTCTTCTCATTCTTCTTCTAATACTGCCACCGCCATGTCTCCTTTTGCCCTGCGGCACTTGAGTCCGCTGCAGGGTGCTCCTTGGGGTGGTTTTCCTTCTTCTCAGCTCCGGTCGTCGGCTGCGGCGAACGCTATTTCTTCTCCTTCTCTGGCACAAACGTCTTCTTTTCCTTCTCCGTCGGATGCGTCGTTGGCTCTCGGGTTCTCCCGTGCCGGGGGTAGTAATTTTAATCCTAATGCTTCTTCTTCTTCTTACTCTCGTTCGCCCTCTACTACTCAGCAGCCGTCGTCATCGTCATCATCATGGTCTTCTCTCTTTGCCCCTATCCACCGCAGCCCTCCAGTACCAGCAGCCACTGTTTTGCCGTCTTCTCACTCTCTTTCCGACTCGTTTTCTTCTGCCGTTGCACCACCTACACTTCTTATTCCTCCTCCTCCTCCTTCGGGACAGGCATGCTCACAACGCGGTGTAAATCAACAGGCTCTGTACCAGAATCCGGCTCTCCTAGACCGCTCCATGCTCGCCGCAGAGCAACAGCATCTCTCGGTGCACGAGCGATGGCACAACTGGATCGACACCGAATCCCGTCGGCGCCTGCTCGCGGCCTGTATCTTTGTCGACATCCACGCTGCCGTCTACCAGCAGCAAGGACGCGTCCAGGACACCGACCTCAGCACGCAGCTCATCCCCTTGCTCGGCCGCGCTACCGAACTGTGGGCCTGCGGGTCGGCGGAGGAATGGGTGAGCATCCTAGCTGCCGACCCGGGTGCTCTGCAGCCCGAACATTTCCCGCCGTCCCTAGAGCACCTCACAGCCGACGGCGTGGCCGCGCGGTCGCTACCCGATCGCATGATCATCCTCAGCGTTCTCGCCCAGCACTTGACCCCCACGAGCCGGGGCGTTAGCAACCAGGGCGGCGGCTTCCTGTCATCATCTCCTCGTACGACATCCCTTTCGCCGGGGAGTACACCATGCCCGGAACTGGACCCTCACAACTATCACCACGGCCCATTCCACCCCCCACCACCCCAGCACAACGCCCGGATGATCAGCTCTTCCTTCTCCTTCGACGCAGAAGAGCGCATCGCCACCCTCTTCCCCACCTGCCCCATCGGCCAGACCTATTTAGCCCTACACCACACCCCGCTGCGCGACCTGCTCGCCGTCAGCGGCGACTCGTGGGTGTTCTCGCAAAAGGGCATACCCGAGGCGTCGTTCCTCGAGCATCGGAAGCGCTTGAGAGCGTGGGTCGGTGCTGCCATGAGCGGGAAGAGTGTCATTCGGGCTACTGTCCATGCGGCTCGCGCGATCTTGGGGTTTATGGGTCACCTGCCAAGTGCGCAGCAGCAGAATTCCTCCTACTATGGGTACGAGGAACAGCTACCGGACTACGAGTCGCTCTCGCTCTCCTTTTCCAGTTGGAACATCAACATATCGGATTACTGGGCCATGTACGTCTGTGCCTTGATCTGCTGGGCTTTCGCGCACTCGGCTTCTCCTGCGCATCTGAATCAGACCCAGAACCAGCCCCAAAGCTACATCCAGGGCCGGGCCGGCGGATCACGCAACACCACCAACACAGCATCAACCACAACCGGCAGCTCCTCATCTATGACTCTCACCCTTCCCTTGTCTCATTCCCGCCCTCATCCATACTCCCACTCCTCATCACCCTCCTTATCCTCGAGCGCCATCCCCTCCCCCCAAATCAACTCCCCCACACCCACACCCACACCCACCACCACCAAACAAGAATCCACCGCCCTCACCTGGCTCCGCAACATCGCGTCTACCAACCTTGACGCTACCGTCGATCTCGACCTCGACCTGGAAGAAGCCACAGGCGGTAGCAGTACATCAGCAGCGGGCCCCAGGTTAGAAATTAACGCGGCCGCGGCCATTGGCGTGGTAGCGCTGGTGCGGAGGAGGTTAGAGGCCGATTGTACTGGCGCTGGCCGCGATGATGGCAGCAGTGATAATGATGCTGGCAATGGCAATGGGAATGGGAGTGTTGGTGGTGGTGCTGGTGATCGTCAGAGGAATTGGAATGCAGGGTTGGGATCGAAGTGTCGGAGTCGGTTGTATGTGGATGCTGTTGGGGTGTTGGGGAAGGTGGAAGAGGGAGCTGGGTGGCGGTGGTTTTGATTGAACCGTCCCACTGCTCTTCTCTATCCTGCTTTCGACATCTTTCTCCTTTTTTTTGGGGGTTCCTCTTTTCTTTCCCCTTCTCTTCCATCTCATTCCCATTTCCTTCTCGACGCTTTACCCCAGATATATGTCCTTATGGATGGGTCTACGACGTGGTTTCTTTCATTGGCACGTACACAAGAAGGAGGAGCTACGACGTCTTTTTGACGGGTTATGTATTTCTTATTCCCCCATCCATCTTACTTAACCCTTTCTTTTCCTGTTTCTGTTTTCCCTTTTTCTCTCTTTTTTTCCTTGAGTTTGCTATACCCCCTTTCCTGCGAGGCTACTTGCTTGCCCCATGATACCATACCTGTACTACTATGTAACATCTCACTTTGTTTGGCTCTTCTTTTGTTTTTTGTTGTTTTTGGTTCCCCTCTTATATCCATCCACGTTGCTTTTTTGTCAATTTTCTCTCTGTTTTGCCGTTGTTACTCTTTTTACGTTTGAAAAACTTTATTATTTCGGCCTATATGGCCTGTGTTGTACACTAGGAGCAAAGGATCGGACAGGACAGGACAGGACAGGATAAAAAGATATTCATTGTACTGGATAGTGATGGCGATAGAGGTAATGCGGAAAGGGTATAATTTCTGTCTGGAAAGGAAAGGAACAGGGAGGGGTAAACGGTTGGTTAGGTTAGCATATTAGGTAGCATGGAGGGAAGGAATTAAGTGTAGTGTAGTGTAATAAACGAGGTGATTACGGTATCAAGACATGCCCCCTCTTTGTGGTATCTTGACAGAGACCACGAAACCAAATCTATTTAACAAACGCGATTATCTTAGCTAATAAAGCGTCGTCTAGATACTCCTGCTTTGCTCTGCTCTGCTCCCCCGTTTTACTCAACTCGCCTGCCGACGGACGAACCGACCCATCGCCCTACACATACGCACACATACACCCAAGTTATCCATCCCAAGCGCCATGTGTTAAAACACGCACCCCCAGACAGAACAGCCTGCTTGCTTGCTTGCTTGTCTGAGTTGATCAATCAAATGCCATCTGCCACGCTGGTTTCGCTGGTTTATGGGGAAACATATCCCCATCTACCCATCTCAAAACCCAACAATTAAAGACTCTATAACTGCTACGCACTCCCCATACCTTTCCCATTGTACTCTCGGGCGGTGGGACTTTGATTCTGACGGTATATCCTTAACCCCCCTAAAACAGCCCATCAATCTCCCCCGTCTCAGCATCCACATCAACATTCAAATACCCCGGCGCCGTCGGCAACCCCGGAATCGTCTGAATATCCGCCGCTAGCGCATACAAATACCCCGCGCCAGCCGCCATGCGCACATCCCGAATCGGCACCGTGAACCCCGTCGGCGCGCCCTTGAGATCCGGGTCATGGCTAAGAGAGTACTGCGTCTTAGCCACACAGATGGGCAGGTTGCCGAACCCCTGGCGGGTGTAGGTGTCGACCTTCTTTTGGGCGAGCTCGCTGAACTCGACGGCGGAGGCGCCGTACATGTCGCGGGCGATTTTTTCGATGCGTTCTTGGACGGTGCCGTCGAGGGAGTAGAGGAGTTTGAAGTTGTCTTTGGGTTGCTCGGCGGCTGTGACGACCGCGCGGGCGAGGTCGACGGCGCCCTTGCCGCCTTCGGCCCAGTGGTTGGCGAGGACTGCGTCTTCGGCGCCGGCTTTGATGGCCTCCTCGCGGATGACGTCGATTTCGGCTTGGGTGTCGGTGGAGAATTTGTTGATGGCCACGATGACGGGGACGCCGTAGGATTTGGCGTTGGCGACGTGCTTGGCCAGGTTGACGCAGCCGGCGCGGAGGATCTCGACGTTTTCTTGCTTGTAGACGGGGTCGAGGGCGGCGCCGGGTGCGATGGGGGGGCCGCCGCCGTGCACCTTGAGGGCGCGGACGGTGGCTACCACGACGACGACGTCTGGGACGAGCCCGGAGGTGCGGCACTTGATGTTGAAGAACCGCTCACCGCCCATGGTGAAGTCGAAACCGGCCTCGGTGACCACAAAGCCGGTCTTGGCCGCGTGGTCCTCGTCCGGCTCCGTCCCGGTAAGCTTCAGGGCCATCTTGTCGGCCAGGATAGAGCTGTTGCCGATGCTGATGTTGGCAAAGGGGCCGGCGTGCACGAAGACGGGAGTACCTTCCAAGCTCTGCATCAGGTTCGGCTTGATGGCGTCCTTCATCAGGGCCGTGAGCGCACCGCCGGCGCCGATGTCGTCGCATGTGACGGGGTCGCCGCTCTTGGAGCTGGCCACCACCATCCGGCCAAGGCGCTCCCGCATGTCGCTCAGGCTGGTGCTCAGCGCAAGGATGGCCATACACTCACTGGCGACCGAGATATCAAAACCGGTTTGGCGGCTGTGGCCCTTCTCCGTGGGCGCGTTACCGATGATAATGCCGCGCAGGTGACGGTCGTTGACATCGAGAACACGGCGCCATGTGATGGTCTCCGGGTCGATGTCAAGACGAGCAAACCGGGTAATCTCCTCAGGAGTCAGGGAGTCGGGATCCGTCTTGTCGATGCCCAGCTTCTTTAGACGGCGCGTCATGATGGGCGCGAACGCACGCTTGCCGTTCTTGGCAGGGACCAGACGCCTGTAAAGAGCAGCATCCTTTTGGGTGCTCTCGTGGAACATGCGCGTGTCGATGGCCGCGGCGAGCAAGTTGTTCGCAGCGGTGATGGCGTGGATGTCGCCCGTCAGATGTAGGTTGAACTCGTCCATTGGGATGACCTGGCTGTAACCACCGCCGGCAGCACCACCCTTGATCCCGAAGGTCGGGCCCTGGCTGGGTTGGCGCACATTGGCAAACGTCACACGGCCAAGATGGGCACCAAGTGCTTGGGCCAGACCCATGGTGGTCGTCGACTTACCCTCACCCAGCGGCGTAGGGGTGATGCCCGTGACGACAACGTAGCGGCCATTCCGGCGATGATCAAGGCGCTGCAACAGGTCAAGGTCGATCTTGGCCTTGTACGCTCCATACGGCTCCAGCTCGGAGGGAGAGACACCAATCTCCTTGGCAATCTGCGTGATGGGTTTGGGGGCCTGCGCACGCGAGATGGCAATATCAGATGGGACGGGCTCCAGGAGCTTCAGGGGGAGAGGCACAATGTGCCTCTGCTTCTCGGCCTCATACGACTGTGTCGCAGCGTCCACAACATTCTTGAGAAGCATGGCGACGGTCATGGGGCCGACGCCGCCGGGGACGGGGGTGATGTGGGAAGCAACCTGGGAGGCAGACTCGAAGTCGACGTCGCCCACAAGGCGCTGGCCCGACTTCTTCGTGTCATCGGGGATGTAGTTGGTGCCCACATCGATGACAACAACGCCCGGCTTGAGCTGCTCGCCTTTGACAAAAGCGGGCTGGCCAATGGCGACGACGAGCACGTCGGCATTCTTGAGGTACTGGTCCAGGTTCTTCGTCTTGGAATGGCAGACGGTCACCGTAGCGTCGGCGTTCTTGAGCAGGTAGCTAACAGGGCTGCCGACGATGTCGCTCCTCCCGAGCACAACGGCGTTCTTACCGGCCAGCTCGACACCAGCCTCCTGAAGAAGTACCATGACACCCTGGGGAGTGCAGGGGATGAAGAAGGGGCGGCCGCCGCGCTTGGCTAGCTCGCCGATGTTGTGAGTGCCAAAGCCGTCGACATCCTTCTCGCCCGCAACGGCCGAGGTGACATTGTACTCAGAGACATGCTTGGGAAGAGGGAGTTGCACCAAGATGCCGTGCACCGTCGAATCGTGGTTGAGGGCGACGACGCGGGCAACCAGCTCGGCCTCAGTGGCCGACTCGTCGAACTTGATGAGCTCACATGATATGCCGCACTAGGTTTGCTGTGAGTATCCTCGAAATGCCGAGATATCTCCGGATATGAGGGTAACTTTGGGCAATGATGGGAACATACCTCCTCAGCGGCTTTTAACTTCATGCGTACATAAGTTGCTTCGGGGGAGTCCGATGTTAGTTACCCCGCGCGTGTACGGTGTGTGTGACTGCGTGTGACTGCCATCTCATCTCTGAAACGGCGGGGTAAAAACAAAAGCGAATAGAATGGATAACGGGAGAGGGGACGAGAGGACGAGAGGACAGTGAAAAACATAGCATGAGGCGGCGCGGGAAACTTACAAGAATCAGAACGGTCTCCCACTGTGGCGCCGGCAGTTCGTTAGCCTTAGTCACAAATATCAAAATACTTGGGTCAACTCAGGGGTAAAAAAGACGGGATGCAACACCCGCGCGCACGCACCTTGGATGATCTTGAGGGACGGCTGGAAACGTGCGTTGACGTTCTTCTTCTCGACAATCTCGACGCGCAGTTGCTCGCGTACTTTCTTAGCAATTGCCGTTCCGTCAATCTTTGCCGCGGTCATGGCTGCTGGCTCTGATGGGGGTCCTTCTGGGGGTCCTTCTGGTGCAGACGCTGCTTCTCGAGGCGATGCTCCGGCCGCCAAGCTGAAATAGTGTCGGCGACTATGAGTGTGAGCCGAAGTTGGTGCGGATGGAGAGCTGAGAGAGCGGGGGAAACTCAAAATAGCGCCGCTGATGTGAGCTCTCCACAGACTGCTCTCGTTGGGCCTCGAAAGGATCGAGTTTGGGGTTGAAGGGTTCGACGCTGATGGAGCCCCGCGGCCTGATGGAGCGAGACACCAACGCGGGGCAGCGGGGCCACCTGCAGCCGACAGAGACCGCCGACTGTCGGCTCTTGCAGCGTTGTTTCCGCCGACGCTGAAGTCCGCGTCACATGTTGCTGCTGCTAACCCCAAGACTGCACCACTGTGATGAACACGTCTGAGCCTTAAACTTGAGAACCCGGCCTGCTTCGATGGGTATTGGCCCTCGTCTTTCAACCGCTGTAGAGCGCCGGCCCGGATCGCTGAGCCGGTTTCAGGGACTGAAATTCTCCGGGCCAGGTGTGAGAGAGTCATGACTCAAAACTGATGATTGTGTTGTACCGCATCCATATGGGAAAACCTAGCCAGTGTCGGATTCTTTGCTGCTTGCCAGCTGCTTGTTGGTTATTTTGAAGCAAGTAACAACTGTTTACCGCCTAGTTGAGTAGTCTGGCGGGGTGGACGTTGAGCGGCCAAATACCGGGCTTCCATGTATTACAGACGTGGGAGAGCGGGAAAGTGTGAAAGGAAGGTAGAACCTCCGGGGTGGAGATCAGTCCCCAGCTGGCCGGTTTTTTTGTCTTGGTTTTTTCTTCTGTTGTTTTTCTTTCTTTCTTTTTCGGGGAGTAGTATTTTAGCCGTGTCGACCAAGGGTATAGGGACGTTAAATAGACTACAGTCGAGAACCCGGGATGGAACAAAATACAACTACGGCGTAACAACTTTCATATAATTAAGAAATCCATTGTGCCGAGCCTTCTTCCGCATATGTTGGACTGCTGGCTCCGGCTTTATTGTCTCGGCCCTGGCGTCCGTGGCCAAGGACTAGAAAATTGGAAGGCTTTCAGAGTCGCACACTGCTCGAGGAATCGCCAGCCGGTTAGAAGGCGTTAAAGAAACCCAAGGTCAGGGAGCTCCCGTGTCGGGGAATGGGAAAACCGCCGTTCGTCGTGTGAGCATACGGTTGTACCGCAATGGGCATGGGTCAAGGCTAGTTTCAACCGTTTTATTAGAAATGAAGATAAAATAACAAATAATTACGTGGTTCCGAGAGAAAATCTTTAGAGACTTATTGACCAGTCATTGTGTTCCTGGAGGTTGTGAGTCGCGAGTTGAGTCATCGACTGTTGCAAGGGAAGTTGAGTTGAACGAATGCGATTGATGCTTCGATTGGGAGTTTACAGGTGACCTGTTCGATTGGTGCTTCAGAATTATTTTTGATGGCCTCCTTGACCCTGTCCCAATACAGAAGGCGGTCAGGTAGGACCCCTGTAGGAAGGAGCGATGACTCCACTGAAGAGTCACTGGAGGTGGAGCAGCAAACCGCCCCGCGATGGGCTGTGGCCGGCTTATCGGTGTCACGCACAATCTGAGGGACAGAAAAATTACTGGGCGCCCAAATCCATCCGCCGCTGCGAAGGAAAGCCGCCCCGCAATAGCTCCCTGACCACAGCCCGCAATCCGAAATCCATCTACACTCACTCCCCTGCCGAGATTTTACAACCTTTAAAACCGGCAGCCCGCAAACGAGACTTTCGCGACCGATCCCCTCCTTGCTTCATTACGCAACCGCCAAAATGAGGCCCATCCTGCTGTCGGGCCACGAACGTGCCCTGACCCAAGTCAGGTAGGTTCCCTTTCCCCCCACCACTACACCCGGGACAAGAACGATTACGGATGGTTTGGTTGGATACTCGTGGTTTTGAGATTCTCGCGTCCTAACCACCTATTTCCCACCGCCCCCCCATAGATACAACCCGGACGGCGACCTCATCTTCTCTGTCTCCAAGGACCAACAGATCTGCGTTTGGTTTGCGCACAATGGCGAGCGTCTTGGAACCTACCGCGGCCACCAGGGTGCCATTTGGACTATCGACGTCGACCCAACTTCGACCATCCTCGCCTCTGGCTCCGCCGACAACACCATCCGCCTCTGGGACATCAAGACCGGCAAGTGCCTCAAGACCTGGGACTTCCCGACCGCCGTGAAGCGCGTCGAGTTCAACGAGGACGGCACTCAGCTGCTGGGCGTGACCGAGAAGCGCATGGGCCACATGGGAACAATTGTCGTGCTGGACGTCAAGATCGATGTGGAGGCCGAGCAGACTGACGAGAAGGCCCTGACCATTGTCTGCGAGGAGAGCAAGGCCACTGTCGCCGGCTGGAGCTACCTCAGCAAGTACATCATCGCCGGCCACGAGGACGGCTCCATCTCCCAGTTTGACGGCAAGTCGGGCGACCTGCTTTACAACTTCCCCATCCACGAGCTCAACCAGCAAATCACCGACCTCCAGTGGTCCCAGGACCGCACATACTTCATCACCTCCTCAAAAGACAAGACCGCCAAGGTTCGCAACCGCATACATTCATCCACACACCCCTTTTCCAAGAATCTAACGCTAACCGTTGCACTTTCTCCCCCCCGCAGCTTATCTCCGCCAAGGAACTCGAAGTTTTCAAGAGCTACGCCACCGACACCCCGCTCAACAGCGCCGCCATCGCCCCCAATAAGGACTTTGTCATCCTCGGTGGTGGCCAGGCCGCTATGGATGTCACGACGACTAGTGCTCGTCAGGGCAAGTTCGAGGCCCGCTTCTACCACAAGATCTTCGAGGACGAGATCGGCCGCGTGCGTGGTCACTTCGGTCCGCTCAACACCGTTGCTGCCGACCCCACCGGCAAGGGCTATGCCAGCGGTGGTGAGGATGGTTACGTCCGCGTGCACGCTTTCGACAAAGGTTACTATGATTTCATGTACGAGGTTGAGCGCGAGAGGGCGAACAAGTTGGCTGCGGCGGCTGCGACGGCGATGGCGTGATTTTTTCTCTTTGAGGATGGGGAAAGGTCGGCGATTTCGTTGTCTGGATTTACTCACCTAGACGGGTAAGGGTAAGTCCGGAGGTAGCGGGCGGTTCGGGCATTTTCAACGGCGTTCAGGGAAAACCAACTTCGTTGGGGGACGGGCCAGGGATCTTCTATCTATCTGCAGGCGACAGGAAGCGGGGAAGAAGAGACAGGCAACGGCCCCAAAGACTAGACGGAGATAACGAAAAAGAAGAAACTCGGTTCTTCCATTTGCTGGGTCAGCTTCTTGAGATTTCGTGTACTTGCGGTGCGTGTATTTCGTCTGTTTATGGTTGTCTTAATTCGCCGTAATACGTGATCGTTAGAAAGACGATTGATACCCTATACACACCAGACATGGGAAGCCGTAATGAACAGTAGCAGTGTATTATGTATATCGTCCGCAACACCACCAGAATGCTTTTGCTTTTCCACATCACTTTCTCCTTGCTCCCCTGTTTTCTACTACAAGGCACGGACGGGATAAAGCCTTGTTTGTTTCGTTTTCCTCATTTCACACACCATCTAGGTAAAGAGTTCCCACTGCCTTTCTCTCTCTACCTTCTCCATAATAAACAACGAAAAGCACAACCCCTAAACGCCTCTCCTCCCCTTCCCCTCTTATCCCAATCTAGCAACCACCGATCAAGCATCCGCCCTCAAATCTGAAGTGAGGAACGTGTCTGCCACCAAAAGGGGGGGGCAAAACGAAGGATGGAAAAAAAGGGGACAAAATGTACAGCTAGACTCAAGTGAAGGTAAAGAAACAACAACCACACCCCCCGTCAACGACGCTTGCCCAACATGCCAAAAGCGGCGAACCTACCAACACCTCTTCCTCTATGTTCAGACATTCAATCTACTTGGGCCGCTTCCTCCTGGATCTTGTGTCCCCCGTTTGTTTATTTCTTCTTGCCTTTCGCCTTGCCTTTAGCAGGTGCGGCAGAGTTAGTAGACCCAACGCTTGACGCGCGCGACGGCGAGGTTGAGTTGGCTTTGCTGCCTGTGGTGGATTTGACGTTGTCGAGTGCTTTGTTCTATAACACGGGATGGGTTAGTTTGGGTAGATTCCTCAACATGGAAAGTTAAGAGAGGTTGTGATCGGCCTACCTTAACACCGTTGGCCTTGTTCTTCTTCTTGGCCGGGGCCAAACCGAGGATACTATCCTCATCATTCTCCTCGTCATCCAGCTCGCGCTTGAACTTGCCGTTGACGCCGTTGGACTTGGCCGTGCCGACGTCCTCGAATTCCTTCACAACAGTAGTGAGCAAGGTATTGCAGCGGCGGCCGAGCTCAGTAGGCGTGCGGCTCAAAAAGAACCAGTCGAACCGGAAGAGCGGGCTCTCGCGGATCTCGTCGCGGATCCGCTCGTAGATGCCCTCGGAGTCGACGCCATACTTGTCCAGCAGCACGAGTAGGAAGCGGTCCTCCTCTTCGGTGTACACCTTTTTGTTCGTCGTCGAGACCGAGTAGCTGATCTTAAGCTGCTGCAGCGGCACGCGGTACTGGCCCATCTTCTTGCGCAGCATCTTGCGTTGGTGCTCAATCTTGCGCATCCGCTCTTCGCCATCCTCGATGACCTTGAGGTACTTGGTGTAGTCCGAAATCTCGGTGTAGCGCTGCCAAAAGACCTTGGCATACGCCTTGATCTCTTGCGCGGTCTTGCTGTCAACCTCCAGGGCGATCCCGTCATAGTCCTGGCGCCCGTAGCGTCCGGAGCCGTTGACGAACTGCTGGAAGTCGCGTCGGTTCCAGTCGCCGAACCCTTGCTGAGCCAGTGTCTGCTTCTCCTCCTGTTCTTCCTCCGTCAGCGCGGTGGCGTTGTCGATCTCTTGCTGGTCAAGCGCCCTCTCGGCCTCGCGTTCCGACAGGTTGTCGTCATCACCATCTGGGAGAGGAACCTTGTACCCAATCTCCTTGCGGTAGAACGCCGTCTCCCTATCCTGGAGGTCCCGTAGCCGTGGCGGGTAGAACTGGTAGTCGTGAACAGGGACTTGCTTTGGCGCACGGGGCGCCTTGGGCTTTGCGTCGGCTGTCCTGCCTCCAGTGTGCAGGGCTTGCTTATAGTACTTATCTATCGAGTAAAACTGCTCCTTGCGCTCACGCTTGGCGGGATTGATCCAGTTGACGCCGATATCCTTCTTGCGGGCGGCGAAATCCTCTCCGTTCCATTCGTAGGCGGACTCCGAAGTGAACTTTTGGAGGTCATCGATACCAAGCTTCTCATATCTGGCGTTGAGTTCCTTAGTGCGTGACTCACCCGCCTGGAGAATAGCATCGATGTCGTCGTCATTGAGGTTGTTGCCCTTTTCACCCAGATCGCCGAACGCACCCTTGGTCTGGAACACCTTCTCCGCGCCGTGCTGGATCATAGACAACAGTTCGTCCTTGTTTGCCGCAGCCTTGGCCGCAGCCTGGGCACGGCCTTGCTGAATGACAAGTTGGTCGAGGCGGAGCTTTTGTGCTGCACGCTCCAGGACTTTTTCTTCGATAGCGTTATCTGTGACAAAACGATACACGACCACCTGCTTGGTTTGACCAATACGATGGGCGCGGTCCATGGCCTGGAGATCCGCCTGCGGGTTCCAATCGCTGTCGTAAAGGACAACGATATCGGCGGTTGTCAGGTTGATGCCCAGACCACCGGCTCGCGTCGTAAGCAGGAAGATAAACTTCTCGGACCCTGGCTTGTTGTACTCGTCGATGGCGGCGATACGGTCCTCGTGCGCTGTGCTACCGTCAATGCGGCAGTACTTGTACCCCCTGAACACGCAGTAATCTTCCAAAATATCCAACAAACGGCTCATCTGGGAGAAGATGAGGACACGGCTATCTTGACTCTGCATTCTCTTCAGCAGTTTGTCCAAGACCATCATTTTGCCGGCGTTATGCACGAGGTGTTCGTCGGTAGTGTAGGGCGGGCCGGGCTCGGCACCCTCGAACAGATATGGGTGGTTGCAACATTTCCGGAGCTGCATCACAATGTTGAGAAGTCTCGTCTTGGATTCCCGCTTGCCGCCCGCACCGTTGACCGCATCGATATCCTTCTCGAGAATCTTCTGATACCACTTGACCTGCATCTCCGACATGCCAATGTAGACGTTGACTTCCTTCTTGGGCAGCAGACTCTTCTCCACATCGCTCTTGACACGACGGAGCAGGAAGGGTCGTAGCACGCGGTGCAGCTGCTGGACGACGGTGTCCTGATCCCGATCTTGACCCGAAAACCACTGATCAAAGGCTTCCGAGTCTCCGAATACATCAGGGAGCAAGAAATTGAGAAGAGCCCAAAGTTCATGCAAGTTGTTCTGGAGAGGCGTGCCAGTAATGAGAAGGCGGTTTCTCGAGTTGAACATGCGAATCACTTGGGCTAATGACGACTCCTCGTTCTTGATGCGGTGGGCCTCGTCGATGATGATGTACTCCCAAGCAAACTTCTTGAGATGGGCCTTTTCGCGGAGAATCATCTCGTAACTGGTGATGCAAACGTCGAAATTCTCATCCACAAGCCGATCGTTGATGAGCTGTTGACGCTCCTCCTTGGCACCCTGCAGAACGAGCACATTGACTTCCGGCGTCCACCTCGCAAACTCCCGCTTCCAGTTGTCGAGGGTGGATTTGGGAACAATGACGAGATGAGGGCCGGTGATGCCCATAATATGCCGGAGGTAACCAAGGAAAGAGATAGTCTGTAACGTCTTGCCGAGACCCATTTCGTCGGCGAGAATACCCGAGATACCGTTTTCGTGGAGCGAGATCAGCCAGTTCAAGCCGGCAACTTGGTAGTCCCTCATTGTACCCTGGATGAAGCCAGGGGACTCGCGGAAAACCGTTTCGGCAGACCCGCCGTGCTTCTCGTCCTTGAGCAACTCCGCATCTTCCTCAGCTTCGGTCCGGCGGCGCCTCTCGCTAGTAGCTCCGCCTTGACGACCGCCGCCTTTCTTCGACTTTGCTTCTTCCTCATTTTGGTGGTCGATCTCGGCCATAATCTCGCGAATCTTGGGGTTCGGGTTCGTCTCGATGAAGTGGCGAAACAGGTCTGTGAGGCCGAGCAGGTATCGGAATCGACGAAGGGTATCATCTTCCTATGAAAAGGAAAACGATGGAGGTTAGAAACAGGCTACGGGATGGTGCCTAGTAAAGCTGCAACCTACTTTTGACTCGCCAAGCCGATCGTGCTTTTTGCCAAAGATACTCCTACGTAGCTGGTTGGCTTCTGAGCGCTTCTTGCGGCCATCTTGAACTGGTTCCCCAATGACACTGCTGGCGGTGGTGTTAGGGTTTGTGTCGGAATCGGTGTAGTCGGGTGTCTCGTCGACCTCCTGGGGCAAATCGAAAGTTAGCCGACTCAGGTCAGTACCACCAAACCAAGAATGCTCGTCAGGGGTCCAACTAAAATGTGCGAAGACGGTCTTACCATGTCGTCTGCGGCCTGTACTGGTTGCACTTGTTCCGGCGCGTCGGGCATTGACGCGTCGGTGTCGTTGCCGCTCTGCCGCAAACGGGGGGCCATGGCGGCTTGCGGTGCTCTTCGCTGAGCGTCAAGCGTGGGTGCGGGTGATATGCGGTACGCGACTTAGACGCGCTTTCGGGTGTAAGTGGCTCTGCGCGACGTGGAGATGTCCGTATGATGGTTGAGAGCGTTTGCGCGATGACGGCGGGTCTGGTGGCGGCGAATCGCGACGGGAACAAGAAGAATTTGGAAGAGTTGTGGTTGAAGATGGGTTGGTGTTCTGCAGGGTGCGAATTTCTGAGGTTGAGGGACCCCAAAAAGGTCTAAACCGCGTTCTCAGCCAATCACAGCTTCCATACAGCGGAGGGGATTAAAGGCGGTCGACTCGGGTTCCGCTACAAGAAATGGGACTTGGAGACGGCCCTGCACCACACAGATGTTTCCTCGCACTCTCCTCCCTTAACCACTCAAGTCTTCGTCAGGTATCCGTACTTCCATGATCCACTTGGGCATGGTCGCCCAGCCTGAGTATCCGTACTCGCATGAAGTAGAGCGGGGGGTCTGAGCCGTTGATGAAGTCACAGAATGAGACAAGACACAATGTCATGCGTCTAAGGTTGATCAACAATATCTATAACCTAGCACTCGGCAACCAGAAGCCTTGAGATGCCCGAGTTGGTTTGACCATGGCCTTAGATAACGTTTACCGATCCGCCCTTGCCGGCCATGTCTGCGGAAGACAACATCAACCACAGACCTCACACGCGAGTTTTCAACTTTGACTTGCTAGACCCACGCTCCCTCAAGCTACCCTAAGCTCTTGCCATCACATTTTTTGCTTTGAGGAATTTTATCGAGTGTTAACTTGATTCTCGCTGTCGTTTCCCGTTAGCATGCGCCCCCTCGCAGTCTGACTGTGTTTAATCCGTTTGCCAGGGAGTCAGGTTTGTCTCGGTCAGTTTTGCCCATGGCCTCTTTCATGGGGCGAGCCAAGGCCACAAAAACACGTGCAGCGACCCCACATTTTCCGCATAGGGTAACCAATCTCATCAGCGCGGCGCTCATCATAGGCTGCAGCCAATCTTGCAGCGTTCCCGGGCTGATGAGCCAAAGATGCACCAAACACAGCGCTGCAGCGATTGACAACACAGCGACGAAACACTGGGTTGGCGTTATTACAACGGACACGGGTACAAAGCCCAATTTTGCCCCGGAACAAACGCAACGACCGAACACCTGCTTCCTTCCTGTCCATCGCGCAGGAGTCGAACAGCCGTGAAAGCATCCCACTCAACAACAACGGTCGCCTCGGAGACGCAACCTGGTCCGTCCCGCTGCTTGCTCCGCTTCGGCCCACACCCGCCGCTTTGGGTCTTGTCGATTTAGTGAAAACCCCTCAGTCTCCCAGTCACAGGGTAGTCGAGAAACTGTTTGTCCATCCCTCCTCCTCCGACGACGACGCCGACGACGACGGACGATAAGTAGCAAACAAACGCAACATTTTTGGGAGGAGCGAAAAGCCGTGCATACACCACTACCTGCAATCCCACCGAGCCAACAGATCCCTAGAATGAGTGTCGAAGGAAACGAGCTGCTGGACGCCTTTAAGGCGGCGGCCCTCTCTGTCACAAAGCTCTACAAGACCTCGGCCCAGGCCCAGGCCAAGTCACGGGCTGATGGATACCACGACTGCCTGGAAGACCTGCTCGCCTTCCTTGACAAAGAGAGCCTCGGACTAAAGGCTGGGGAAGCACAAAGGGTTCGGAAATGGGCGACGGATCGGATGGAAGGGCGAGATTCAACTTCACCACCACTCGAAAGCGACGACGAAGCAGAGCGATCCGATGCCCAACCACCCTCGTCACCACAAATGCAACGGGCGACCCCGGCGTCGGCACGACAGCGCTTCCGAGATAAAGATGAGGTAGTCACGAGGGATGCATCGGCACCACCAACGTTGGTGACTGTGCCTCTCCCGCCCAGCGCCTCGACGGAGGAATACGACATGGCTGTTCCGACACAAGACTCGTTCAACTTCCAAACATCACATCCCTATCCACACGACGAAGCCACGCGGCTTGCCAACCTCAACCTCTCCGACGGCCAGAACATCAACCCCTCGAATGCCCGAACTGGATCACGGAGTGGGAGGAATCGAAATGGACGGACAGGCGCCCGGGCTGCGCTAGGACGAGGAGCCGGGCAGAAACGGAAAGTAAACCTAGCCGAGATTTTCGACCTCGGGAGCCTTGAATACGGGAACGGCCGGGACATGTTTGGGGGCGGAGGGAAACGCGGGCGGTTTGCATGACGGAGTGATGAATCATATTTTCGTACGGACTAGCTGTAGGAGGGGAGCGGATCTGTAATTTTTTTGGTTCTGTTTCTTTGCGGGAGGAATGGGAGGCACAACGGACTTTTCTCGAATTGCATTCGCATTCCTAGGAGCGCATGGGCATTGGGAGGGGAGGGAATATGGAGTTTATCATCACCCGCATCAACACAACACACACGCACGCGTTCACACACACACACACACACTCATACATACACACACACACACACACACATGCACACACCGGAGGTGGTTGGAGGGCGCCACAAAGCTATCATCACCTACTAGAAGGAGCATATCCGGGCGTTTTACTTGATACCACACCACACAAGTCGGCATGATATTCTCGCTTTTTTTCTTCTACATTTTTATGTATGTAAACTTCTTTTGTATGGCCTGCGTTGGAGGCATGTTGGCGGCTCCTTTGTGTGTAACATTACGAGAGTATTACAATATTTGTCCCGTAAGAGGCATGGACCATACGACTGCGGTGGACTTGATTTTGTGAGAAATACGTTCGTGATTGTCGATCTTGGTGGTTCGTCCACCTGAGTAGTTTTGGTCACACGACATGCGGTGAGGAATTTCTCGCTAATTCTATTGGTTGATATGGCGATGGGCGAAGCTCCTATTCTTATTGGCAAAAGACAGCCGAATAACCTTCAGTCGATATCTCCAAGACGAGGCCATCATTCTCCGCGATGTGGAACGATATACTAAGACACTGACCTGCTTAACTTCGGGAGCAAGTCAAAGTCCGAGTCCAACCCAGCAACCTTTTCCCCTCTTGCGCCCCTCATTCCCAACCTCAACCAGCCGTACCCTACCCCCTTACCCTCACGTCCCCGTCAACTCACCTTCATCCCCCTAACAACAAACGATGCCCTCCTCTTCATCCGCCCTCTCCCGGCCCCTCTTAGCCCCGCACCCCGAAGTTGAAGACGATGGACAACATGAACGACAGCAGGATCACGATCCCTCCCCATGGTCCTCCCCCTCACCCCCCGAATCCGCCCACGCCCGCCTTCGTCAACAAGCCCGCGAACTCCTCTCGACCCGAGCCAAGCACTATTTCATCCTGACACTCGTATCGCTCGACGTGGTAGCCATTCTGGTGGATTTGTTTGCTACTCTTCTGGCGTGTGATTTACGCAAAGGAGGGGGACAGGTGGACGATCCACAAGAAGGAGTGCCGGGGTGGGTGGGCGGCACGAGGGAGGTGCTGCACCCGCTGGCGTTGGTGTTTAGTTGCGCTTTTGTGGGAGAATTGGGGGTGACGGTTTGGGCTTTTGGGTGGGGGTTTGTTGCCCCTCCCCTTCATCTTTTCTCTTTATCTTTTCTCTTTATCTTTTCTCTTTATCTTTTTCTTTATCTTTTTCTTTATCTTTTCTCTTTTTTCTATGACTACCTTCTCATCTATCTGCTGACCTATCCTGTTAGTTTCGTTACTAATACTGCGTTGCAGATACTTCCGCGACTGGTTCCACTGTTTTGATGCGTTTGTGATTCTGGTTAGTTTTGGCGTGGACGTGGCCACGCGCGGGATTGTGGAGGATATTGCGTCCATCGTGATTGTGCTGCGGCTGTGGCGGCTGGTCAAGATCATCGAGGAGGTCAGTGTCGGCGCTGCGGAGGGGATGGAGGAAATCGAGGCGCGGGTGGTGGAGTTGGAGAGGGAGAATGAGGAATTGAGGAAGGAGATTGAGGAGGGGAAGAGGAGGTGAAAAGATCAGGTCCTAAGGCTCGATCAAACAGTTGTGCAGGGGGACGTGGGGGGTTGTCGTGGATGTGATGTTTTGCTATTGTCTCCTTGACTACGGATAGTCGTCGCATCTTCAGACCTCGTCGCCATAAAACCCGGCGTCTTGGTGATCCTTCTCGGTAACCGTTGGCCGCGGCCTCGACCGACCCCGATCCCAACCCCGGATCGGCCAGTCCCGCTGATGTGCATGTTCTGGCGATCTCAAACAACCGATGCGCCCTGATTGGGCCTTCGTTCCAAACGGGGGATCTGGAACAATCATCACAGACCGTCTGAATTACCCCGAGACCTCTTATTTCTGCTTCGGTCTTCCAATACGCAGGAACAGGTCGTGCAGTTCCTGCGTAGGACAGTTGAGAGGGAGACGCATCTCCGGGCTGAATGAGTGGCATGACCTGCATGAAAAGCTCAGAGCTCTGGCGGGAGCTCCTGCATTTTGGCTGCAGGCACGAGCGGCCCGTGGCAGTTAGTTCGGGCGATTGGCGAATCAGTGGGGTTGCAGCGGAGATATAGTGGGGACCTCGCTGCAGAGGTCACTCGAGCTGTGAGCACAGTTGCAGCTGACGAGATTCCTTTTCTTCCACGCCGCTTGAAATTGTCACGATGCTACCCCAGGTCAAGTCGTTGGCATCGAGCAAAAAATAGATCCGCGCCGCCCCCGGTTTAGATTTGGCGGTAGGATGCCTATAGAGGGGATTTTGAGCCTCCCAAAAATCACAATGCATTCCGGAAAGGATTGAACAAGCAGTTCGCGAGGCCACGCCGCGTCCTGCTGGATTGGTGGATGGCTGCATTTTGGCTCGATTGGGGGAGTCCGAGCTAGCAGGGGCACGTCGGCTACGATCTGGAAGAATCCGCGACCCCTACACTAGCATGCGGCGGCGCCATGCCCGTGTTAGGTCGGCTAGCGCGCCTCTCATTTCCCCCATCAGCCATTCTTGAAGAGCTCGCTGCCGCGCTCTCCTTCTCGCGGGACGTCTTGTCTGTTTGTCTCTTTCCGGTTTGCCTCACTACACTACGCTCACATTCGCTACTCTCATTTTCGTTGCCCGTAAGGTCCTTCGCTGTGCCGTGTAAGAACCCCCCTCTCGTTCCGGCCTTCGTTGTTGTATTATCTCCCCCCTCCCCTAGTCCCTGTCGTGTCTGTGTGTTGTGTTGTGTTCGACGTGCATACTTCTCGCTCGTGTCCGTTGCCAAACAAGCTAACACCGCACCGAGACAGCAACTAGATCGACCTGCTCTCTCATTTTTCGTCCTCATACGACCTTTCTGAGAAACCGACATCTCACACTAAATACACCACACACACCTAACATCACCCACCATCACGATGAAGGCCGTACTCCTCTCGCTCGCCGTCCTGGCCTCCTCGGCCATGGCCCAGACCTCCTCGGCCTGCGGTGCCGACTACATTGTCGAGTCCTGCTTGAGCTCCGAGAAGGCTAAGCTTGCCACTTGCGACGGCAAGGACTACGACTGTCTCTGCCAGTCGTGGAAGAACATTCTCACGTAGGCTTCCCTCGTCTCTACCATCTCTCTCTCTCTCTCTCTCTGGCTTTCTAACTAACACGCCTTTCTCACTCCAGCTGCTACAACAACTGCCCCAACGACAGCCGTCTCGGTAAAACCCCCCTTCCCCAACCCCACAATCTCTCGTCCCCTGGACGTAAACTACTAACACCACCACGCAGAAAACGACGCCGGCCAACGCGACATCTTCTGCAGCTACGCCACCCAATTCGCCTCGTCCAGCACCGCCGCCCCAGCCAAATCCACGACCGCTGGTGTCCCGGCCCAGAGCACCGGTGATTCCACGGACGCCACTGCCACCAACACCGACGGGCAGGCGCCCACGGGAACGACGTCGGGTAACGGCGGCGCGACTGGCACGAACAGCGCGGCTGATCTGGCGCTGAACGCGGGTGGTGTGTTGGCGGCCGTTGCGGGTGTTATGGCTGTTCTGCTTTGAAGGATTTTTTTTATCTAGATTGAGCTGATCCTTGGACGGAAGGAAGAATGGGCTATTTGGATGGATAACCCAAGGGCTGGGTCGCGGGTGTGTGTACGGTTGGAAGTTGGAAGCGGGGGCTGTCTACCGAGCTGTCGTCATTGCCGTCTGTCAAAGAAGAGAGATACCCGGGGCGGGATGATGCCAAAGACGTGCGGTTGGAATTCGGGGTTGAGGGGTTGGGGTGGTTAAGTAATATTTAATGCGGGGAGGATTTTAACGTTTAATTGATAATATGTCGCACATGACAACTAAATGCTTACTATTAGTATATGGGAAGTTGCGGGAGGTTACTTGTCCGTTGTGGTCAATGAACTTTTGAACTCTCTCTACCTCATCCTCAGCCAACCCACCAAACAAAACACTTTTACCCTCACTCTATAGCCCCGTAACCCTCACCCTACGCATCCTCGTCCCCCAAAGCCGTATACCATGTCTTCTCTCCCCCCGAGGCAGACCCAGTCCCTTCCTCCTCCTTTCCACCCCCTCCCATACCCTTTCTCGAACTCGCCGTCCCACCAACCCCCAACCCCAACGCCGCCCTCCCAGGATCCTCCATACTCCCCGGCTCAGGCAACGCTCCCTCCGCCGTCCCACTCCCTTCAAACCCTCCTTCATGCAGGTTCTTGCCATGCGGGCCGGCCGGGTTGCGGATGTATTGGCTGGCGACGTATGTCGGGGCCGTGGCTGGTTGGGCAGAGGACGTAGTAGGGCCTTCGCTGGCACCGGCTGTCTTCCTGGTGTGGCGCGTACCCCCGCCAGTGTTGTCGCCAGTGGTGGCTCCACGGGATGTCTGCTGGTTCTCGAGGCCTAGCGAGGTTGATGTATCTCCTGCTCCTGTCCTTCTCACGGTACTTCTGCCGTGCTGTGGTTGCTGCTGGGGTTGCCTTCTACGTCCCTGCTCCTGACCTTCCAATGCCGGTTTGTTGGCTGCGAACCCGCCGCCCTCGGCGGTTGACTCGGCTGCGAGCGAGCCTGAGGCAACGGGGCCGGTGGCTTCGCGGGTTACGGGGATGTTTTCACCCGTTGTGACCTGGTACAAACAGGTTGTGTTAGAGTTGAGTTGCGGGTGTTAGAGGAAGGAGGGGTGGGTGGAGGAAGGGTGAGATGAGATTACTTTGGTGCCTGCGCTGGGTGCTTTGGTAGGCATGGTCGTGATATTGGAAAGTTGGGTGTTTATATTTGGTACTCGAAAGATTTTCCTCCTTAGGTTCTGCGTTTGTTTTTACGCATAAAAGGAGACTCGGACCGCGGCGTCAGGATATCAGTCTCGACACTCCTAAATAATAGGGGCTTTTACTGCCTAAGCTCTCAACCTCTCCATGACATCAACCACTTCCATGATTCCATGATGTCATGACAGTCAGCGTGTGTTTTTGTACAACACATTTGATGAGGAGTCTAGGATACAAACTTGTAAAAGAACGCGTATTAATTTCAATGTCATTCATGACATCGTCCTACACGTGTAAGACGACATCAATATAATGGCAATCTATGACTTCATAGTACCGTCGAGCTTCGTGTTTGTCGCCGTCTTGCTCCGAACTTGCGCCGACAAATCCCAACGACAGCCCGTTAAAAGCCTTATTATCTGTAGGATTCGTTTCCTTCCTTACAGTATCGGCCGGTTTCCGGCATCCTCAGTAGTTTCAGTGAGCACCGAAGCATTAGTGGGCCAAGGGGCATAGGGGCCTGATTTCAAAGACACAACACGTAAACAACAGCAAATCTATGATGAGATGATAAATTCAGGCTTAAAATATGCAGTAGACTATATCACGCACCCACTGTTCAAACCCCTTCTGCAACCATGAAACCAGCGCTTTGCAACGTCAGACTGCTACCTCCGAGACCAGCCTTTCTGAAACTCCCGTCCGAGGGCTTATGAGATACGCATTCCGTTCCCAATGCCTCCTTTATACTATCCACGAGGGCAGTATCTCCGCAATTTACCCCCGGCCATGAACTTCAAAACCCATCGATCCCTAAATCAAGGCCCCCTTCTTCAAACACCATAACTTCCTCGGAGTTGAAATGAAGACTAAAGCCCCCGTCGCCCACCAGTGCTCATGAGCGTAATCTTCTGTTTCTTCTTCTTCTTCCCACCACCACCACCTCCTCCTCCTCCGCCAGCTCCCTGTCCCGATACCTCTCTAGCCTTACTCCCCTCTGCCTCATTACTCTCCACCCCCAACGCCTCCAACTGCACCGCCAGATCCGCCGCCCCAAGCGTCTCCAGCACAGCGTCATCCTTCAACCACCCATCATCCGCCTGTGTCCGCCTAGCGCCTGATACCGGTTCTTCCGGCTCCCCGCCCGCGACCAGCGGCGTACCCCAGACGGTGTGCCCGCTGCCAGACGGGCTAGTGCTCATCGTCGACAGCGACGAGAACCCGACGCGCGGGTTAGGCGGCGTGGTGCCTCCTTCGGTTGCGCCTAGGGGGACGAAATCGTTCATGTTCACCACAGAGGACGGATCATCTGAACCGCCTGCAGCAGCGGAGTCACTGAACCGCACGGTGACGCCCTCGTCTACCAGTCCGCCGAACCCGCGCCGTGCTTCGCGGAGCGCTGCGAGCTCGATCCGTTCCGCTTGGATCCGCTCGCGTTCCTCTTGTGTGGCCTTCTCACGGTTCCGCTTGCGGCGGCGTTCGATTTCGTCGGAGAATGTGTCTAGGATCTCGGGCGGTACGATGTCGGTCCAGTCGCACTCGAGGAAACTGATTAGACAGCCGCGGGGTAGGTGGCCGAGGTATTTGGCTCGTTTCCGCAGGGCCTCGTCAACGGCGTGGCCGGTGGAAATATGTTCCACGCGTGGGAGCAGGGTGGAGGGAAAGGCGGAGAAGGCGCCGTATTTCGTCTTGAGAATGCGGATGTCGAGCGGGGAGAGATAGAGGTGTGGCGGGGAGCTGTAGAAGTAAAAGTTCTGCTCGCCCTGCTTGGACTGATGCGCCGTCCCGGGAGTAGCTGCAGTTTTCAAAGCGGCCACCGTCTCAGCTTCTTTCAGCTCGGCCACTTTCTCCTTGGCTGTTCTGATCGCCCGCATAGCCTTCTGCGTCCACTCGTTGTCCTCATGATATAACAGCTCGTCCTCCTGCTCCTGCTTCACCAGGTCCGCCACCTCGGAATCAAACTGCTCCGCCATATAATCGCTCGTCCCCCGCATGATCCGCGCATAGTCCAGTACGTTCGCCGCAAAGTGCCACGGGATTTCATTCCCGGCCTGAAATACCTCACTGGCCCCTTCCTTGGGTAGCGCCAGCGTGTTGTGTGCCGTGCGCATCATCAGCCTCATGATGACATCGTCGCCTACCCTGGGCAACGAGCACTCTTGTCCCGCGTAGAACCGCACCGGCCGCACCTCAGGCAAGTGCACCGAGTCTTCGCAGATGGGGCATTTCCGCCACCGCATCTGCTGTTTTTTCCCCGGCTGCTGTTCGTCGTCGGCGCTGGTGTTGGTATTCATGAACCGCAACAGGCACGGCAGGCAAAAGATGTGTCCACACTTGGCCATGCGCGGTGCCACCGGCTCGGACAGACAGATTGGGCAAGACGTCTGCTGCGACTCGGCCGAGGCAATCACCTGCAACACGTCGGCCCAGTCGATATGTTCGTCCGCATCAGCCGCCTGCGCGGTGTACCGACCCCCGGGGTTGACCACGAAGCGGTAATTGGCATGGATATACCGCGCCTTGTCGGCAGCGTGGTAGCCCGAGCCGACACCCCACGTCGGGTTACGGCGGTACGGCCGCGCATGCGACGATGTGTTGTAATGCGTCTCATGTGGACGGGGCGGCAGGGCGTAGCTCATGAGATGGGTAATCGACGTCTGCCCACGCCGGCTCGAACTATTACGCAACGCTCGGATCTCCGCCATGGTGTCTTCGTCGTCGAGGTGTCGCGTATCCCCTAGCATCCCGCTGGGCCGTCGCTGATTTCGATGCTGTCGTCGAGCGCCCTGGCCCTTCCTCGGGGCTGCTTGGGAAGAGGTGTGCGAGGTGTTGATGTGGGCTTGGGTCTGGCGCCGGTGGTTCGCGTCAAAGGTTGTGTTTGCGGTTGGAGGAGCGGAAGGAGAGTGTGAATGGTTCGTGAGGGTCGGGGCAGGAGGCGCCTTGCTGGGGGCGGACGACCCGGCTGCACTCATGGTGCGGATAAGGAGTGTGGGCTCGGTCGACGGAATCGCAGCGGGCCGGCGCGCACGCGGACCGTGGCTAGCGGGATAACAGGCTCGAGGAAGGACGGTGCGACGAAAGATGATACGACGAAGACGATACGACGGAAACGATGCGACGAAAGACAATAGATACGACGAAAGACGATGCGGCGAAGAAGATGCGACGGAAACAATGCGACGAATACAATCTGATGGGATGAAAGGTCCTCGAGTTCGTTCACCGGCAACGATGAAAAGCCAACTGATATCCGAAGTGAGCAGGACGCCCCGGAAAGCGAAAGGGTGTGAGCACAAGCCCGACTCGTCCGGTGAACCCGTTGTCGAACGACTCAGGGACTAATCTTTGAAGCTCACAGCAGCTGAGAGCTGGAACGAAACTTCAATTTCTTCTTCACCCGAGGAACCGCAACGTCGAATGTCAATCATTCATGACTAGAGGGTAGAAGAAGGTTGGAGGGGCCCGTTCTGGACCCCGCGGATGGTTATGGAGCCGGGAAGAGCGAAGGGGGTAGAGGAGGACTCGGCGAGGAACAGTCACCATTCCGCGGGGCAAATGGCGTCGATTTAGGCTCGTCATTGGCGGAGTGGGTGGGCTTAACCAGATGGCCTGATCCGGCGGGGCCGCCATACACTTTGACAGCTGTTGCCAGGTGGCTACTTGTCGTGAAGAAACCCCATCATGGCAGCATTGGACTTTATCAAGCCTAATTCACAGTGAGTACGCAGTAGGCACAATGTTTTTGAATTTACCTATGCAATGCCGGGAGTGAAACTCTCTCAAAAACTCCAGTGCAACCCTGTCAATCGTTAAAGTCTCGATGAAACTCAGCAGATCGCATACGATTGAGATAACCTCGACCCAGCCAAAGCATACATCTTCGTTACAGGGTTCAGACAAGACATTAACAATAGACAAAAATGCCTCCATGTGGAATAACGGGGAAGCAAAGGAGAGAAGGAGAAGAAACAAGGTATGTTGTTGATAAGAGGAAAACAAAGACTTTGGATATCGCAAACGACACAATACACACCCCCCACCCCATTCACATCCATTTCACTGTTCTTCCCGAAAGTGGTTTCTGCCTCATTCAAAGCATGACTTCAACCAGACAGAACGGGAGACAAAACAAAAAGCCAACACGGAAAAGACAAAAACAAAATGGGCATCAACCTCCCCCACCATCGTGGTCATCATCGTCATCCATCCGTCGTACTTCCTCTTCCCATGTTAGATCCGAGTAAACAAAAGGTAGGGCTCGTTAATGCTGGGCCTTTCAAGCAGTGTTCTTCTTGGACTTGAATTTCTCGATGAGCCTGCTGAACCTGTTCTTCTTCTTCTTCTCTGACGTTGCCGCCTTGTCCGTCGTCGAGGTCGTGCCAGTGGTCGACCCGGCGGTCGCACCAGCAGCAGCCGCAGCGCTGCCGTTAGTCACCTCGTGCGCGGTCTCCGTCTTGGCGGTCGGCTCGGCCGGAGTTGCGACCGCGGCGGCTGTGGTTGGTTCAGCGGCGGTGGTCTCGATAGCGGGAACAGTAGCGGCAGCAGCGGCCGACTCGACAGGCTTGGCTGTGTCCACAGCCTTGGTCTCCTCGGTCGGCTTAGCCGTGGAATCAACGACTGTAGCGTTCACCGCGGCCGCAATGTCGTCGGTGAGCTTGAGGTCCGAAGTACCCTTAGACTCCTCGGCGGGCTTAGGCGGCTCAACAACCTCGGGGGTAGCCTCGTCAGCGGCTTGCGCAGGCTCAACCTTCTTGAGAAGCTCGGCCTCGTACTCCTTCTTCTCTTCCACGGCAGCGGTGTTGACGGCCGCCTCGGGACTCTCGCCCGCCTCCTGGAGAGACTTCTTGACCTCGGCGGGCACTTCCGAGGAAATGCTATCGATCGCCGCCTTTTGCTTCTCCGCAGCCTCAGCCTGGCTGGCTCCGGGGAGGTTTGACCTGACAGCAGCAGGCACGGCGGTCGACGCGTCGGATGCAACAGCCGTAGCCTTGGAAGCAAGGCCTGCCGCGGCATCGCTGGCCTTGTGCGCGGCACCCGACACAATTGGGATGGCCGCACCAGCAGCGGTAATCGCAGCGCCGAGGGCAACCTGGCCCGCTGTGGTAGCGGTAGCGAGTGCGGTCTCGGCCGGCGATTTGTCGGTCTCGGATTTCTCGGTGCCCTTGCCAGCAGTGCCCTCGGAGGTCGCGGGGGCCTCTGAGACCTTGTCGAGGAGTTCACCCTCAACGGCGGCCTTTTCCTTAAGCTCTTCCTTGTGGGCACTCGCTTCGGGGTCGGCGTGGGCCTTCTCTTGGCTCTCCTTCACAACCTCGGGAACTTTGGGCTCATCGTTGGTCTCCTTGGGCACCTGGCCAGCCAAGGCGGCGGTGGTGGAATCAGCAGCAACGGTATTGATGGTGACATCGTTACTGCCGCCGGCGGTCACAGGCAGGCTAGACTCCGGGATCAGATTACCCGTGACGTGAGGGAGCGTGGTCTCGAGGCCCGGAATGCGGTCGCTCTTCTCGTACGACTCCTTGTCGAGGGTGACATGCTTGTCCACGGCGTCGGCCCTGAGGTCCTTGGGGACGCTCTCACCGGGATTGAGCTTGATCGGGTTGATGGCACCCTCAGCCGCGGGGAGGGTGTCGACCTTGATCTCCTTCTCGAGCTCAGCCGCAGGGGTCTCGGGGAAGCTGCCGGGAGGAGAGACGGTGGTGTCTTGCTTGGTCTCCAATGGCACGGCGGCGGCCAATTGAGCGGTAGTAGCGTCAGGCGCAGCCGAGCTGAGGATCCCAGCACCCGCGGAGGCGTCAGCGCCCTGTTCCACAGTCTCCTCCGTCTTCTCTGCTTGCTTCTCCTCCTTCTTGTCCTCCGGGGGCACCGCGCCGGCCAATTGCGCCGTGGTGGACTCGGGCACGAGGTTGTTAATGGCCGCAGCCTGCGCAGACTCTTCTAGCTTGTCCATTTGCTCAGGCAGGAGGACGTTGTTCTCGTTTCCCTCGTGATCCTTTTCTTGAGGCGCCGTGTGATCTGTGGTCCAATCGCCGTTGACAACAAACTGTGGAATCGAAAAGCGAAGATATCAGCAACACTGTATTCCTCAAATTGGTGCAAAAATGGATATCAAGACGAAGGACGTTAAAAATTCCAGCAAAATCAATGACAATCAATGTTGGTGTCACTCGTGCAAAGGGCAGACAGCGGGGTTCCCAGTCAAGCTTGGGAGGTTAATAAAAAGGGCCCGGGCGCAAAAAGAGGGGCGATGAAATCCGTCCAGCCTCCTCCCCCTGGGAAGTTGGAAGTAAGGCCAGGCCGGACTTCCTGTTCCATCCATTTTTTGGTCACGGGCCAAATGTCTGTTTTTTTCCAGCGCCGAGGGGTCCCACAGTTGCCGCTAGCGTTGGGGTTTGTATTTGTCCGCCCATCATTGTCCCGCTTGCTCGCCTCGTGTCTGTCAGAGCCTCTTCGTTCCGTCGAACGGGAAGTTGCGTCGTCAAGGCACGGAAGGCGAATGGGAGGAATGAGCGGCAAGGAGCTCCGATCTGTTCTGTTGGCGCACTCAAAGGTCGCTGGGCTGTTGGGTCCTGGTGCTGTGTTCCGTCGGCAAGCGCTGCTGGGCTGACCCGAGGTGCTCGCGGGTTTGTCGGGTTGGGCTCTTGGCGCTCATCAATTGGCATCGGAATGCTGGTTTTGGTGGTGGGGTTGCGTTGGAGGAGTGAGCTGCTCCGCCAGACCTATGAATCTTCACCGAGCTTCACCGCTGCTCTCCGATTCACCACCGCGACCCCTCGCTTCGGCTGGGAAGCTCTGGCCACATCGGCGCAATGCGAAAGAAATGCCTCCTGGCGTGGGTGTTCCGGCTGGGTGCAAAGAAAAGGGAAAATAAAAGAAAAGAAAACAAATCGAATCGCATAGAGAGAAACACATCGTCTACTGACCTTGTAGAGGACCTTCTCCGCCCCCGAAAGTGATACTGTTTTCTGGAAGACGTCGCCGACTCGTTCGAGACGCTCGCTCTTGGTCCAATTGTCGAAGGTCCCGGTCACGTAGACCTCTTCCGCATCATGCGGCCTGTGTAATTGACGAACAGACGGTTAGCATCTTGCCTATTCCCCGCGACCCTGGAGACGCAAACATGGCGGCGATTCGCGGTCGGTGCGTGCCCGCGTGCGTGCACGGCGGGAGCTTGCTGGAGCTTTGGCTACTCCCGCGCGGTCCGGTCGCAAGCTGTTGGGAAACAGCTGGGAAGGTCCCAGATCACTTGCCGTGGATGCTTGGGGGGATGGAATAGGACTCACCATTTAAACGTATAACTAGGCATAGTTGCTGATATCTGCGGTAATTTTATTTTATTTTATTTCTTTGCTATTTCGATGTCGACGGCGTTGGTCGTGCGATTTTTCTGGAAGTCGACACTGAGCTTGCCGGTGGGTGGACAAAGTGGAGCTCTGTTGGCAGGAGAAATTGGTGGGCGCGTGGCGGCGAAACGGCCCAATCCACTCACGCAATCGGTGTCTGGTCGCTTCTGTCAAAATCCACAGGTCGCTGACGTCAGGATAGGTATCAACCAACCGCGCGCTTGTCGCAAATGCTGAACAAAAGAGGACCACGGCAAGGAAATTGTTTGAGAAAACACATAAAAGGAAAAGACAAGAATAAGGGGAAATCAATTGACCCTTTACCGGGTTGGAGGAGGCCTTTGAGTGAAGCAGGATACCTTAGCCGATTCCAGGCGGGGGGAGGCAAAAAGGATCAAAAAAAATCTGAAGTGAGCGGAAGAGGCTGGTCTTCATCGTGATTGTGTGCTGCTGCTGACTTGTGGTCGGCGTGGCTGGATGTCGAACTGGCACGCTAATGCAATGGCGGCACGCCAAGAACAGGCCCGTTGCAGGCAATCCCGCTGTGCCATTCGCTCAACCCCTCGGGTTCTCGGCCGATTTCTCTCCTTATCTCAACGACCGCTGCAAAACGCTGCAAAACGCTACAAAAGCCCACAGCAACCCACAGCAGCCAGCAGCAGCCAGCAGCAGGAACCGGGAGTTGCTGCATGGAAGAAACACACATAAACACGCGCAACACCCTGCCCGTTGGGCCTTGTCGATGCAACTTGTCTCACCGTCAGGCTCTCACCGACAAACACGAAACACCGATCGGATCGAGAATCCCAGCTCGTCTATTCTTGTTTTCTCAAGAGGACCCGAAACCGCTGCAAGGAACCTCTGCAAAGGGACCCGCAAACGGCGCCAACTATGCAAAATAAAAAAAAGGCTGTAGAAAAGGCGCAGAACCGACTCTTGCGTGCTACAGCCGATGGTCGGCATATTTGAGTTCTGTGCCCACCGCTGCCCGAAATACGACGCTAGGGATCGAGTCACTTGCTGGAAGCATCGGTGAATGTGCTCGAGACCAGGCTGGGCCGGTCTGGGTTATCTGAACAGCCAAAAAAGTGAGAAGAAAACAGCAAGGTGGAAGTGACAGTGAGAGTGAGTATGTGGCAACAACCTAACCCAACGGTCGATGCCGACGATCTTGCGCCCAAACCAGCCGACGACTGGACAAGCATCTTACCCATTCAGTAATCTAGTCTTGCGCACAATGGGTATCAAAATGTCATGATTGGGTTGGAACCGCCGCTCGGTCCAGCAAGATGTGGTAAAGTAGATACCTAGATACACGTTCCCAAATGCCCCTCTCAAAGCACACACCCCTTCCGCTCCCGAGCCGGCCCGGCCTATACCCAAGCACCGGGCCGTTGCCGTTGGCGCGTACGCCGGCACATATACAAGAACAAAAGACTACAGTGGAGAACCAGGAGAACAAAACGAAGCGAGCTCAGGCCAAAATCATTCCAAGTTACCCACGGCCGCCTTCATTCATCAACCACTAGAAGACTCAACTCAAATCACCCTAACGTTACCACCCAAACTCCTCGCAATGCAACTCCACCGCCGGCCCATCCCCAACAATCAACCGCGCCGTCGTATCTCGCACCGTCCGCATCAGCCCGTCCGGCCCACACGCCGCGACAAGCACCCGCTGGTTGCGCGGCGTGGTGCGCACTGCGTCGCGGATCAGCGTCGCGGTGTCCGGACGCCCGGCCTTGATCGGGTGCTCGTAGTATGTTGTTGTAGAGATGGCGCGTTTAGTCGGGTGTGATGGGCGAGCGGCTGTGGCCTTTAGTGTCACGGGAGTCACGGGTGTTACTGGTGATGTAGGGTCGGTGGTAGTGGTCGTCCCGTTCTCTTTGTCTTCCGTTGAGAGGGCCAGGGCCGCTGGCGCCGGTGTTGAGATCGCGTTCTTCTCGAGGTCTAGGCCGATCGGCGAGATCGGGGACAACGGAGGTGAGTCCTCGGAGGAGTCGAAGCGGCCGCCGCTGCTGCTCTCACTCTCGCTTAGGGAGTCGATGCCGACGGAGTCGCGTGTTACGTATAGGGAGACTTTGATGTTGGGCGCTTGTGGGTGGTTGCGGAGGAGCTCGAGTTGCTCCTTGAACCAAGAGAGGTTTTCTGTTTGGTTACTTTTTGTTAGTCTGGGGCTGACTAGGAGAAGTGCTGGGGGATAAAGCTGGCTCGGGGATACTCACCATGTTTCTTGACGGACCAGATAAACACAATATTCTTGGGTGCGTCATCGGTCATCCGCTCCAGCACGTTCACGGCCAAGCCAAATGTAAACGTAGCACCACCGCCGCCAGCGATGAGCACGATCTTGTCGAAGTCCGTCGGGCTAGGGAAGGTACCGTACGGCCCATCGATCGAGGCTTTGACCGACGCCCCAGGGTGAGCGACCGCATACTTGTGCAAGTCCCTGGTGAACCCGTTGCGCGCCTTGACCGTGAACTCCATCGGCGAGCTGCCATGGATGGTAAACGGGTGTGTCTCGAACAAGCGGATCGTAGGGATCCAGACGAAGCAGTGCTTGCCCGGTTCCGCGCGCGTGGGCACCTTCTTCATGACAATCTTGGTGCTCCCGTCAGGTAGCGGGTGCAGCGTGGCTGTGTTGTTGGCGCTGTAGTAGAGGACGCGGCCAGCGCGGATGACGCGGTCGGTGAACCACATGGCGGCCGCGAGGACGATGATGATGAAGGCCTTCTTAGCGAGCTCTGGACGGTGAAAGCCGACGGCGACGATGCCCATAATCCAGGCTGCGATGTGCGTCACGTAGAAGAGCTCGTACCAGATGTGTCGGATAACGAGGGCTGAGAAGACGACTGTGAGGAAGCCGAAGCCGGCCACGATGGCAGCGATGGTGGATTGTTCAGAGTAGATGTCCTGCATCCGGCCTTCGGCGTTGAAGAAGGCTGTGTAACAGGCTGCGTGGAGAAGCATCGCGAGGAACATGGTGCACCCGGCGATCTGGTGGAGGCAGTTGAGTCGTTCGTACGAGTAGGCCGTGAGAAACGCCAATGGGGTGTTCTTGAGCGCCAGGAAGATGACCAAGGCCAGGTTCCCCACCGTCACCCTGTGTCGATGTCGTGGTTAGTAGGTGCTTGAGTGATAGTGTCACTGTCCCCTGAGAGACGGTTCGAGATAGGGGTGAGGGGGGAGCATACCATCCAAACCTGTGACCCACGCTGCCCAGCGAGGTTGTGTCAACCTCAGAAAAGGCAATGGCCAGGTTAACGGCGGTGTAAGCCGCAACCAGCAGAGCATGCCCAGCGGATTTGAAGCCGGGTACTCGCCGCACCAGGAGGTTCCTTATGAATCTACGGTCTGTCAGTTCTCTGCTCTTCACAACCAAAGGGGGGAACAGGGAGCAGGGAGCAAAGTAAAATCCCACAGTCTCATACCTAGTAGTAGCCACAAAAGGCCGCCCAATAACGCCCGCTGGCCGCCGTGACCGTTCGACTTTGACGCAAATCCAACGAGCCCAGTGAAAGAGGACGAAGATAGCGATGAGACTGCATATGCCCGCGGCCCAGTAGCTCATAATCCGCTCGATTTGGATCTGCCGTTGGATGAAGTAGGCCATCATTGCCTCACTGCCGGGCTCATGAGCATCACCACCACCGCCGCCGCCGCCATGTTCACCTCCACTGGCCGAACTGCTCGAGTCAGGTGGGCCCGCACGTGGTTGGTTCATCTTGAATACCCTGGATGCTCCTCAGGTCGCAAAGGGGAGGTGATGCGGTACGGGATCCGGTGTTCAGGATGGGTGGTGTAAGAGAGATGTGTGGTTCGGTAGTAGCAGAGGGACGGAGAGATATTAGATGATGGGGGGGAGGTAGCTTCGTATATACACAGGCCCAAGCCAAGGTAGGTAGTCAACACTATCTGGCAGGTTCTAGTCCTCTTGGGATCTCCCTCAACAAAGCGGAACTCTTTCATCAAAAACCTGGTATATAACGACTACCTACCAGCCCCTCTAACAACGCCACTTCAGACGGCGGGGGCCTTCCCTGCGTGGTATCTCCCCCGGAAGAGCTCCGGGGAAGGGGGTGTGAAGTTATGGCGAGGGATCGGACCAAAGCCAGAGATGGGTGTCCGAGGGCGTGTACCTCATTTTGGCATTCACAATAAACCCTTGATTGGTTTCACGTCACATGGAAGGGAGGTTCGTGTCAAGGGGGGGGTCATAACAGGCCCGGCACTTGAAACTTTCCTCTTACCACTCCGGCGATGGTATGGAAACTTCCGTCTGGGCGGCTTCCGAGCCAAGCTAAGGTGCCCGCGTCATGCTATGCTGTGCCATACCCCTGCGATACCGGATCCAGCCATTCAGGCCATACATGTCGTCCATGCCTCTGGATTTGGCTTCTTGGTAGAGGCCAAACAAGCCGCTGATAAACCGTCCAGGCCGCGTAGTCCCAGGCGCAGTCCCAGTCCAGTACCCCGTTACAGAACGCCTCAACAGTACGCGAGATAAGCCTACCGCCCTGGAGCCTACGTGATATGATACTCGGTCACGGTGCCTCTCCGGCCATGAAAGGGGCCCGTTGCTGGCGTGCGTTTGCGCGTGTCAACTTCCTTTCCGGGTGCGTCCTCTATATGGTTTGGTTTCCACTTCGGGATTTGGTCAGCTTGACAAAGCACTCAGGGCCCCGATACCTGACAGAACGGAAACAGTGCCGTCAAGGAGGTGTGCGTGTAGCTCGAATTGATTTTGAAGGACACCCCTCCTCTCGGGCCGGGGTGTGTCGTTCAAGGTGGGATTGCGTGGTTAGGGGGGCCGGTCACTGGGAGAGATGTCGCACCGACAATCTGGCTAAAGATGGGGGTAAAAAGAAGAACCAACAGAAGAGCAGCATCTGACCGTTGGAGACAACAAGGCATTCGAGAGCCCAACGACCTTGTCGACTAGCTGTCCCAGGTAATCCACCTCTACTGCGACAGTAATTTCTACCCCACAAACGCAGGCAATATCGGCACCATTTCGCAAAAGTCAGACCATGCATCAAGCCCTTCGACACACGCCCTATGCTGCTGAACAGCGGATTCCGCGCCCACATCTTTCTTGGACGCTGCACCACGGTGCGGCTCGTAATATCTGACAGCGTCAGGCGAACAGCCTTGCTAGTCACGGAGCACAGAATACGGTACCGCGTGATTGGGACAGCCGTGTGCGGAGAATACAGATACGCGAATGTCCATATGCAGAGCAAGCCGCTTAGACGAGGGCACGAGGCACGATGAAAGCGAGCTGGGCCGGTCCGAGATTTCTGAGATGACGAAAGCACACGAAGCGGTCAAACAAGCTAAGTCGAGAAACAAGAGAGGCCGGGCGAGACGAAGAAATGAGTTCCGCTTGCGTGGAAGGGAGTGTCCAAGCTCAAACACTGAAGATTTGACCGCTGACAGGCCAACCAAGTATGCAGCTCGCAGGCAATGCAGTTGATGGATCGTCTGAAGATCATAAAATCGGCATAGCGGGTGAGCGCGGCAGCTGGGGGCGCAGGCGGCCAGGCCAGGCCAGGCAAACAATCTGGAACGCCCACTGGGTCCTGGCCGAAAGGTGAAGATGAGAGCCTCGAGCGTCGCAATCTGTCACACTGGAGCGTCAAAACCACGGTAAGGTTTTTCATTGACGCCGACGACTTGCAGGGTTGTGGCGTGGCTCGTTCAATCGTCGCTTCTTGCCCAGCGTGCCCAGGTGGCTGCCGAGGCTGCCAAGCCCAAGCCCACAAACGGTTAGCAGGGGCTGAACCGGGTTCGTCGACGCCACGAGGAAGGATCAAAGAGGGGGAAAGGGAAAAAAGGCACATAACGGACTGCATAGGAGCCCAAAAAGATCCCCGAGACACAATAATGGCCAAATTGAAACAAAGAACGCACGGTCCTTGAAGAAAGCTTAGAGCGGCTAAGAAAGCAAGGGGGAAGAGCAGATTCAGCAGCCCATAGAGGAGAGGTGCAGCAGCATCGTCATCATCAGTGATTCCCACTTGAGCTATTCTGGGAGACAACGAACGAAGGAAAATTCCGGATGGCCCTCGAGCGATCCCCTGTCGGTCCGCCCAGGGCACGGGTGTGAAACCCTTCCCTCTTTGTGTAAGTGTACACTCGAATGGGCGGAAGAGTCAAGAATGGCAAGGACACGGACCGGCGGACATCCAATGCAAGGACAGAATGAACCAGCTTGACCAGGTGGCAGTTGCAGGGTTGCAGCACCTGCCGTCAGTTTAAGCTCCGAAGTGCCTTGAACTGCAAGGAAGCCCCGCGCCGCACCTTTCCCGAGGGGGAAAGCACGCAGGTGGTGGGGCCGAACCCCCTTTTGGACGAGCGCCCTGGGCGCCCTGACCATATCGGGTCTTCTTGGGCGGGACCTGCCGGGTCGTTGCGTCCACCGAAGGACCTTTGGCAAAATCTCCCGATCACTTCCAAAATTACAGCGTTGTTAAGGGCTCGAAGCCTCAATCTGACGGGCTGTCGTGCTATTACCTTTTGAGGCTTCATTGGGCGCTGGGCTACCATTGATTCAGCGATCGATTCTCGGCGCTTTCTCTGCATCATCTCCTTGTCGGCACTTGTCAGCGGTGGGCATTTTACCCAGTCGGGCATGGACCGGGGGGGCAAACAGTCCAGTCATATCCGCCAAGAAGTCAAGATCAGATAACTTTGTTGGATGGGGATCAAGTGGATCTGTTCTGGGATCAAAGGTCTGAATTTTGGGGGGGGGTCCATGAGGTACGTGATTTTATCGATTTTCTCTTCCTTTTTCTTCCTCCGCTTTCCTCGACTCGGACTTAATATTTCCACTGTTTGGGTGGTTGTGGAGTTTCCGGACCGCAACTCTTCGGCATTCACCCCTCCTGTCCGCCGAGTAACCGGGCAGTCCGCTCGCTTGTGGCGCCTGCGCACTGCAGGCTGCTCGGTAATCCGATTGTCATCGCGAAGCTACCTTACGAACTGGGTATCGACCTGGCAAGCATGAGCGGGTGTACGCCCGAGATCTCCTGTCACCCCGCCGCAGCCGCGCGCCGTTGGGATCTCGGCTCGGGCCCGATATCATCTTCGCACTCGAGCTCGACTCCTATCGGAACGACAATGTAGAAATTTGCGATCGGAAGAGGAAGTTGTCGTCATCAGACACACCAGCGCCGCAAGCCCGTAATGCTACCCACGCGGCGCTTCCTTGGCCCGCCGGGGCGTGCGGTAACATGCAGCTGTCCTGCTGAGCCCCCCAACCCCCAACTCGCTACCTGAGAACGGCGGTTCAAAGGCCTGCCCCATTCGTCCTACGGAGCTGCCCCAACTCTCAGCCGTGGTGCCCAGTTGTTGCAGTGGTGGGCAGCCTCTCGCTGCATGGAAGCACGGACCCTATCATTCTCCTAAGGCGCCATCGCTTTGAGGGGAAGGCCAGGGAGAAAGTACGAAAAGGGAGAACAATGGTTGGGAAGGAAAGCGAGAACAGCCCCAAAAAGAGTCCTCAAAACCGCTACGCGCACCCGGCCGTTTTCTGGACGGCCTATTGCGCGTTGAGCGCTACCCTGTAAAAAGTCTGGCTAACCGGGCCGTTGCAAGTGTCAAGGAGCGACCATGACCAGGAAAGACGAGGAGCAGGATCCGCCAGCTCCAAACTTATTCTGTACGTGGCCGAGAAAAGAAGCCAGTCTTTAGCCCTTCCTATCTTTTTTTAGCACACCTTTCCTTTTGTCCTAGACCAAACCCTTTAGGGTTGCGGAGGAGAGGCTCGTACGATCCGAGCAGCTTCCAGAGCAACACGATCTGGGCTGGAAACCGGGATAAAAGGAGCTGTCTTCCGTCGAAGGAGGGGGGCGATCGAGGGAATCACGGGAGAGATCTATCCGCACGCATCACGCGCACCAAGAGATTAGATCTTGTGGGGGGGGGGGTGTAGTATACGCTAGGCGCCGTTGAAAGTACGAACGACCGAAAAAAAAAAGGCCTTCAAGCTGGTCTGGAGCAAGTCACATCATCAGTCCCTTGTCTAGAGACTCTTGGAACTTCTGCACCCACGGCCGAGTCATGTACCCGCAACTGCCTCTTCGAGACACCGGCCGTTCTTGCGACAGCCCTTGTTATCTCCGGCGACATGGGTTCGGGCGATGGAAAGGGGGGCAGGAATCAGAAAGAACACCTCGGCATCACACAGTTGACGCCTTCGAAACTGTCGCTGGCGATATGGTGCCTTGGGCCATGTTTTTTTATCGCGCGGGGTTCAGCAGGTTATTTGAGGGCGTTATGTTGCCCTCAGTTTCTTTTGCGGGATGCCAGGGGATGCCCAGTGCTTACTCACGACCAGGGGTTGTTTACACAATCACGCCGGCCCACCTCCGACGGCCGGGCCGACAGGACCTTGAAACGATGGAGGAGACTGACTCAATCGATGTGTGATTGTTCAAAAAAGAGGAGAAAGACACTTAGAAAAAAAGCCGGAGCTAAATATGCACGGCACTATTGTTGACCGATTACATAGTATTCAGATATTCCGAGCCAAATCCGACGACGCCTCCACCACTAGTCTTTGTGTTACTACTGCGGCCAGCTCCGCGTCATCATTGCTCAAGTCCTAAGTCCTAAGATGAACGAAGGGAGGAGCAGAGAAGCTACTATGTAGAAGGAAAACAGTGCAGGAAAAATACACGATCTTGCAGTGAGGGGAACTGGCCGATCCTCTGCCCACCCACTCACCAGCCTGCCTACCCACCCTCAACTCGCTCATCCCATCGTCTCATCGCACGCTGTATAGCCGAAAGAGGCAGCTGGCCAAGATAGAGGGCCGCGCCGTAAAAGAAGAAGAACTTTTCCCACGTCCCAAAGACGACAACACTCCCTAGGCCATTGTACCCCCCGTTGAACATCGGCCCATACCCGTCCAACAGCCGCTTACTGTGCAGCATCGCCTCGGTGATGAGCCACACAAACACGGCCAGCGCGACAAACGCAACAGCTGTTTGCGTTTCCCCGGAGGTGAGGGGCCATAGGCCCGCTGCCCCAGGGGCTCCCTCGATATCGTCCTCGCTGTTGGCCCCTTTACCGCTCCCGGGGCCAAACGACGAGGTGGCTCTGGCCCCGAGCTTGGCCACCCACTGCTCCACCGTCTTCCTGAGGCTCTTGACGTCTGCGGCGGTTTTGTCCAGGAGCTGCTTGTCGCCTGCGTACTGGAAATTCTTTTCGTCCACCCAGTCCTCAAGGTCATGGACCCGTTTTGCGATGTCTCCCTCTGGGTCTGGGTTAGCAAAGGAGTTTCCGCCCAGGCCCTCCTCCCGCTCGGCCCCAACGGCAGGATCAACAAATCCGACCTCTTCGCTTGACGACGACATTAACTGACTATGAAGAGAAAACGAGAGCCCCCGGCCACGACCCTGACTGCCCCTCGCGTCTGCGTCCGCGTCTGCGTCGTCTCTAGCACCGGGATCGGGAGGCGCCCCAGAATCCTGTGCCAGCGGCTCTCCCCGTGCTTGTGCATCAAGTTGTTTGTCGACTCCCATCTTGTCCCAGGCCTCCTGAGTGTACACAAACGACGGCTGGCTAACCTCGTTAGGCATCCTCCTGTTTTCGTCCTCCGCATCATCCCCGTCGGAATCCGTATTGTCGTCTGCTTTCTCTGTCTCTGTCTCTCCCCGTGTCTCTGCTGCTCGCCGGCGCTGCTCCATCTCATAGTAATAGGTCTCGATAATCTCGATTTCTTCGGCTGTCGGCGGCCGGCCGCGGATGGCAGCACAGCGCCGGATTTGGTCCAGCGCCATTCTCTCCTCGGGGCTTTGATCAGTGGTATCTTGCTGCTGTTGGGCGGAACTTCCTTCCCCGTAAAAGGGGGTAAATTCGGCTTCGCGGCCGGTGGCTCCGACTTCGTCGGGAATAACAAAAATAGGGGTGGGGGGCCGGTCTGGGCCGTTGTCAGGTGCTGGTCTTGTTCCTGTTCTTGTTCCCCCTCCTTGTATTTCTGCTTCCGCCGCTGGCTTGGGAGGGGTGGTGTCAGGGGTGGTCTCTGTACGTTGATGTCCGTCACCATGAGGTGAGGAGGATTGATGGTGATGTGGTCCAGTCCCTTCTCCTGTCCCATCTACTTGAAGGAGCCCGCTATACTCATCACTATGGTGTCGTCCGCTGTGGTCCCGGGCAGAACCAGTACCGGTATGGGTGTCTAACCGCTCTTCTCTTTGTGTTTCAAAGGAAAATGGGGGCTTGGTGGTCGTCACAGGCGACAACCTTTCGGCATCTTGGTTGCTACTCGATAGCCTTTGCTGTTCCTCGGCCGCCCTGCCTGTGTTTTGATGCCAGCTCGCTTCGCCCTGGCCTCTTGGCGAATTATCATAAGGGCGGTCCGGGCCTCGTGATGTGAGGCGGCTAGAGAAATCTTCGCTACGGTACGCGTTACTATAACCGCCGTCGCCGCCATTGTTGTTGTTGTTGTTGTTGTTGTTATATGCGTTGTTATAACTACTACTGCCATTGTTGTTGTATTTGTTGTCGTTATTGTTATTCTCAAACTCATTCCCCGCCACACCATACGGCGACGGCGTCACCAACCCATCAAGTTCCTGCGCCAGCGAAGTCGGCTCATACTCAAGCGTACTCGCCACCTGCGATGGCATAGGGCTTTCCTGCGAGGCGTAGTCGTCCGTTGGGTAGTATGGATTTGGGGTACGCTCGGGAGACGCATCATAGATGTTCTCGCCGTAAGCGTATCTGCCTGTGTCCTGGGGGCTGAGCGTGGATAAGGGGGTCATCTCGTATGCCGAAGGGGCATTGTACATGGCGCTCGGCGGCGAGATTAGGGTCGGGGCCGGGGTGTTATGAGATCTACGGACGCGGCGTCTCCTCACCATGGTTGATGGATGGTGTCTGATGGCTGTTTGGGTGCTCTAGGGGTTCAGACGGTGGGAGTGGCGGACATGGAGCGAGGAATATTTGCCCGACAACGGTCCCAGTACGGCCACGACTCAGTTGGGCAGATAGATATATATTAGATAGACTTGTCATCTTTGTGGTGCTATAATCGTCCGTTTCGGTACAATGGCACGAGTACTTCTTTGTGTGGCCGTCCTCGGGTTATAATGATCTTGTGGCAAAACTCGATGTTTCCCGGCCTCGCAACCGATACTCCAGGGTCCATGGTCAAAGGTCAAAGAAAACCAGCGCCACATCCGTTGTATCCTTAAAATAGTACATGTGCTGAGACTTTCAAGCTGGATCGTTGCGACACCGCCCTGTGTTTGACTCTACATAGTACAAACCGGCGGAAGGGTATCTGAGCGATCTCGTCGCAGCAGTCATCGGTCTCTTATAGGATTGAGGAGGATTGCCTCTCTCGGTAGCTAGGAGATAGCAACCCTCTATAAAACAAGCTCGGCGGCACTTAATCAAGTTGCGTCTTGTTAATTTGTCATAGCAGAAGTAAATAAAAGCAAGTCCAGCGTAAAATTGTGGTACTACAGGTATCCATCTCCCTTCCCTTGCGCCAATCTATTCAAATCCATCATAGAAACACAATATTTCTCTCACTCTCGGCTTGTCAATAGCCAGGGGTATGTGTCGAAATACAAAACCAAACCTGCAAACCCAAAACGCCAGTATCCCAACCCGACTCCTAACCCATCACTAAGATCAAACTAAGCCAGCCCATCAACGAGTTCATAAGCTAAAACATCCCCCATAATCCCTATAATATCGCTCAAAGCATCATCATAACAACACGTAACAGTCTTACCACAACGCATCCCCATCAACCATCTCATTCTCCGGTCCCGACCCCGACCCCCCCTTCCCCTTTTTCTTCCGACCATATTCCTTCGGCGGCAGAGGTGGAGGCGGCGGAGGCGGCGGCGGAAAAGCAAGAGGCTGATTCTCATAACCCATCCACCTCGCCGAGTCCAACCCCGAACTATCTTGCCCTTGCCCCTGCCCACCTGCGGCCGACAAAAACGGCATATCCTGCGTCGGCGACGCTGCCGCCAAATCATACGGCATTGCCATACTCCTCTGGTGAACCGGTTGATTCCGTGGAGAAGTCAGCGGAGTGGTGTTATTGCTGCTGTACCCCCCCTGAGTGTACCCCTGGCTTTCGTAGAAAGCGCGGGTTCGCGGGGACGGGTGGGCGGGTAGACCCGGTGTCATGCCGCCGCGGGGGGTGAAGCCGGGGCTGAAACGGGGGGTGGAGGCGGATGGGGAGGAGGGGTTATTGTTGTTGTAGGGGAGGTGGTTATGGTTGTGAGTGGGCAGGGAGATGACGCGTTTGTGGTTGTTGAGGCTGCGGGAGCTGCGGTTGCGGCGGTGTCTGCGGAGACGAAGCGGGAGGAGACGGTTGTCGGTGTGGCCGTGGGTTGGGGAGGTTGGTGGAGGTGGGAAGGAGAGGGTGAAGGAGGTGTGGGAGGCGTGATGGGTGGGGGTGTGGGCGTTGCCGTGGTTGGGGGAGTACACGGTGAGCGCGGTCGGGGAGGTGGGTGGCCAGACGGAACCGAAGACGCGGCCGACGGGGTAGATAGTGAAGAAGAGCGCGGCGAGGAGAACGAGAGTGTCGTCGAGGAGGAAGGTCGTCACGGGAGAGCTGGCGAAGGAGCTGGTCAGGCCGTCGGCAAAGACGGCGATGCGGACTGCGGTACGGATGATCAGGAGGAGAGCGACCACCTGGACGCCTGTGGGAGGGGGTAACATGTTAGTTAACTAATAACATGAGGCTATCGGAAGCTGCGGTCAGGGCTTACCGATCATAAAGTACTTGAAACGGCGGGACATGTATAAAAGAGAGTACCGGTCGTCGAGGATATACCGGCGATGGGAGAGTTTGTGTTTGAAGTACCGGTAAATTCCTAAAAAAACTAGGAGGTTGACGGCCTGGATACCCAGACCGGTCAGGAGAATGTAAGTCCCCTGTGATACCTAGCAAGAGGGTGATTCGTTAGAAAAGAAGGGCTTCCGTCTCCCGATGCAAGACCAAACTGAACTGACCTCGGTAGCCGTCCGAGCCGTCGAGGCAAACCCGATGCCCACGGACTGAAAGGCAAGTGTAAAGACATCCAACACAAAGAACAAGATATTCAGATACACCGGCTCCGATACAAGACGAAACTCATCGCCGTATAACACCAGCACGTGCGGTAGAACGAGATTCATAGCCGACCCGATGAGCACAGCACCCCAATGGGTGCCCATCAGACACACCGCCGTGTACGCATGGCTGCTCGGGTCGCGAACGAGAAAAACCTTGCCGACGTGACCGACGACCTCGACAGCGAGTGCGGCTAGCAGAAACAGCGAGTACGCCAGCGTTTTGTATCGGAGCATCGCGTAAATCACCGGTGGGAACAACGCGGCGAAGGCGGCTAGCATGAAGGCGTTCCCGGCAGGCGCACCGCTGGTGAGCAGCGAACCCGACGGCACGGCACATGCCGAGCCGGAGCAGTCGCCCGCTTCCAGCATGATCGTGAGTTATAGCTTTCAAGATGTTGTCCTGGAGTTGGTGTTGATAATGGTGACCCGGAGAAAGTGAGGAAGCAACCGCCTTTACAGGCACGCACACTCTCTCAACTCAAACAGGAGTATGGGCTCGGCATTGGGCGAGTATGGGCTGGCGGGAGATATGATATTGGGTGGAGGTGTCAGAACGGGATGGGGGGAAGGCAGATATCATGGAAATGGTAAGGCTGGCAGATGAGCAAAGAGCCAAACCCGCCTGGCGGAGTGGGTGGTAAATGCTCAAATATGGCCGTGGCCATTCTACACTCGAACGCGGATCATTTCTGCAGTGTGAAGTGGCGGGCCCGACAGTCTGGCACCCCAAATTTGTAGGGCGCTTAAGATGCATGTTTGTTGCAACAGATAACAAGGGGCCGGGGGAGTCGCGAGATGAGGGAGAGAGGAGAGAGGGGGATGGAACTACCCACCCACACTCACACACATACAAACTTCCGCCCGCACAGCCTCGGCCCGCATCTCATCGGCAGGAACCGCGGGGAGCCCGCTTCCCCGGGGGGCGCGAGGCTTGTTCATCCTTCCATCTGCCACTGGGCTGGAGCCAACATCACAAACCCTCAGCTTCCATCTCCCCGCTTGAAACACCTTGTTCCTGGCTCCTGGCGCGATCGAGATGCAGCACGGTAGTCGGCGTGCAGAGAGGCGGGCGCCAAAACGGTCAAGCAAGCCAGCTACGGCGAGTCAGGTTCGCCGCACTGTTTGACTGTCCGCAGCTCTCAGTCTTTGTTTTCCCATTTCCCCTCCAATCCGAGGGTTGCGATCCGGGGCCTGAAACCGCGTCCTTTTTCGCACAGCCCGTCCTGTTGGGGTTGGAGAAAAATCGAGGGGGGGTTCTCTTCAGAAGATAGGGAGCAGGGGAAAACCAACAGCCCGTGGCTGGGCCGGGGCGCCGCTCGATTGGCTCTGTGAGATGCGGGTGATATGTTGTTGGTTGTTGGTTCACATCTTGCCCTGCATCTGGACCTGCTCTGGCCAATAGGGGGGCCGAGAGAACTCGGCTGAGCTCGCATCGGCAAAACAAGGTCCATGCCGGAGACTGCATCAAGCACCGTGCGAGAGATGAAGGGTGGGAGGGGCTCGAGCTCGAAGAGCCGAAGACGGGAGTTGAGGAGCTGAGCAGGTCCTTGTTTCTGGAGATTCCGATGCAAACTGCGTTTTTGTTTTTCCTTCCGAACACATTTTGTACAGTGCCAGGAACGGGAAAAGCTCGACCGTTGAGTTCAAGACTTGGGACGGTCAAATGAAGCAGCGGTCAAGTTAATGCGAGCGACGAGCCGGAACAAAACACGGTCGCGATGGGTGAAGCGTTCATCGCAAGGCTGTGGATACTCTCTCTCTTCTGCATGTTTCCAGGAACAGAAAAGGGCATCTCTCAGCAGCAGGCACGCAGACAAGAGCTGGAAAGTGGTGTCAAGAGCCGCTACAGTGCGAATTTATGAACTTGTAGTGAGAGTGTGACTGTATCCGTGATCGCCCGCGGAATTCGGCTTCGAAGCCAACGTCCCACCCTAATTTGCTTGGCGCGGAACGGAATGAGCGCGACAATATTCCGAACCAAAAAAAATCAAGAAAAAAAAAGAACCCAAGAAACAGATGAAGAAACCCAGGAAATTAAGCCAAAAGAGCACGTAAGAAAGCAAAAAAGGGGATCAGGGTCTATCGTCAATCCTTTGTGGTTCTTCACATCCACCACAAACACCTGCTGAATCTCAGACTTCCCCCCTCTTTTCCTCGACAGCACCAACGGCTCAATGAGGAGGATCTCCGCGGCGGCGGTCTCGACTCCAACATTCGCCGCGTCTGCGTTTACGTGTGCGTCGCCAAGTCTCGATCCCATCGCGGCTGTCCGCGCTTATCGTGCAGAAAAACACACGATTCGCTCGATTCGGTCGAATCACCCGGTATGTCTGACCCGTTCAGATGGCGCTAGCCCCAGACGGCACTTGCGCACCTACACGCCGCTTTGCCGCGAACCTGCACCAGCCGATGCCCGCATCAAAGGTCTGGGCAAAGAGATAGCCGATGAATATGCCCTGTTGCGGGACAGCTACCGTGTGTTGGCCCCCGGCCTTTTCTCTCTCTCTTTCTCGCTGCGACACTGCAGTGGCCCAGCCCCTCCCCAACCAGAGATGCCGGGGGGCCGTTGTGGTGCGGGCGGTGTAAGATTGTTGGTTGCTGATGTTGGTGTTGGTGTTGGTGTTGTTGCTGCTGTTGGCTCAAGCCAAAACATAGACGATGAGGAGCCAGCTAACAACTGACCGCCACGTTGCGTACCGTTAGAAGCCCCCAAATACCCCATCGTGTTAGCCCACGGACTCCTAGGCTTTGCCGAGCTCCGACTGGCCGGCTCCTATCTCCCGAGCATCCGTTATTGGCACGGGATCCAAGAGGCCCTGACCGCCCACCATGCCGAGGTCATCACCACTTCGGTACCCCCCAGCGGCTCCATCGAGACCCGCGCAGCCAAACTCGCCGAGGGCATTGAGGCCCAGGCCCACGGCCGCAGCGTCAACATCGTTGCCCACAGCATGGGTGGTCTTGACGCCCGTTACATGATCTCCCAGCTACGCCCGTCCTCTGTCGACGTCAAGTCCCTCATCACCGTGGCCACCCCACACCACGGCAGCCCCTTTGCTGATTACCTCCTGGACGGCATTGGCCCAGACTACCTACCGCGTCTGTACGAGCTGTGGGAACGTACCACCGGTTGGGAGCCCCGCGCGTTTTCCCAGTTAACGACCAGGTACATGGCCGACGAGTTCAACCGCAAGACTCCGGACGTTGAAGGGGTGCGGTATTTCTCGTATGGCGCTGCGGTGAAGAACAAGCCGCCGCTGCTGAGTCCGTTCCGCCACTCTCATGGCGTCATTGAGCAGCTTGAGGGGCCCAACGATGGGCTGGTCAGCGTTGAGAGCAGCAAGTGGGGGACTTACAAGGGGACGCTCCTGGGTGTGAACCATTTGGACTTGATCAACTGGAGCAACCGGTTAAGATTCACCGTGCAAAAGTGGATGGGCCATCCACCGTCGTAAGTTTGAAGCCAGGGGATTTTGACGATAGATAACCTCGACTTGATTCTAACATGTTCCAAAGGTTCAATGCGGTAGCCTTTTACCTCGACCTTGGCGAGATGCTTGCCAAGGAAGGATTGTAGAGCGCCAAAGCGGAAGGGTGGGCCTTGGGTGAGCCGTGCTGCCTAGGACGTAATATTTACGGCCTTTGATCAACACTCCGAATCGGCCCGGCCCGGGTTCAACTTCCTAATAATGCTCCCGGCCCTCCCCTCGATTACATGCCGTGAGACTCTCCGGATTATCAGGCCCAGGGGTGGAGCCTGGGGCCGATGGATCGGCCCGGTCAACGGAGCGTCGGGAGGAGCTTGTATTACCTCCGGCTCGCGAGTTTTCTCTACTTTGGGGAATGTCTTTGCCCCGCCATGGCCGGCTCCGACAATGTCGACGATGGTAGCGCCGAAACATATTGGCAACATGTCTCTCCTTACGCCGCCCGGCTCAAGCTGAACGCCGGCGTAAGCTCGGCCTGTCCCTCTCACCACCAGCTCGAATTACCCAGTCGTCACCTAAAGGAGAGCCCGAGGGAAATACCGCAACGGCCGGCTTGGCTTTCTTGCCCCGTATCGGTTATTTATACCCCGAAGGGCGAGCTCGCTCAGGTGGGTGTGTACGTAGGTCGGCGGTGCAACAAGCTGCGGAGTGGCCCAAGGTCTCACAACCTCCAAGCGCCCTGCTCTCGCTCACCCTGCGGTACCTGACTGGGCCTGCATCTGCACCTGTCGATCAACTGTACGCATACCACAGACACGTGGTGGCAGCGAAATAGCCTGACGCATGCACCAAAGCGGAAAAGTGTGCAGGATTTTCTCTCGTTCCTGTTCCACGACGTCCAGCCGGCGCCTGCCTTGCGGGGCATCGTCCCATCCAGCCCGGTTCAACGCTTGGTTGGCCCTTGGGTTCCTGCTGTGGCTGTTTTCAGCTATCAAACGGTCTTAGAATCATGACAGTCAGAATCAAGCCATGGCCCATGGGCAATGCGGGTCTTGACGGCTGAGGCTGGATGATATCTCACCCACACACACATCACAGCTATGGATGATGAAGGACTGGTGTTGTGGCCGACGTTGCAAGAGCAATCCTAGTTCGGCGTTCCTCAGCTCCGTGTTGATCCCGGTGATTCGTCCTACACGGGAACCTGCTCACAAATCAACAAAGAGAAAAAGATGCTGTAAATAATTAAGACAGAAGCTGGGATTCACGGTTCTTTCAACGCTCGCCATGGCCCAGGGTATCGGGCCTCATGTTGTATAGGGTAGGCGGAGCCATTGCAGCAAGTAATGTTAAGACACAGGAGAGACAAGGCAAGACAATATGGACTGGGGCGTCGAATCCTCCCCTTCCATCAAAGGGCTGACTTCGATCTTCTCCTCGTCTCCAACACACCACAGGATGCTTCGGCGCCAGACCAAGTCAGCCTGGAATCTTGTGAGCTCTCCAGAGGGGCTTTCATGACACGCTGGCACACTTAGGGTTGTCCTCGACATTCTCCTTCCTTTTTAGACACACGTCGACACCCTACGGGTAGTGTAGATGGGAACCATGTCCATAATACCAACATTCTACCGCCTTTCAAGTGGTCTCGTGAGGCGGAAATTTCACCGAATATGCAACGATCTAGTCCCGGGTCTACCCGGCATATCGCGGGGTTCGAAGCTGGGGCCGGGGTTGCGAAGAGGGGTTCAAAGAGAGGGAGGGGGGG